AAAGTGGCCAGGCCTGGTGAAAAAATGTTATATTCTATGCGTCGCTTTTGGGTCGGCTACTAGGTGGCGCTACTATTAAGAAAAGTGTTTTTGGCTAATAACTCCTGCATCGTTTCTTGCACATTCAAAAACCTTATATCCACGCGTTCGGTAGGGCTGCTCAATTATGGAAAAAAATCATAATCACGATTATTTGGGTCAAAATTGAAATCACGATTATTCAAACGATTATTAGTGGCGCGGATACCACCTTGAAACACAGCTTGCACATCACATGTTTTTGGTTTTCATCATTTTCTTCAAAACCAAAGTGTTCCCACACAATAGAGCTTGTTCTACCTTTCTTGTCAACCAAACTGCGCTGTAATCCCTCTCTGTCATGTTCCATTCAGACAAGCGTAGCTGGCCGCGTTACCTGTTCCAACGAAAACAACGTGACTGACTCATGTGCAGTGCATGCTGTGGGGGAGGGACGGAAATACGCATGAGCGAAATACGCAGGCTGTGGCTGTGTCCCTGAATTGGGACACAGCTTTTTTCTATACAACGTTGCTATACAACAATTGTTTCCCCCCAATTTTATTAGTTTTGAGATCTTTGGCCCCAAAATCGTAATCATGATCAAATTTTGATTAGTTGAGCAGCCTTAGCGTTCGGTGAATGGAGCTGCATCTCCCTATATAGGCCACGCCCATTTCAGGCTAGAATTTCTTTTTGCTAGAGCGCAAAATGTCCATAAACTACTTTTTTGTGTTCCTCCTATACGCTTTGTCCGATTCGCACAAAACTTTTCACGTAGAATCTGGGGACCGTCCTGGTAAAAAAAGTAATTTTAATATTTAAAAAAATAAGCACGTTATAAAAATAGCACTTCCTGTAGATTTTTTGTCAAAACAGGAAGTGGGACATTTCTCCACATTGGTATGTCCGATTGACACCAAGCTTGGCCCCATAGTTCCCCATGTCTTCCTTAGGCATTGTGCACAATTTAAGGCCATCGCCACAGGGTGGCGCTCTTTAAAATGAAGAAGTTTATATCACCACATCGGCATGTGTGATTAAAACGAAACTTGGTACGATGATTGCCCATGGCTTCCTGAGGCTCGCTAAAAAATATGTCAACAATCCGCCACTAGGTGGCACTCTGGTGGCAGGGTAAATCACTCTGCGGAGACCGTAATAGTTATGAATATGAAATTCACAGGGCACATGTAGACTGGTGCCTGTAGCTCACATACCAGAAATCGTGTTTGTCGTGTTTGTAGCGACAAAAACCCTACAGTATTTCAACAAAGCAGCCCCGGCACCACTCGGTAGGCACTGTAACATGCCGAGACCTACAGAAAAGCCTCTTGGACCCATTCCCCAAACCCCACAGGAAGTCAGCCATTTTGATTTTCATTTTCACTTTCAGCAACTTTTTTCGCGTTGTATTTGAACAAACTCCTCATAGGGGACTTATCAGATCTACTTCAAACTTGGACAGTACAGTCAAAAAACATTGCTGATTAAAATTTGTGCTATTTGTGCATGTACGTTGAACGGCGTGTCCGTGGCGGGGCGTGGCGTCAAACTTTGATGTACCGCCAGAAGACACAAATTTGCTATAACTTGAGTGTACATTGTCCACTCGACAACAAGCTTGGGTCCATAGTTCCCCAAGTCTTCCTTAGGCATCGCGCACAATTTGAGGCCATCGCTGCAAGGTGGCGCTCTTTAAAATAACTGTAGATGAAAAGTTGTGCCATTTGTGACTATACGTCGAACCGCGTCCCCATGCCGTTGGTCGAATTCTGCCGATTCGCCATAAGACAGATAGCACTCATAACTTCAGTGTACAATTTCCAATGTCCACTAAACTTCACATATTTTGTAACAGTCCCACCCTGAACACGTCCTCACAACTTCAGTGTACATTATCTGATCTCATTGAAACTTCACGTTTGATAAGAGTCCCGCCCTGAACACGTCTACATGACAATATTCAGATATAGTGATAGCGTCACCGACTGGCAACAGGAAGTAAGCGCTGCATGGTGATTTTCATCTGTTTTATGTGAAATTTTCATGTTGTGGTCTGGCACGTGACGCGGCTGCAACACACCCCGAGTTGCGTGGAGTGCGAGGTCCCGCCTAATGCTTCTTGCAGCTTTAATATTTTTGGTTTGGTTTATTTGGTGGCTCAGGCAACAGTTTAGCATGCAGATTAGCTTAACGTAATGTGGTAAACGGGAGGGTATTTTTTTGTGATCAAGTTTTTATTTTTCAATAGTGGACGTTAGATTAACAGAGAATTGGCTGTCTTTACATAATAGGATAATATATGAGTCATTTTAGCTGATAATGGTAGCTGTGGAACAAAAGTGAATATAACCTGCTACGGTGGGTTGTGTCGAGTGTGTGGGTGCAGGTAAAGATGGTTCTGGGACGCTGGAACACACTGTTGAGCCTTCTGGCATTTAGTACCATAACAAATAGTACGTTGGAGACAGATGGAAGATTTTGATGTCCGTTTTTATCATTTAATAGCAAAGCTAGAAAATTTCCCACAACCTTTACAGCTGCTACTTTTAGTATTTATACTATGGACATTCGTTGTTATAATTTTTTTTACTTCTGCTTAAGTTATTTTCCAGTAGAGATGAATCAGTGCTGAGTCATAAAGGCAGGAGCGAGTGTCTGCTTTTATAAAGCTAATGATAAAGCTACCAGAATAAACAGAGGAGTGACTGTGGGAGGCTGGCAAAAGAGAAGCTTAACATGGGCTTAATGCATGCACACACACACACACACACACACACACACACAAAAACACACACCGCATGGTGTAACTTGACCTGCCGTCTGAGTCTGTGGCCCTGGCGGCAAGAGGACACAATCAGCCATGTGTTGTGAGAGAGGTCAGGTTTGTCTCGCTGCAGTGTCTCTTTTTTTTTATTCGGTGTTTATGATTCCCCGTCACTAATGCAGCCAACAGATGCAGACTTCACTGGTGTTTTCCCTCAGGCTTTTTTCTCCATAATGTCTGACCTCACTCTCTCACTCCTTATCCCAACACTACCATTGGCTAAAGATTTAAATTCAAGTCAGACCTCCATTCAGATCAACTAATCCTTCTTGAATACTTGAACACCTTGTCTTCCCCTCCTCCATTTTTGTTTCTGGATCTTTGATATTTGTTAGTTTGTCTCTCTTTTTTTGCATTTCTCTCTGCAAGTCTTTTTTTTTCTTTTCCTCCCCGCCTCATCCTCCCACAATGATTGGTTGATTTGAATTTTCAAACAGTGACCAATCCCCCTTTTTCCTTTCAGACTCAACACACACACACACACACACACACACACACACACACACACACACACACAACACACACACACACACACACACAAACAAACAAACAAATGCTCAGAGACACAGGATGTAGGCTCATCTTTTTTCCTTCCTTCCTTCCTTTCCTCTTCCAAAAAACAACCAGATGGTGAGACAGGAGCTGAGAGACAGACAGCAACAGCCGGTGGAAAGCCCTTAGAGAGTGACATCACAGTCTCACTCTCACACACACACACACACACACACACACACACACACACACACACACACACACACACACACCCCATCTCTCTCTCTCTCTTACAGGGTATAAAGGCCTCATTGTATCCTCTATCACATGGAAAATGTTGGAGGAACGCTGTGAATTTGACAAAGTGTATCCATAGTCCAGGGTCAGCGTGACAAAAAACACACTCAGTGTGTTTGTGTATAACTGGTCTTTATCAGGGATTCCTGAAGTGACTGGGATGACTGGTGTGTATGCGTTCATTGAAGGAAGATTGTAAAAGAGTGTTGTCTATATGTACATTTACTGTATCTGTGTGTGTGTTGGTGTGTGAAATTGGTATGACTGGTCTGTGTGTGTTAACCTATAATGTCCTAATGTGGCGTTCAGTGTGACGATTAGTCTATATATACACTACTCACAAAAAGTTAGGGATATTCCACTTTCGGGTGAAATTTAATGAAAATGTAAAAAGTTGATGCTACAGTGATATTATATCATGAAAGTAGGGCATTTAAGTAGAGAAGTTCAAATTAAGATCACCTGGAAAGGTTATAGTGCATTTTATGTACATTCTGAAATTTCATCCGAAAGCCGAATATCCCTAACTTTTTGTGAGTAGTGTATTCTAAACAGGGAAATTCCTTAAACATACTAGAGGAAGCCTAACCTCACCACAGTCTCGTGACTTCAACAGTGTGAAGAAAATGGGTCATAAGAACTGTCTCGAAATACATAACAAAAACACAGCATGTGGCATATTTAAGGTCCTTCAATCTTGGGTAATAGCTTTTTTTTCTCTGTTGTTTGTGACTTAAGTCTGTATGTCAGCATCAAAACATTCCTAACTACGACTGTGACACTGCACTAAGCTCACAGTTGGGAATGATAAAAAAGGTAACGTTCACGGTTTGATACACACAATGAAAAAAAACTGTGACTCCACAAAATTAGGTGTGCAATGTTTAATTAGGTTTTCAGTTTAAGTGGGTTTTGTGCAAAATTGGAACAATCTCTTAAATTAAAAATCAAGCTTTTACACAAGCGGATATTCATCTACATAAACTAAACTGAAGAATAAAAATGGTGTGTTGAGAGTGGCCTTATAAAGATTAGAGACTTAAATTAAAAATTATTAATCTGAATTAGCTGGTGGGTTAATAGTTTTTTTGTTTGTTGTTACCTAAGAGCTCAGAGCGTTTTGGAGTACAGACCATGTGCTTTAACATCAACAAATTAGCCTACAGCCACACTATGGCCTCTTATTCCTGATATCTCACTTTCTCTGTACTGCCATATAATTATTATTCATATAATATACTGTATCTATAGCATGAACTCAGCTAATCTCAAGCTATGACTCAACTTCAGAACCTCTTCATACTGCACACAGAGCTCCATTTAGCCATTACAGTCAGTCTCACTCAAACACACGAACACTTACTTTGACATCTTGCTCCAGCGTTCGTATCAGTTCTCCATCCACCTGCCCTGTTTGGGCCACGCGGAGAGAGCGCCGCTCTGCCTTCCTCAGCCGGTACTGCAGGATGCGGCAGGTCTTATTTGCCTGAGGTACAGAAAGCAGTGTGAGTAGTTGATGCTATGTGTCATCTGTTTAAACCATCTTTGTTACTCGGCTGTTATTGTGCCTTGCAGCCATTAATGTGACACATAAGACATGCAGTACAAAAACAAGTGAAACAGTAGGGCAAGGCATTTGTTGCTTTTTACTGAAAAAAACATTCAAAATGAATTTTAAAGAGTCATTTTGAATGTCCATGATGCACCTGGCTTTGTCTGTTTTACACATTTAAATTCCAAAACCAAGATTTCACAGGAAATCAGAGCACAGATTCAATGTGTGAGTCAGTCTGTCCGCCCACACTCGTACCTGGTCCAGCTGTTGCCGTAGTTCCTGCAGCTGGTAGACATCTTCCTCCATGTACATGTCCCTCATCTCCAGCATCTCAGACCTCAGCTCCTCCATCTCATCCTGGACACAGTGAAGAAGAGACAGTGTGTGAGTGCTCTGAATGTAACTCAAAGTGCCGACAGCATTATGTGCACACAAGTTGGTCATAAAGGGATTCCTTTAATGTTTAATAGGAGCCATTATAGCTTAGCATCTTTGTCATAAATGCAAAACAACATCTTCCATTAATTACAATTGTAATCCATCCCATCAGTCACTGTTCACTGTCATTAGCCCCCACATCTTTGTCTTCATCATCCTCATTATCAGGATCACCATTAAAACATTAGTGCCTTCTTAAAATGAACTGCTATGTAATATTCTCTAAAGTCAGATAAAAGGGGTCATCAGAGACAGAGATCTACATGTTGTAAGTAGCAGAAATGTGCACTGAGTAATTTAATACGACACTGTATTGATTCTCCTTTCTCTCCCATCCAGGAGGTAGTACAAAGGAGGACAAAGGTCAGGGTCGGGTTATTAGATTACCTTAGAGGAGACTCTTAACAGTCCCTGCAGGGAAACTAAGAGGAAAGGAAATTCCTACACTCAAAAAATAAGGAGTAAAAATATCTGAATAAAAGTTTTCAAAAAGAATTGAATAGTTTTGAAATACCACTCAAAAGTAAGCCAGTCCATATGATTAATTTACAGTAGTGTTGTTATCCACCTCTCTTATAGACTTAGAGAGATGAATTATTCCTTTCAGCCTTACAGCATGAGTTGCATCATCCCTCTGAACTGTATTTAAGGTGCAGCTCTTGTATTAGTGTGTGTGTGTGTGTGTGTGTGTGTGTGTGTGTGTGTGTGTGTGTGTGTGTGTGTGGTGTGTGTGTGTGCACTGAAATCAACCACACCCCACTAGAAGAAGTCTAGGGCTTCATGGGACAGCAAGCATGGTGTTACACAACAGTGTGCTTCCAAAGTTTGTAATGTGTGCATGATGTGTAAGCATAATAAGCAAAAGGAGTGCGAGCGGCTGTAGTAGTAGTGCTGTCATCATTTACTACAGTGGAGAATGTGGGTCAGCCTCTGCAGAGCTCTAAGTGTAGCAACAATGAGCTCTGGGGATGTGTGTGTGTGTGTGTGTGTGTGTGTGTGTGTGTGTGTGTGTGTGTGTGTGTGTGTGTGGTAGGTGTGTGTCTGTGTAAAAAGACACCAAGAAAGGGAGTGAGTGTGTGTGTGTTTGTGTGTGTATGCTGCTACCACCTAAATTATAAACAATTTGTGTAGAGTATGTGTTGTAAAGATGATAATAACTAAAGTAACATGATTTAGTATGCAGCAAACTGTGTGTGTGTGTGTGTGTGTGTGTGTGTGTGTGTGTGTGTGTGTGTGTGTGTGTGTGTGTGTATGATCTCGTGAAAGATATTTGTCGATCAAGCTAAAACAGATTGCAGTAAGAAGCATCTGAATGACACTGACCACTGTGCCACACATCTGCAATACAGAGGAGAAAGGGGGAAGGAAGGAAATGAAAGAAATAAAAAGGAAAGTCGGAAAGATAAAGAAAGAGATTGAAAGGCCAAAAGGAAAGGAAAGAAAAAGAGGAGAAAGGTGAAGAAAGATAAGAAAATTAAAAGAAAAGAACCCAACAAAGAAATTAAAGGAAAAACAAAGAAACACCAGGGAAGTCAAAGGGAGGAAAGGAAGGATGTGAAAATAGAAAGAAAGAAAGAAAGAAAGAAAGAAAGAAAGAAAGAATGAAAGAAAGAAAGGACAGAAAATGGAGCAAGGGAAATTGAAGCAACAGAAAGGGGAAGGGGAAGAGAGAAAAAACAAGGATGGGAAAAACAGAGCATGAAAGAAATGTAGACGGGGAGGGAGATAAAACACGATGGCAGGGAGTGAGAATGTGAGGACACGAAACGAGGGAATCACAAGTTAATGTGGCGAGAGAGTAAGAGGGAGAGGTGGTCCACTGACCTGCTTTTCACAGCTAACTAAAGAAGAAGACGGTTTCTGTCATGCGAGCAGCCAGCCAGTCAGAAGAATGAATCGAAGCCAATCAGATGTCAGATTTTAGTGAGCGGGACTGATTGATGTTAGAAATTAGAGCTCAGGCACATCTGCTGTGATAACGGCCCTCACTACCTGCTGTAGGACTGGGTGAAATATCAACATCTTTGTATCTTCACGCCATGTTTCTAGTGCTATGAACCTGACTCCTGTAATTCCTCCATAGCCATGACTGTGCACTTCATTGTTGTATAAATGAGTAGCAATGGTTGCTGAACATTTGTATTTTGTATATTATAGTTGCAGTGCTGTGCTGCTTTTTAGCCAGAACCTATTGACTGGTTGATTATTTTGACTCTGAAATGATTGAGAAGTACTAATGATGTTCAGTGACAGAAATATGCTTTTATTTGGTCTGAAGCTCACTAATTAACATTGATTATTACCTTTGGAGTCAGGCTAGCTGTTCATATTCACCATACGGAGTCAATCTTCATGTCTAACTCTTGGCAAACAAATCCAAACAAAGTGTACAGTATATATGTATATATACACTATAACATACGGTCACATCTTTGTCACTACATCTTCAACAAACGTGTATTTTTATAATAGAAAGAAAAACAGCCTTAAATTCAGGGTGGTCATAATGCATTTACTTGAAGTTCAGCAAATAGGTCTTTAAAAGTCATATTACCTCAAGATTCAGACATTTGCTTCTATTCAATGCACTGAAAAAAGCATCACAAAGATTCAGTGCCATAGTGACAGTTTAATCAGAGGATACTGGGCAGGTTAACCTTCTGCCTGTACTACCAAAGCAAGTCTTTGCCATGTAAAATGATGTGAATAATAAGAGCTGGCTAACAGTCCTCTATACAAGCTGAGCCTGCACAGATGCTCAACTATTAACTTTAATTTTAGTCACAGGACAGACATTCCTAAAACTTAAAGTCAGAAAGCCCTGTCTTTGTGTCTCTGCCAGGTTCAGCTGCAACATGAGGCCAGCAATAAAGACCCACGTGTTCCTGCTGAGCGAGAGCTGCCCCAACAAGGTGTGTGGATGGTAGCATCAGACAGACAAACAAACCGGTGTCGTCAGATAGCAATTAGTATGTTCAAGCTGTAGCTGTGATGTGTATAAAGATAAAGATTGTACACACTGGAATATAAGAGGTAGTTGTCTTAATCTCTGATTTACCAGTAGCTGCATCAACTTAGAGTGAGCATATTAATATAGACTACATAAAGCTATATAGTTGAAGATAGATAGGCCATGGTGTAAAATATGTGCTAAAAGAGAAAAAGGTTGAACATAACAGGGGTAGGAATAGAAAAACAGAACTGACGAGTGTAAATTAGACTGCAGGGGAGTCTGAAACCTCAGCAGCATGTTGTTCTGATCTTCGTATTACTAACCAGGTGTTCCTCACAGCTGCAACAACAGACACAAGCGGACACACTTCACTGCCAGGCCTCCCATGAGGCTTTAGGGTGGTCCAGTAGGGTAGCTACATGCTGTCCTATAAATTCGGGCACCTCAGCTGTGTGAAGCCATCTACGAGGTAAGTATCAAAACACTGTCGCAGAGGGAAGATGGGGTGGTTCCTCCTGTTTAGCCAAGTGCTGTTGATCAATCACCCTTCCCAATCAATCTCTGACAATTATTGGCTTGTCTGGTAACTGCCAGTTAGTGCTTAGGGACATGCTAATGTAATCGACCAGTCCCCTGATCAATCACTCTCAAGGCAGGATGCACATATATTACATTTCACTGCCTGCACACCTGTGAGAGCTCTGTGAGAGATGCCTTTACTATGAAAATCTGCTCACATACAATCCTACTGTGAGCCCAGCTACTAGTGATGATGCAGTGATAGTCTGGTTTCAATAGCGACGTTTGTACCACAGAATTTTGGTACCGATGTTGCCACTGGTCCGATTTTGTTAATGCATGTTTTTGTCCCTTTCATGTAAAGAAAAAGGGTCTCAATACAAAAAAATACATGAATTTGGAGTCCATGTTGAGTGTTTGACCACACTGTTAAACCACTGCTAATCAAACACCTTGGTAAATTATCAGCATTTCAGTGCAGGCTTTAGAGACTGACATCTATTGGCTTCTGTTGACTACAACGGCATTCTGACCTCCATCATGCAAGCTAGAGGAAACACAGCTGACAACACAGACAAGATCCAAAATGCTACATCCACACTGACACTCTACATGGCACCAGCAGATATTCCATATGAAACATGACAACAATAGGCAACAAGGATGCATGTTTTGCTCATGTGCTACTGAGACTGCAGACTCTATTCATAACATCATCATCCTTGTAGTGAGTAGCCTTGGATGGCATCCAAAGGCATCTCTACACACAGGGATGTCAGAGTGAACTGGTAAACAAACCCAACAGACTTTATAATAAAAACAGACAGCAGGAGGATTTGTTGGTGCATCTTGGTCTAAAGCAAAATGACAATGGCAGTGATTATTAAATATATTTTGTGTATGCTGCCTGTCATTAAATGAAAAACATTTCCCATGGAATCCCTGATGCAGAACCTGCTCTGTCTGTCTGAAACAAAAACAAACCAAAACAGCTTGGGAAGAACTAACACAAGCAATTTCCAAGACATTTAAATCCACATAGTTGCTACAGAAACTATAGGCAACTGGACTTACTTTGAGGTAATCATTCTCGGATCTCAGCTCTTCTATTTCCCGGACAAACTCCTCATGCATGCCGTCCATAAACTCCTCTGTGAGGTCTGAGAAAGCCAGGGATGTGCTGGCAGGCACCCTGCTGTCAAACGAGGTGACCGAGCGCTCATCGCCGGGGGATATGCTCCCTTCCCCGGTCTCCACGGCCAGGGAGAGCCGGTCCTTGTAGTCCCTCTCCGCGGAGGAGCAGCTGGTCTTGGCGGCAGCTTGTTGGCTAGCTCTGTCCGCCAATGCGCCGTCCCTGGGCGGCTTGTCTCCGTCCGGCCCACCGCCCCGGCTGCTCCTCGATTCGGCGTCGCTGCTCACAGCGTCCGTGGAGAGCTTGTTTTCCTCAGAGGCGCAGTCCGATAGCTCGGAGCTGCTGTCGGTCGGGGAGAGCTTCCCTGTGGCGCAGCCTGAGTCCTTGGATAAATCGTCGGATCCGATGCTGGCGTCCGACACCTTCCTCCGCCCTCCGGTGCTTTTGCCCGCTTTGGCCGCCGAGTTCTTGGACAACCCTCCGGCGGAGAAGGAGGACTTGCCCGCCGGTTTGCCTCCACCGCTCCTCTCTGCTTTACCGTCCTTCCCGGCCAGACTCCCCACGGGGCTGCGCCTGGAAATTCGGCTGCCCAGGTGGATGGCTCCCGGTTTGACGCTCAGGGTAGGGGTCCCAATCCCTCCGCGGATCTTCGTGAGCGACCATCCGGGTACATCCTTCGGTCTGGCCGGAGACGGAGCCCGGTTTATTTTCTTCTTCTCGCCGGGAGGCTGAGCGGGCAGCGTCGCCGGGAGCTCCGCGTTTTCAGTCCGGGGGTTGTGCTGCTGCTGCCCGCTGTCCGAGCCCTCCGTCCCGCCTCCGCTTTCCATCTTCTGTCGGAGATGGAGTCTCCGTTCCTTGGGCGAGGCGAAGAAGAGGTGAGTCGGAGAGTTATGGACATCAACCTCCTTTGTTTTTGTCATTCATTCCGTTTAGGCCGAAACAAGAAAAACAGAAATGAAACCTCCTATTTTGGGGAAACAGGGGGCAGAAGTTGGTGTGAATGAACAACTGCAGAGCAACACAAAAGGAGGGGACCCTCACTCCCACCACAATGAGAGCTCCTGTAGAGCAAGAAGCAGGAAACAGTCCAAAAATAGCAAAAAATCCAAAATATAATCCCGTTTTCCACTGTGTGTGCAGCAAAATGTGCAAATGATTCCGCTTTGTTCTGATAAATCCTCCCCTCCTCTCTTCAGGATGGCTGTCTATGACATTAACTAGCCGGTTCCTGCTCCGAGGACTTGTGGGTGAGAAACAAGAGAGGCAGTGTGGTCTCTCCCTTCCTCCCTCCCTCTCTCTCTCTCTCTCTCTCTCTCTCTCTCTCTCTCTCTCTCCCCGCCCAGATAACGGGATGTAGCCCTGGAGGAGAGAGAGAGAGAGAAGAATCTCCTTTCTGCAGCTCTCTGCCGCCACCATTGCAGGATACTGGAAGGACACAAGGAGGAGGCAGAAGAAAACCAGGTAGCCTGCGGATGCTCTGAGTGATGGATGGAGAGCAGGATTCACCATGGCTCGCTATGCATCACTTGGAAGCTCAATAAAGATAAAATGGGAGCTATTGCATTGAAAATACACTTTAAGAGTTTAACGTAGCCTATACGCTGCGGTTCAGTGTTTTGCAGCCCCAAAATGACATGACATGACCATCTTGCTGCTGTCTGCACACTGTCAACATTAATTGTTTATGTTTACTTTGATGGATAGATATTTACATGTTTTGTACATGTCATAGCACAGTTTTTGGAGCCCCAGCTGCAACTTGTGTCCCCAGAGAAGCTTTTCTACCTATTTTTTTGGCGCAATGCCTTCTTGCACTGTATGAAATTAAATCATCAACACAACTTTTTTTAATTGCTGTAAGGACAACAGCATGTAGCAGCTTCCCAACCTGGTCAACAGATGCACACACAATAGACAAAAGAGAGAAAACACGACTAAAAAGAAGGTTGACAAAAAAATCGACTTAAAAACTATATGTGGAATACATGAATACCGTCAATAATACATGAAATACAATACAGTTTTCACAGAATCAGATATACATCACAGTGAACATGAAACCCATAATTAGGTTTGGCAAAAGTGTGTGTCTCATGATTAAATTCTAATAATCCTGTTATGTATTCCTCGAATTTGAGACTGAAAAAGAAATGATAATAAGTGGGGTACTGACACATTTTATTGGCTGATTGCTGATGGGTTGTAGTGAGTACAGTCTTAAATAGCCACAAATCTGTAAATTGTCGCAATATGTCATAATGTCATTTACAGATTTGTGGATATTATTTAATATCCAAATAAATCAAATTACCTTTTGATGCAGGGTTATTTTAATGGTATGTCTGTATACTGACACACAGTTGCTCCCATCATTATTAATTCACCTCCTTTCTGTTGTGGGAGGTCAGAGGGTCACCTGACTCCATGAGGGACCCCATGGTAACACAGTACAGTAAGTCTCAGGTTACCTCTCTCTCAATTCAATTCAGTTCAAAGGGACATTATTGGCATGGGAAACAGACGTATATTGCCAAAGCAAGTGTGAAATAATAACAAAAAGATGTACATTAATAGATTAGAAGACATAACTTAGTGTAAAATTGAGAAATGCTGGCTTGCAGTCAGACAAATGTAAAAACATATAAGTGAGAACTATATAAACACTGTAACTTTAAAATAAATATTTGTTCTGTATGTGTGTACAGTGTGTCTATGTACAGAGATCAATGGTTGTCCTCCAGTGGATGCCCTTCTCCTGTCTTTGTTTTTGTTATTAGCCATATTTTAGTCTACATAGGTGGTTGGACTCTCTCTTTTTCTTTTTCTCTCGTCAGATATCAGCTAGAAAGAAAAGAAGGCCAACAGTATTATTAAAACCAGATACTAAACATGCCTGGCTGATCAATCAGAAGTGTGTCTAAAATGGGGATATCAGTCTCTCACCAGCAGTGGCTGAGTGGGAGGGTGGCTTTAAACTATGAAGTTTAGCTATTAATATACTTATAAGTATAGTAAGAGTTATTGTTTACATTAGACATGAAGCTATAAGGTTTTGGTAGGTATGAGTGAGGTTTAGTGTGTAGGCAGGAATCCAGTACTGATCCTAAAGCCCAACAACCCTCAAAATACAAGACAATATTGTAATGTAACAGAAAAAAAGTCTACAGCTGCTCTGTGAGGCTGTACGTAGGCACCATATGGAACCCTTTATTAATGCTGAGAGGTAATCTAAATGATTTATATTATGTCTAATAGGTTAAAAAAAAAAACATCTGGTCCGTTCTTAGCTTGTAACATCTTTAAGGTTAGGTTGCAGGTTAGGCCTTTAGTATGTGAAGGACTTAACACATTTATTTTATTTGAATGCAACGTTTCCAACTCCCACACTATACAGTAAGAATAAAGGAAGCTTAAGCTTCCACAGTTCTTATGGTCTTGTGTGACAGTCGCCTTCCACTGGCTTAACCAGTTATAATTAGTTTCCCAGTCTTTGTTGTAGCTGTATTTCCCTGGTTTCTTCACAGCCATTGTATAAAAGCCATGTGTTAGAAAAAGCATCTGTCCTGCAGTGATTTGACTTTTGAAAACTAGAGCCAATCGAAATGTGGGGGATCGTCTCAATATGTGGGGGATCATGAATGTCAGAATTTTCTGGAAATCCATCTAATGTGCAGACATTCCTCTAAAAGCCAAAAATGTCCTGCAATATAGAAACCATTAACTTTTTATTACCTCTTTGTTAGACTATGCAAGAAGTTGTGACATCATGAAGTAGCCTACTGTTTAGTTATTAATTCATGAAATGCTTTATTACATTCCCTTATACAACATCTTTCTTGGTACATATGTATACTGAGCAAGTATAGGAAGGATGAAGTTGATGGGTAAAAATGTATTTCTGCTGTATTTTCCACAAGTGAATGTCATCTCCAGCTATTAACAGATGGTTTGTTTTATTATTAAGAAGCAGAGTGGGTCCTCCTCTGATCCCACCTATTCCCTATCTCTAATAATAACCTCTCCATGTGCTGTGTCTCCTCAATAGTATGACTGCATATATAAGCTCTTACACACTATCACATTCCATTATAACTTCCAATATAAATGTAACAGCATAGATTTTCATGTTTACTCTCTGTTCTTGATCTTTTGTTTCAGTTGTGGCTGTTTGTGAAACTGTGATCATCATAAGATCAAAGTCTCATCATCAAAAAGCCAATGCAAGATGTCGATACAGTCTGCGGTGGCAGAATCACCCTCTGTGAATCATTTATGAGCAGAAACACTAGACCAGCAAACACAGAATTAGAGCAGCTAGAATAGAGTTCAGCACTGGTCACTGGCCATTTGTTGTTTACCAGACAATAAAGTGGGTCTTGTTTGATGTGATTGTACTGTGACGATAACCAGACTAATGCATGACTCAAAGACAAAACTGATTATGGTGCCATTATGCTCTCGGTCCACGTTAGGCAGTCATGTATCATTGCCAGGTTTCAACTGGTTGTTTTAACTTGAGAGATCACATGGTTCTGTATGAACAGAGAAAACGATTCCTATACATGTATAGTCTACATCTCAACAGCATAGTGCCATTAGTGCTACAATAACCATTGTCATTGATATATATGGAGCATTATGAGGTCAGAAAATCACCTTTGGCTCAGTTGATCAAAGAACAATTTATATACTGGCTCTATCCTGAATCCAATCTGTGCTGGAGCCTTTCTCTCACACTAAACTGTATTAAAGAAAGAAAAATCTTTAAAGATGATGATGGGTTGTATTATTTTTCACCAAACATTCAATTCTATTCACCCTCTCTCAGTCCTGTGACATTTCTAAATCCCCTGGCAGTGATCTTACAAGATGCTGTTATGGACAGGAGGGGTGAATTCATAATCAGTCTGTAAATCATTCATGGCCAATGATCCTGCAGTGGCAGCCACAGAATTACATCTGATAGACTGTACCTCTCCATTCTCACCGGAAATGCTGAATGCCTGCCAATAACAGGCTCACAATGCATTGAGCAAATCACAGATATCCAATGGAAACTGATTCACTGTACTAATTTACTGCAGCCCATAATCAGCTGGAAAAGTTGAGAAGTCCTCTTGTGTAGGCGAGTTTTATATCTCTAGTTTGTTTTGCTGATAAGAAAAAAATAAGAGGCTTTGTGCAGTTAGCATATAAGCAACTTGGCTAAATGGTGACAGAATCAAACTGACAGTAAGGTAAAATATGTCACAGCACTGTCTACACTGGGTGGTATCTCCCCTCTCCTCTTGTTTTCTCCCCCTTTTCCTCCCCCCCTACAAGTAATTTCCCCACAGGGATTATTAAAGTATTTCTGATTTCTGATTTGGAGAAAAATCTAATTAAAAATACAATTATTGTTAAGCAACAACAATGTTGTAATGCAACATTCATATACATGTGACACTTCTATGAGTTGTCAAAGCAGGAATAGCATGTTTTACTAATAAAGTTAATGATGGCTGTGTTCTATACAAGTGTCCCAGTATGACAGTGAGCCTCCCTGAAACTGAAGCAGCTAAATGGAATTCAGCCATCATTCATTTTATTATTTACACCTGTGTTTTCCTTACTGTCGTGTCAAAATGTCTTCAGTGAAAAGTGAGTTTTGGTCAAATCTTTCATATTGTGCAAACCAGAAGACATTTACATGATCTATGTCATACCGACTATTTTGTTACCCTTCTGAGCATTGCAATTCTATACTCAGATTATACACTTATTAAGTCTCCAATTCAACATGAAATTTTTAATCTGGAATGCTAGAATAGATCTTTGAATCATTAATGAACATGCAGGCCATCAATTGCTGCATATAAGGATATGGTAAAAGGCATTCATTAAATAATTAAGTGCTACACAAACAGCACCCATGTTGGCCCTCACAAAGCCCTACATCAAGTCCTTCCATAACAGCCCTGGAAAAAACACAAGGTAGTTTTTAGCCAATTCACAATACAGTGAAATAACTGCATCAGCAACATTACAACCATCCCATCAATGTTAATGCGGTTTGCTTGTCACTGGCAGCTCTTTGTAAAATGCAAAGTAACATTAATTAGGCCCACTGTCACGAGGACACGGAAACATCTAACACACAGTAATACCTGGATTTTTTAATTTTATTCAACCCTGTCAGCAGAACATGGTGTATATATATATATATATATATATATATATATATATATAGCCATTCCCTCAGAATTCTAGCAATAGCAGCAAGCACATGTGTGGTTTGAACACGCTAAACTCATGTTAGCTTACCGGTAAAATCACTTCAGTAAGAAATACCAATCCAGTAAGCACAAATGTTCCAAATTGAAATTCATGCTTTAAAATATACAAGATTACATGTGCTCTGCAGTCTGCTTGTCTGGGCGTAGAGGCGCTACCAGCCAGTGTGCCACTGTGGCTTTGACACAATGGGTGAATTTGCTAAAACTAGTTTCCAGGTTATTTAGCAAAGCAGATTCTTTTTCATGTATTAATCCAACCTTAGTGACAGGTCTGTAACAAGAGTATTTACAGGATTGATGTTTTAATTCCGCTTCATTACTTGCTTCCTTGATGCCAGTCACTGAAACAACCAGTCATCCGACCTCTCATCAAGAATATGAGTGTAAATGAGGCGATGAGCACCATACAGTCACCATGATGCCCCAAACCACCCCACTGTTGTTTAGGCCTCAGTGGAAGACCAGAGGGAGGAAACCCAGCCGACCAACCAGCAAATACTCGTTAACAATGAGCATATTTTACTAATTATCTGTGAAAACACACCCTGATGTGCCTTTCATTGCTGTCCAATCTGGGTATTAGAGTGTATGATTTCCATTCTGCTTTGCTGAGAGGAAAAAAGGCGATAATAGAAACTTGCTGTCCTTGCAAGTTATCTTCAGTCCAGTAATTAGAAAGCAGTTGGTGTGTGTTGGTGGTTATAAAGATGAGCTGCATCAGCAGTGCCACTGCCACATTCTGCCTGCTGACAGGAGGAGACAGATACATTTGTACTATATCTGCTCTCCTTTTATTTACTTGTTGCTGTATGTTTTGCACTTTCTAAACTAAGAAACATCTAATATAATATATAACATATAATTACCAGCCATTTAATTAATAATAATAATAATAATAATAATAATAATAATAATAATAATAATATGATCAAAACACCTTGCCTACTTGCTCAGAGTAGTAAGGAGATGCTAAGCAGGTGATAAAATGTCTATACCAGGATGGGATAGTATGTTTGCTGCCCGTTTGTGTCTGTTTCTCTAATTTTCTTGGACAAAAATGTTCAAAGAAATTCCCAGTGTGTAACATTTACGAGGATCTATTGGCACAAATGGAATTTACAGTAGCCTAGAATGAACAAATAAAACACTGGTTCTAGATAGGGCCTTTCGCAGTTTTGTGACCACCTTAGTTTCTCCTTCGTAATTAAATGACTGAGCTGTGTTTAGTTGGTTGCAACTGGTTAGTTGGTTGTTTGACATTTTGAAAAATATTTGTTTTACGGTCAAACAGAGCCCAGCTAGCAGGTTCTGCCTGTTTCTGTTAAGTTAAGCTAATGGCTGCTTGCAGTAGCCTTATTTAGATTTTCTGCACCTACATGAGAGCGATATTGATCTTCTCACAGCAAGACATAAACCTATTTCCCAAAATGTCAAACTATCGATTCAAATGTGTCTTTATTTTCTTCAGTTTTCAACACACTTCATGTCTTCACACTATTATTTTTAGCACCATAAAAAAGTTTCCCAATCATCATTACTGCATATTTCTAATCACTTCCACGTGTTTTATCACAGTTTTACCGAACTGGAGTAATGCTGTGTGGGTGTTTCCCTTCTGCAGCAGGGTTGTCAGGCTCAACTGATTATTTTGAACCCCCCTGTGAGAGTCAGAGAGGAATTTTTTTCTCCTGCAAGTAAAATGAGTCTCATGTGGCTCGCTTTATCTGGAATAACAAGTTTCTCCTCAGCTCTCCCTCCCTACTGGGTACAGTAGATGGCCTATATATGATGATATCAAATCACAGACCTCTTGCTGACACTGCTGGATCTCGCCTGGGGTTTTTCAAAAGTGTGCAGTGTGTATATGTGTGTGTCTGAGTGGTCCCATACTCTTATCATTGTTTAAGACCATAAAATAAGGAAAAAAATTAATATCATCATCATCTTGACTTTAAAAAGCCTCATTATTGGATTTAAAATTCAGATTGGCATTTATCAGTTCTGTATCCTGGTTCCTGACCTCATCTTAACTATTTAAAATATAATCCTGTAATCAGAGGAAGATTGAAAGATTTAAGAATATTAATTTCCCTCCCATAATCAGGCTTGAACATTTCCAGAAAACTAAATTGACTGAAATTCTAAATAAACAAATAAATAAGATACAAAAACAAACCATTGACACATGTTCTTGTCCTCCTGTACCCAGTATCTTACAGTGGTGGAAAGTAACTAAGTACATTTACTTTACAGTAACCTGCACATTAGTGGCCTCCACTCAAGGACTACAGATGACTAGCTCTGTCTGGTTCAATACATGTGCTGTGCATTGTCCCTGCTAAATAAACACAAAAATAAATAAGTAGGTTTTGAGGTACACTTTACTTCTCTACTACAACATTCCAGAGGGAAATACTCCACCATATTTACCTGACAGTTTAAGGTAATTGTTTTGATTAAATAATTAATGCAAAATCTAATAAACAAATAAATGATTATACATTATTGTAGATTAAGCTACGCAGCAGTGTAGTTAAAATTAGCCCGACCTTTACCAGCTGCAACAGAGTGATAAACACATTAGTGTAATAATCCAGTAAAATAATATATATTATTCTGAAATGGGACATTCTGCATTATGAGTACTTTTGGCACTTTGATGATTTGATACTTGTACTTTTATTTAAGAAAACCTTTAAATGCAGAACTTTTACTTGAAACAGATCATTTTTTATACTGAGTACTTCTTCCACCACTGGTATCTTGACTATCTAATAGTAATTTTATATATCATGAAAAAGCTTTTATTTCACTAAATACTAGTTTACTTGCTCAGATGTAACGTATACTTCCACATCACACTGGGAAGTTATATAATTTATTCCTCAATTTTACTATAATTTACCTTGTTTATGTTCTATAAAGTTTATTTCCATTATTGTTCCACAATTGAATACAGTACACATGCTTTTATTTATATTCCATTATTAATATTATGTTTGTGGGTTAGCTTTTTCAAAGTGTTTGGTTACTTTATTGTATCAAAACTAATTTAAAATAGCAAGGATTATGAATGCCCAGCTATTAGAGGACATTAAAAAATAATCAGTTATCCAGATTCAGTTCCACATAGAGGGCAGAGTTGATCAATCTTCTACCTCCATCTAGTGGTGAGCAGAGTAACGTACAGTGGCAGACAGAGACCACAGTGTACTGTAGGGGAACAGTTTGGATGATAAAGATCAAAGCATTTGCTTGACCAAAAGTGTTTTTATGTTGGGAGGCAATTTGGCAAAGCAAACAGGAAGCAAACTATTAAAATGTTTACTCTGGTGCAGAGATTGATAAGAACAGATGCAATGAAAAGCAGATAAACTAAAGTTTGCATGCCATTTTCTTTCTGTCATCAAGAAATTGAGATTGTTATTTTCACTTCAGGAATGATGAGTGAGGAATGAGGAAGTGTCATTTACATTACACTTTTTCTTACTCACTAAACAGTACGTGGAAAATGGCCGTTATGCTCAATCTCTGTTTAGTCCGGTGGAATACTTTTTTAAATGCAGCATCACTATTAACACATTCCTTGTGTGTTTGTTTATGTATTATGTATGCTTGTGTGACCATCTATATGTACAGTGCAAGACTGTGTCTTTGTGTGTACGTGTGTGGTTGTGTTCAAGCAGGACTCTGTGTGCCATTGTGAGCCTGAATGGGGACCATTTTCTGCTCCACTGTTCTCTGCCTGTTCCCTCCTACTTGTTCTCATCCCATTCTCTTTTCTTTTCCTCTCATCACACCATCATGGTTGTTATGTAACGGTGGGAAAAGAAACACACACTGCTCGTCTGTCTGATGCTGCCCACAAGAGCAAATTATTATTCCTTTTCTGTGTGCAGTCATGTATAGAGTTCAGTCCTAACAGCAAGAAAAACTGGCACTTCTTTTCTTCTTCTAAGCCCTTGTTGTGCTTCATTGAGATCAATCAACAGTCAATCAAACAGTGAGGGCTGTTCTGTGACACATTTGTCTTTAGTCCATGTGATTTAGCTTATAATCAGCTTCATGAAGGTTGTCACACAAATATAAAAATCTATATTTTTATTATCTAACGATGATGAGGGTCAAAAATGAACATCTGTTCATCCTGACTAATTTACTTACAAACATGTAGGCCCCACATGTGTACTCAGAAAGACTGTCAACGTGGACCATACGCGTAATTCTTCGTCATGCTTGTGTTACTCTCTAAACAGGCAGCCAGCTAGCCAGCTGTATCAAACATATCAATGACTGACTACATAATTGATGAGAGACATAACATACTAGCTTAGCTGATGTCTCATAAACAGGGCTTGAAATGAACACCAGATATCCAAAGGCCAAATGTTATACAGAGAGAACCGTGGAGCAGAACATAACATTTTCTTTGACAAAGTTGACAACTGTGCGCTATCAGAAATTATTTCTTGATGTGTTCAGACTGCCAGAAAAAGCCCAGGTTAGGATATAATGATGCAGATTGTTTAAAAGAATCATATATTCTCCATCATTTTTAGCAATCTTAAGTTCACCAACATTTCACCACCGTCAGCTTCTGACATCCACAGAGCGAAGTGCAAAGATGTGAATTCCAGTCATTCTCATCATGTTCAGTTGATCTTGTTTAAGAGATAATAAAGGGACATCTGGAATGTCACCAGGGTGTGGTGTGCAGTGGCTACCCATGTTACATAGTCCACCTGACTTTGTTGGCCCCACAAATGTTCAGTCATCATTGAAACAAACACAGTTTCAAAATAATAGTAAGATCAAAAAATTATAACTAAGATATGTGACCCATGTCATGCTTACCTTTAGATTTACCTCAGGAATATACACATTTTTAATTCAGTAATTAATAATAATAAAACAATATGAGCAAAACATATGTGGTAATGTATCATATTACGTCTCAGATTGAAAAGATCCATTACATAAAAAACAAGAAACCATTTCAAACAACACGGGTAGTATTACATATTGGCTCCAACATCCACTCAACGTGTACTGTTATTGGCCAAGTCATCCAGGCGCTACACCTGATTGGCTGCGTACCATGCCTGTCATCCATCTAGCCACGCCCCCAAAGCCAGCGACTTCCGCTTCTGTGTCAATCCCAGGCTACACACTAAAGTCCTGCTCGTATCTCTGGACCTGTCAAAACACCCACTGTGCGCGTACCGCCGAGGTAAGACGACAGACATTGAACTACTCTGTGTATGGTCTCCTGTTGTGTTTTCAAGGACGTACATTTTGCTTCGCCTTTTGTGTACAAAGCAGGTGGCTAACTACGCTAGTTAGCCACCTTTTTTTTATTTTATTTTTTAGCCCGCCCGCTAACATCAATGCTAGCTGTCAAAAAGCTCCCTGACGTCCTGCCAGAGTTGGAGCTGCCAGCTTGCTGTGTGTTGATGAGGACAAGCAGTACCACATATGCGTATTAAATTAAATAGTTTGCATTCAAAATGGTTCGCTGAAGTTAATTAAGTTTTAATATGGCACGCTAGACCAATTGCTAATGTTAGCAAGCAAACAGTTATCGGTAGCATATAGCATTTGGGATGCGTTCTCCTAGGCACTCAAGTTTGTTAAGTTGTCAGTGAAGATATCATTATCCACACACAGCTCGGCTTAAGTGAAATATAAATGACTAATACTGTTAGTCATCGGTCTCATTCTCGTGTATTAGCGGGAGCAGAGTGCTGTGTGAAACCCCTCAGAGTCCCAGAAGATTTGTAAAGAAGCAACTGGGTCCCCAGCAGAAAGGCGTAGGTTAAAGGACCCTCCTATCGCGTTTTACTGTCTCAGCAAACAGTGGGAATGTCCCAGCGCCTGTTTGGCTTCTCACTGCCTCCATCTGCATCTAGATCTGACTCACAGGACAGACTCAACAAAGCTTTGTCTTCTAATGCTGGTCCACTGTAGGTCAGTGTCAGATGCATTGACACAGCAGGCTGTTTGTCTGCTCGTCCTGATAGACATCCCTCAGAGGCAGAGCTTGTACTGCTGCATCAGCTGACCTCTGATGGTGTTGATGCTGGGAAAAGTGCTTCCACTAAGTCTGTTTAGATACATGCTGATATCCCGTTATTTAGTATATTGAAAATATTTTGATTGCCACTAGGGAACATTGCATTACAATAACTGATAAATGTGCAGACGCATTTATGATACACGTATAAGATATGAGGCGAAGTTACACACTTACACACATTTAGAGGACATTGAATATTGATCTTTTGTAGATATTTCAGCAGCAGTTGTTGCCAGACTGACAATGCGTTGAGTGCCTCAATTATTTTATGGACTGTTCTTAGTATATTTTTTCACATTTATAAGTTTTAGTCCAAAACAAATCCAAGCAGCAGTAGATTGACTGAAAGATAATTGATGACAATTTCATAGGCATTATTTGAATAGAACAGCTTCGATAAAACAACATTGAGGGTAAGATAAATTAAGTATTGGTAAACTTTTTTTTGTCATCTTTTAGTTTTGATATTTTGTTGGATAAATTATTTATTGATTCAATAGAAAAAAAAATTATTTGCGCACCTTGATAGTATACGTGAAATCTCAGAGAAAATGTATGGGATGCTGTATTCTACTTGAAAAACTGATAAACTATTTTATATATGATACGAAACATCTTTTCAATAACATTTAAAGATCTATTGATGGATATGTTTTTTTTTTCAGTCCTAGAGAAATACTTCATTAACATGTTTCATTGTAGTTTGAAATGATGTGCTGTCCACAGTAATGCACACCTGCTGATTTTATAGCTACATTACACAAGACACCAGACAATTCTCTCTGGAATTACAGCTGTTGTCATTTTGTTATGTCTTCCTCCCTAAGGTGCCTTAATTACCTGCTCAGTTAGTTGCTATGGCGATGGTCTCCATTTGAGAGGAGAGCATCACACTGTACAAATGGACTGCCTCCCACCCCCCAGAGCAGGCGGTTATGAGCGATTTCTGTGTTTGTGGATTTAGTGGTTGCCTAGTTAAGTGTTTGCTGTGAACTCCTTAAGAGCTATTTCAATTATGTAATATGTCTTTCAGTTCTGTGGTCAAATTAAAGGGAACAGGAAAGAGATTTTGCAAGGCATGTCCTAAAAGCCAGGTTTCAACACTGAGAGGAATGTTGCAGTGATGGCAGCACCAACACACTCTAAAGCAGCAGAAGACCAGTAGAAACATTCATTATGTTGGCACCCAGGTTGCAGTTTTGAGAAGTTCATTTTATTTTGGGTCCTTTCAGGATTTCATTCTTCATTTTCTTTGTGTGCGTCTTATACCTGCAGTCTGTTGCCACATGGGGATAAGGCAACGTTTGTGCTAACACTAATCTAGGCAACTATCCAGGCAACAGAGAAACAATACTGTGTGTATAATTTATGATAGAGCAGGGTAAGCGGTAGCCAATCAGTAGCCTGTCTGATGCACAGCCTTTGTATTGTTTTGCTCTGTTTTGATTGGCTAATGGTCACAGGGAGTGCATGTTTATCAGCAGGGAGAAACTGTAAGAACTAGCTGTCATTACTGACATTACAATATTGCTGATAATAAGTAGCATACAGATATTTATCTGTTATTAATGTATTTCTCATTGTGCAATCAGCACTTAAATTATCCCTAATCACTGTGGTAATAAGGTCACTACATTGTTTATAACTACTTGCCAGGGCGTCTTGTTTACTGATAGGGAAGATAATGTCAACAAACACTACTCATTTTGCAGAAGGGCTCAGTAATGTTCTCCTTTTTTGGTATGCAGTATTTTGTTATCAGCCAAGGTTGCACTGCTGCATGAGCACAATTATTATGGTAGATACCTATGAAGAGAAAGTCTCTCATCCTGATACCCTCGACACAGAAGCAAAAATCCAGCTAAACCAGATTTTCCCAGCTGAACCAGTCACACACACAGTACAGTCGCAAACAGTGTTTATCGCAGAGTGTGCCTTTGTTCGCTTGGTTTATATGCAGTCAGTTAGGAGTGTCGTGGTGTTTGCGTTAAAGGGTGGACTCATTAAAGAAGTTTCGAGGCAAAATGCTGAGCTGGCTTTCTATTACCTGTGTGAAAGTAGGACTCATCCTAGCAGGTTTTACCTCCCAGCAGGTATCGCTGGAACGTGCTGACTCATACTAGGCTGAATGGTGGTTTGTGTGTGTGTGTGTGTGTGTGTGTGTGTGTGTGTGTGTGTGTGTGTGAGTGTGAGAGTGTGAGTGAGAGACTGTGTGCTCAGCATCCTGCTCAGAATGAGACAGTTTTGTGTCCCAAGAGGATTTACATTGAGTTCTAACAGGAGGAACATGAGGAGGGCAGACTCATCTCTTCAGTCAGGGGCAGAGACACAAAGGAACTCTGGGAACAGAAGATACTTTAGCCTTTAGCTTTTGACTCTGTCCTTAGCCTTGAACTATTTGTTTTCGTTTATCTATAATGGATTTTCATACAGTCCTTCAAAATCTGGGTTGATCATTGTGGAGTTAAAACTGGAAATTATTTGCATTGCAAAATTATTCTAATCATCTTAGGGCTGTGTTTGAGTGGGACAGTGTCTTTTTTGTGATTTTCTTCCTGGACTGATGTCCTCATTCAAGGCTGAATAACTGCTGCAATCTAGACCAGTCTCTCTCTCTCTCTCTCTCTCTCTCTCTCTCTCTCTCTCTCTCTCTCTCTCTCTCTCTCTCACTGCATTAGGTGGACATGTTTTAGAGATTATAAAAAATGTTTCTGTTATCTTCATTTTGTCCCTCACAATCTCATCATGTCGCCCTTCTGCCTGTTTTTTTGTTTGTTTGTGGGGAAGAGAAACAAGAGATGCAAAGAGGTGAAAAGATTTTCATCACAATTAACCATTTAACAATGGTGCATTTTCAGCCTCTGTTAAGGTGTCCAGTTTGCATGCCTCACTTGCTTCTCATAAGTTTTGTAGTTACCTCACACATTCTCATTTATCTTTTTTTTCATCTGCACCAGTGTGCGATTTAAGCTGATTAGGTACATTATATTGCTGTTGCACCTGTTGAGTTTTATTTCCATTCTGCTGAGCAGTCGTTAATGTAGCCAGCAGTGCAAGTCCTCCCTCCGCATACCAGGATGGATGTTGGTGACGTTAGCACTTACTGTTTCCAAATCGCTCCAGTCAGTGGATGTACTCCGACAAGGTTAGTCTTGTGATTGAGGTCGAGTGAATTTGATTTCATACTCGCGGTCGCACTCTAATAAAAAGCCGTTTGTAGGCTGTTGACATTTAAACTCTCCCATGGTAATGGTCTTGTGATATGTTCTTTTATTTCCCCTCCCTCAGGCAGCAGCGATGCATCCTACTACAGATTATATACAGTAGATGGTGTTTTAAAAGGATCAGCATGAGCAGCATGAAAGGTGGGGGATGAAATTGACCTTATTTCTGTGATATAGTATGGTTGTTTTTTTTCCTCACATTGTCAGAATGTTTGTTAGGTCTTTTTAATGTTTCCTTTTCCTACTTTCTGATGTGGTTTTTGTGGACAGACAGCAGACAAATGCTGCTCTGTGTTGGACATGGTGACCTCTCCATGCTTCTTGTTCCTAATGTTGCCTCTCAGGCTGCATCACATCCCACCTTCTCTGGAATTGACAGATCAAACCAATTCCCTTCAGCCTAACCTTACTCTTTCTAGTTATGACCTAAAGCACTTGTTTAGTGACAAAGTTTCCAATATAGAGCATAGTGAATTTACCTGAATTATTCTCCTCATCTCATTATTTAGTTTGTTTTCTAAAATGTTTGTGAGACAAAAAAACTAAGTGCAAGTATGTTGGTCAACAAAGAGCAGCAGCTGATGTTGTTCTTTGTAATTTACTGTAGGGGCCTCTGTTCTGTTTAACTCTTGTAACTCTGAATTTCAGAAAATACACTGATCATATAAGCAGAATGTTTTCATGGCGTAAAATATTTACCCCTATGTAAGTGAGCGCAGGCCAGAGCAAGCTTGATATTGTCGAAAGCAAGAAGTTCTACAAAGAGCTGTCTCTACACCTGTACATCGTGGCCTGCAAAACAGCTCTGTCCCCACGCAACCAAATTAGTTTGAAAGCAAAGGCAGCAAGGAAGTTTCTCTGTCCAGTGTTTGTTGCTTCATTGCAGCCTTTGCCTGAGTTACCTGAATGAACTGTAGCCTTTTCTGTTGAGTGTATTTTTGTCGTCTGTACATCTTTTGCTACACATGCAATGGTGTGTTGAGTGTGGCTGGGTCCACTCTTTACTGCTGTCTCTCCTCTGAGCACCTACTCTCACACACGCACACGGAGATCAGCAGAGTGGATGAAAGAGACAGTGGAGAGAGTTGATGATGGCTGCACTGTGCATAAAAACATCTGTGTGACAGCTGATGTAAAACAACAGAATGAATTGGATCAGTGAAGCTCAATATCACCAATACTGATCAGTTTAAAAAAATGCCTTGATTGGCCCCGCTACTTATCTGGACATTCCTGGTTTAATAACTTTATTTCAGTAACTTGCATCACTTAATTTAGGGATGTACTGATTACCAATTTTTCATACCAAATTCAAGTACAATTATGCACTTCGGCTGTTACATCGGTTTGTAAAAGATCTACAAAGAGAGGGAGACAATAAAGCGAACTATTTAAATATTTACAAGCTCAAATCAACTATTTGCATATAGGCTAAACTATAGGAACACCCTAATCCAAAGATCCTGAAAGAAAAAGTGAGAAAGAAGGTAAAATTGACTATTTACATATTTACAAACCGTAAGAACACCATAATTCAGAGATCCGGAGAGAAAGAGTGAGAGAGAAGCTCAAACGTGCCCCATACGCCACACCTACTGACTGCCTGTGAATGGCGTAAGAGGAGAGGGAGAGACCCTGGCGTTGTTAGCAGAAGAGGCGTAAGATGTTTGTGAAAGAACTGCAAACAAAAACTCAGACAACACAAATGAGAGAGCTGGCAGCATAAGCGACAGTGAAGGCAAAAGTCTGATCAGTGAGAAAGAAGCATAAGGAACTGTAAACCACAGGACAAAAAAGACCAACTGTTTACATTATTACACAAATATTTGTTAGAGAGGTATAACTTTTACTTTTGAGATGACATTTTTTTCCTTTATTGAGTTTTATTCTCTCAAATTCTTATTTTTAATTTATTATATTTAGAGTTGTTCTGATTCCGATACCAGTATCGGAAATGCCTCCGATACTGCCGAAAATGCTGCCATCGGTATCGGCGAGTCCAGGCACCGATCCGATACCATGTAATTTATAAGAAATAGGAATCTATTTACTTGTTAGCTCTGTTAGCTCTGACACAGTTCTCTAAGACGGCAACATGTGCAAAGAAGCAATTTTAAAAAGAATAATTATTCCTATATTTATTTAGTTAAGTTGCTGTTGCACTACTGTTTTATATTGTTCTATTTAAAAGTAAATTTAAAAATAAATGGCTTCCATTTGCTGTATTCATTCATGTTTTACAAAGGGTTTAACCTGAGCCAGGCCTTACCACAATGATAACCATATAACAGTCATGCAGGCGTAGTATGATTTCTTCTTTTTTTTTTAAACACACTGTTATCGCTATCGGTACTCGGTAACGGCCGATACCCACAGCACGAGTATCGGAATGGGTATCGGGAGGAAAAAATGGTATCGGAACATCTCTAGTTATATTGACACAAATCTGATGTCTTAAAGGACCAGTTCCATTCTGAGAAGCCACTGGTCTGGTCAGGCAGGATTTCATTCAGATGATACACCACCAATCCTACATTTAATTTCAACTTGAATTGAACTGCTTCCCTATCTACATATTACATGCTTCTAATTTATTCAAAAGTTGTGTGTTTTAGAATGTGTATCTATGTGTGTGAAATTGACCTGTGGTATGTGTTTCACAGAGGTGTGTTACCTATTGAGCTAGGTGTGTGTGTAAAGAGAAAGGAAGAGGTGTGTGTGTATGTGCTGTATCATTACTGAGTACTGGGCTCCGTCTCGCATGGCAACAGCTCTCGTCTCTTAATTTTTCGTCTCTCTCTCCGTCTGTATCTGGTCCTCTCTCTCTTTGTCCCTGCGGCTTTGGATGTTTTTGTCATCCCTCAGAGGACAGCACAGAGACATGTTGCTAGGCTAGTATCTGTACACTGGACTTATGAATGGAACAGCCACATCGGTAGGTTTGTCTTTAAGGTTTTGAATGATGAGCTTATTTGCCATTTGGAAAGTTTGACAGTGGGGTTGCTACAGTAAGAAGCTATGGTATATCCTGTTTGTTAAGAGAGGGCGGAATTAAAATGTAAGGTCACTGGGGTCAGTATAACATTGTTTATGATTATCTGGACCAGAAGTAATACATTGGATTGCTTAGACAAATTGTCACTAGGTACTGGTATTGTTAATTGTGTCCCTGTGTAAGGGATAATGTTCAGTGAGCTGTTGTGATGCAAGTCCCTGATGCAAGGCATCACCCTGTCAGGGTTTATTTCTCAACAATGGCCCGCTCGCTGTTGAGGGTTGCAATGGTATGAGGATTTTCACTGTACGATATCACGGTCTCAGGGTATAATGGTATATGGTGTAATTATTATCATTAGCAGTTGAAATTACCTTTAAAGGATTCTTTTTGGGTTGAAGAAACGCTTTATTATAATTTCACAAGATTAGATATTTGAATTTTAAGGGTAAAACTAATAGGGTAAAATTCTTAAGACTTTTAATAACACTATGATAGAATTCAATACCGTAGATACGTAAATACACATGGTATGACAACCATCAGGAATTCATACCATAGTATTGCTATACAAAATTGGTATTTAAAATGTGCCCCCCCCTTTTTGAATTAGTCTGTCATCTCCTCATTTACGATATTACTGTTTTGCATTGAAATGTATTGTTTAGAGTTGTCTCTTTGTCTTGAGGAATATCAATAGCTGTCAGCAGGAAATAAATCTAAACCAACCAAAATTCAGTTGTTCAATTATTCCATTTGAAATGTGTTATTTCAGAATATTTTGTGTTATTTTGGATTGAACTCAAACTACGATATTGGGTCTATCTTCTGAATTAAACAATAATGGAAAAACTCTTCTGATTATTATGCCCTTATATTGTATGAGAGTAGCTTCATAATTATAAGCATCTTTTTTTCATTGTGGTCTGAATATTTACAGCTAATGTTTCTGATGGGTCAAAAGTCATCATTTTACTTATACTTTCTTCTGGTGAAAAAAATAAGTTAAACCAGCACAAGATGAACTCTAAGCTTGTAGTCAGCAACTTTGTGGTAAATGCTTTATGTGCAGGAAACTCTAAGATAAAAGAAGTTAGTATTACCAAGGTGAGGCTGCCTTCACCTTCTGCTATAAAACTTTATCTCTACAGCCATCATGTCAAACACTTGTGTTTCTCTGTATTTGTGTCTCCAATGGAACAAGAGAGCCTTAGATTAAGGTTACTTGTGATAAGCCATTGTCCAAGTATGGAGGAGTGTGTTTGTGGTGTGTGTATGGTGCCATGTCTGTCATGGTTACGTAACAGCTCACAGTCAGGACAGAGCAAGCGTTATAGTCTGAGAGCTTATTACAGCCAATCAGAGAGCGTGTGTGTGTGTGTGTGTGTGTGTGTGTGTGTGTGTGTGTGTGTGTGTGTGTGTGTGTGTGTGTGTGTGTGTGTGTGTGTGTGTGTGTGTGTGTGTGTGTGTGTGTGTGTGTGTGTGTGTGTGTTAGTTAGAGAGAATTTGTGTAATTTATGTGCACAGTTATGGAATAGTTGATAATCAATAAGTTATTAAAAACATTTACTTTCATCTGTAGTTTCTCATGCTGCTTTGAGATGTAAGGAAATATTACTACAAATCCCAAAAGAGAAATAATGTAACTTAATAATCAAGTCCACAGCATTCATGAGAGCAGTCGAGAATAACATCTAGACCTAGATTCATTCCCAGATATTGCACTTATTTTCAATTTCCGTTTGTTATCAAACATGCAAACCTAATTATTAAGTCCCTCCTGAAACTTTACTTCAGAAACACTTAAAGGAGTTGTATGTGTTAAACATTTTATAGCCTGAGGGTAGTTGCAGTTGTAGTCCAACCAGTGGTTGTACTTTTTCTCAAATGTCGCCACATAAAAAGAACTGTCTTATGATCCGGCCCACACAGAAGCTGCACCCGCACAATTCTGACAGCAACTCAACAGATTTTCTGCAGCTTTTACACTAATAGAAATGCTGCCTGTAAAACTGAATGTTAACACATCTCCACCCCTTGAGCATGTTGTGACAGTTGTATGTCGTTTTTGAGATGACATCATTGATGATTGTTTTCAACTGTAGCTCATGAAATAAAATGTCAAATTCTACTCAAATCGACTAAATATTTCTTTCACCCTGATTGATGTAATATATCAGCAATTTGCGGTTTTTGGGCTGATGGTGGCCAGCTGGAAATTTTTAACAAATTGCCCAACCATAATAGCTTGTATGCACAACACCCTTAAAAATAGTTCTTCTTTATTGGGTTGTAGACGTAAGATCTAAAACAGGAGCTTGGAGTTTGTTCACTGAAGGGACTTCAGAAACTGTTGGAAACATAATGCTTCCTTTTACCTAACACAAAATAAGAACTGTGTGGTGACCTCCAGGCGTGGTTTTTGCTCATGGATGATGAGGGGTTCCCACTTAGAGACTTGGTGAATTGTAGCCAGTAAATAGAGCTTTACGGCTAAAGTAGGCTACCATACTAGGACGTGTTGGACAAATTATCGCTTCTTAAAAAGTGACAAGGAACGTTCAGCAAAGCATCATTATTCTTGGTATGAATGGATCATACTGTTCACCTGCAGTAGTGTTGTAAAACTCATGCAAATCACAGTTTCAGCCATGTTTGCTTTAGTTACAGACATAGCGGTAGGTATCACTTGCTTTTTGTCCTACAGTGCTGTTGCTTCATAGAAAAGTTAGCAATGTGTTTCCAAGATGACTAAACCATTTTGTCTAACATTTAGTGACTAGAAGTCAGTACTCCATCGCTTACCATTTTTGTACAGAAGATGTAGTGTGGTCAAATGGTCAAATGTGGTCATTTAGGTCGTTCCTAAAGGGATTTTTCTGAATGCCCTAAAGGACATGAGATTTAAAAAAAGAGAGATTTTCATGATTTTCAGTCAAATTTCTGTGTTGGCCTAATGTTTTACATTACCCTGATTTTAAAACAACATAGGGGATAGGGGATATCACAATTGTGCTCCTTCGAAGCTGGCAGTAGTTTGAGAAAGCTGTCTTTGTATTTTCATCTTGTCATATTTCCTCCAATCTGGGTTTTAAAAAGCACTGTTGAACTCTTGAGATTTTTGGGAGTGCCCTGGTTTATGGGATTATGAGTCCACATATCAGGCTTGTTGTTTATATCTCTTATATCAATTTGATTGTTGTTTAAATGGGGTAGTAAGGACTTGTGACAAAGTAACAGAAATAGAAAAAAGAGAGGTTGGACAATTAGCTTTTAGAACAATTTAATACCAGTTTTTCATCCATTCTCTCCACCTCATCGATCGTGGACGCCAAGGCCAAAGTTCATTTGTGTGTTAAAGGCGTTACCTGGCAAAGGTAAAATCTTTCCACTGTGTAGAAAAAGGCAGAGTAAGAGGAGGGGAAGGAGAGAACAAGCACTGCTTTCCCTCAGATTCATGAATTAATAAGTATACAAAAATGATTTATCTCATCTGGGATTTAATTGCACTGGAGGTATGTGTAAAGATGTTGTAATTCTGATAACCTTATCAAATCAATCTTGGGAAAATATAGAATGATAATCCACTGTTTCTGTGTTATCCAGAAGTAACTAGCAGCAGCCTTTCAATTAAATTTGATTCATTTAAGGTTTTTTCCTGATTTGTATACAATTATTCAGTAGCTTCTGATGCTCAACACTACTAACACTACTCGGTGCTACGGACACATTTTGGTTGGTAAAAAGTATTCAATATCAAACTCTAGTCCTAATGTTTAGAGCCACGTGTAACTTAAGATTAAGCATTTAGCTTTCCCTGTGTGTTAGAAAAGAAAGAGACCCCTGCGGTGTGTCTAACCTGCTGCTGAGCTTCTGCTACAAACGATGAATCAGTGTAAGTCAACATTTGTAGTGTTTGCCATGTGGGCTGTGTCATTGTGACCAAAATGTTTCCTTGTACTGTTACTAAGGTCAGGCATGCTGGTTATAGTGGTAAGAAAAACAAGTGGATTAATTATGTGTCACTATGGATCATATTCTGTGTCACTGTGAAGAATGTGGTGAAGTGGGCAGTGATACCAAAGTGGTAGAAATTACATATTATTTTTATTATTAGAACAGTGTGATCTGCTGCTAGCACAGTGAAGTATTTCCTTCTGAATGCTATTTGATTTTTAAGGGTGACTAATTGACATACTTATTAACCTGTTGGCGTCACTTCGCTTTGTATAATGTGGTGTACTTATTATCTGATTGAACTGGAATTACTGCCTGTTGGTTGGTTTACTCATTGACATTCAACAGGATAAAGAGAGGTTCCTTTATCTATAGCACAGTGACAAACATGGTTAGGGCCAGTTGAATCAAATGTTTTTTTTAATGTTTTTAAAGCTAATTTGGCTAAATGAATGCACCTTTTTTCAAAAATGAGACAACGGTTGTGATCAACATTTGATCAACACGAAACAAGCAGCCAGTCAGCAACCTGTTCCATTCACAGCCATTGTCCTGCTTTAAAGCGATGAGCTCACATGTAGAAAGAGATAGTACAGTCCAAACAGGGACGTCTGAAAACAAGAGTTGGTGTCAGATATTGAAGCCATGTGTTGCTCAATAGTTCAATAAATTTCATATAAAGTGTAATTGAGATTCAAAGTGATCGTTTATTATGCTGATTGGTCTCATAAAGAACATTTTACAACCGTGTTGACTATGTTTAACTTGTTATTTTGGAATTTGAAAATCAAAGGCCATTTGGGGTCATCAGTATAAACGATGGAGAGCCAATGTACCAAACAGAAGGCAACAAAGACCCAGAATGCCAGTGACAGTGGTGTCCCGATTATGTGACCACTGGACTAGAAAACTCTCTGTTTGCACTCAGTGGGCCATGATAGGCAATCTTGTTGCTCAGCCAGACTAAACAGATTTTCTGCTGGTAGCCTAGATAGGTGGGAATGAACCTTAACTGCTATTTATACTGACCCTCCAAAGGAAGCAGTCAGACGTTTTCTGTCCTCTCAGCAAGTTGCTTTCATTAGAAAGTTCTCACTCCAGCGTTGCTACATAACTGATAACAGAAAATGTCTTTGTTAACCAATTAAAATTAATTGATCAGAATATAAAATAACACTTGGGGTTATGACTAGTCGCTGTGAGAGCAAGTTCTCTTGGTCCAGCCAAATAAAACTCCTCCTGGAAATGTGGACTAATAAATAATATTAGGTTTCCTCATTGGGTATTTCTTTGTTAAAAGGAGGAGGATTACAGAAGTTTAGTGCAAAATCACATCTCTGGGGTGAAGATATTATAGTTTCTCACAATGCTCCTTAAAAGACAGCCTTCATTTAGACAAAATAACAGTAATACTCACACTATATTGTAGTTTCGAGGCACTAAGGTGAGACTGATGTCTTGACTTAGTCTTATTGTTAGTCCTGACTCCTGACTTTGGCTCTTGTTAACACAGTTCTTATGGTTTACATTCATTAACCGTGGATAAACTCTTATCTTAACTTATGTGTTGTTTTTTTGTCTCTACAGGTTACTGATTTTCTTCTGTCAGCACAAACTGAACTCTGAAGGTACATCAGCTGTTCAGCTGCTGTCTGAAACAGAAGATTAATCTGATCAACATCTCCTGGTGTAGTTCTCCTTTGGTCAAACCATCTGCCAGAAATCAACATTATACCGAGTTTGGGACATTCCCCACCTACATATTAAACGAACATTGCGCTGTTGCCGTGGTGACACTCTAGAGGGACCTTGATCGACAGGCCTCCCTCCAGAGGAACTCTGAGGGGCCGCCATCAAAAGGAGCATGTGCTAGAAGTTGTACATCTGTCCTGAACGACTGGTCGGCTTTGACTCTAGAAGATGAGCAATGAGGATGAGTTCTACGACGCCGTCACAGGTGGGTGGGTGTGTCTGTGTGTGTGTTTTCACATGGTCTAACAGTCTTTCTCAAAGAAAAGACACTTACACTTACTCAGTAGTCAGTATTGATGCTTTTTGTTATTTTTCTGACTAGTTCAAAAATGGAAAGTTCTTCCTCAGAGAGACAATTCACTAATGCTGTTAGCCGACCAAATGCCTAAAGTAATGCCGGAAAAATTTTCTCTCTGTGGATTTTAACATGATTATAAAGTCTTAATAGAGTTTAAGTTTAGTCTAATTTCATAAACCCAATATATATGTATTGATTATTTTTATTAGGATCTAATTTTGTCTTCAATGATTTTGATACTGTTTTTGCTGAAAGGGACTGTCAGTCCTAGTTAGATTTTGTCTCTATTATAGAAGCATAATACCATCCAATGCAACCTAACCTGCCTTAGTCTGATGATTAGTTCAATAATTCATAAGTCTGCTGTCTTGTGATCATGATCAGTAATGTTACTAACACCCTGGATTCTGGGGATGTTTATGGTTGTCGTTATGTCTGTATGTTTTTGTATTTTCAAAAATGAAGAAATAGACTGAAAAAAAGTGGTTAGTTTTTTAGAAGTGCTCAGTTACAGTGTGCAATTAATCTTTTATTTTATTCAGCAGAGGCAGAAAAGGTACAGAGTCAGGGTAGTGACGGCCCAAAATCAGCACTTAAACCTCTTTATCTGATATCCCGTCTTAAGGAAGGCAGTTAAATGAATTTCCTAAAACCCTGTGACTTTTATTTCTGATTTCTCTGAAGTGGTTTCACATTCAGATAGTCCTCCAAGTCAACAGCCATGGGATGTCATGCATGCTAATGTTACAGTTGCCTTGACGGCTCTGATATCCATGCATTAGCTAATTACAAAATACATTTGACGAGAACGAATCCGGATAGAGATGACTCATGAGGATGTTGTGTCCCTCTAGTGAGTATTTAATCCTTCTCTTGGTTTTGGAATTTGCTTCCACACCCTGAATTTGAAGGGGCTTCACTCATTCTGAGAAATACTGACGGGATGTTTGTAAATGTTATGCCGTGCTGTGAACCATTGCTGAAGAATTGAAGGGCAGAACAAAGCAGGGTGTTGTTCTTTGTCAACAATTATTAGCATTTGTACCTTTACTCCCAGTTGTGTTCTCGTGATATAGCTACGTCCAATTTAATGCAGTCATTGTGGTGTCACTACTATTATGTCTAATGCAGGTTAATTCCATGCAGACAAAGATAAAAGATTGTGTGTGTGTGTCTGTGTGTCTGTGTGTGTGTGTGTCTGTGTGTGTGTCTGTGTGTCTGTGTGTATGTGTGTGTGTGTGTCGGCCTGTCTTTGTGTCACTATTATGATCATCTTACTAGTCTGAGACAGATGCAGACCAGGGCATCATGTATTATTCATTAGTGCGTGTGCACAGGGTTAGCTGTGATCGGCATCAGGTGGGTGCCAGCTTGGCTGTATTATCTTTTTCTGAATTAATATTTATCTACACATTGTATCAGTCCGTAAGGTGAGTTGTAGAAAGCAAGACTTAATTAGCTATTTATCAAAGAGGTCTGCTCCTAGGTTGCTGCATGGCAGCTACAGAGGCATGGAAGACATTGTCAAATTATTGTGCATAATAGAATTATATGGAGATTTTCTGGGCTTGTAGTACTCATTGGTTGATGTTGAATTTTAATGAATGAATGGGAATAGGTTGGTTTCTGTCTATCTTATATTTGGTTATTTTTTTGCCCATAAAATACACGGTCATGCTGCTGAGTCCATGTCCCTCTCTCATTGACACCTGATGAAGCCTCTTTCTAATCTGGTCTGGTGTTCAGTAATATTTTGTTCCTCTTTCCATATTATATATTCATGTGAGAGGCTTTTGCGTTCCAGTTATATCTGAAATGGCTTACCTGATATGGTAAGAGTACACACCTATTAACTTGACGTACTGCTGGCAAATGAGTAGGTGTGTTTACTCAATGATAATACACCATTTGGTCTATTTTAACCTGTTGTTAAGGCCCCATCTCGAGTTCACCACAACTCCACCCTGCAGCGATTAATTCTCACATAGCATGTCCATGTCCTGGCTGCCACCCAGGTTAAGGTCAACACCAGCATGTATTCCTATAAACAATTACTGTTGATTGATATAAGTCACATTCAGACTTAATGTTGCTGTCAGGCCGAGTAATGCAGCTTTATTTACAACAAATATGAAGTAGGCAGACATCAACAGAAATAAATATGTAAACACCACACTGAGCCCTTCCATACTGTAGGTGTTGTCTTATTATGACTGGTGTGGTTTTGCAGTGAGGAAATCAGGTCAATATTTCAATGTAACAATATAATCGCGCTCTAAGTTGTTATTATTATGTTTGTTTATGTGTTTTGTTGTCTAATTCTTGTTCATTACCGTCATCTTTTACATTTTGTTTTACATTATTATTGCATTGAATGTTTTTTTCCACACTGTATGATAATGTCCAGTATACAGTGTATTTTATAAGATTCCAGGGTTTCATATGGCTGCACCGTGACAATTTGTATGCATTTTAGCATAATTTAACCTGGCATATATTTTCTCTTAAACATTTAGAATTATGACCTTGAAATTAAAGAATATACAGGAGTTTTTTAAAGTGAGCCACCCTTGTGTCAGTGAAGAGGTAAGTCAGTGTGAACAGTTTCAGGCAATCAAAAAAAATTTGCCAGTCAAACACTGGCAAGAAGTTCCTGATGCAAAATAGTATGCACATTTACTGCACTGTGAGCAAACAAAATATTCATATTTGACCTAAAAATCAACTGCCAGCAATATCATAGAGCCCAGTGTGTTTCTATTTAATCTAAAGACTCCTACTTTACCTGTTGCTTTTCATTATACTGGGGCATGAGCAGGTATTCTACACAGATCTGCTACACCAACCTATGCCACATTTTATCTCCCGCAGGCCTGGATTCGGACGAGTCATATGAGGGAGTGTCAGAGGCCAGTTTCAAAGATGCACTGGTGTTTGACGGCAGCAGTCAAAAAAACAACGGATCAGTGCCACAGGAGAATGGCATCAAGAAACACAGGTACTGTTGCATTCCTCCACCTCACTCCACCTGCAGTGTGTAATTGTATTTTTTAGCTGTCCAAAAACTATTTTAAGCATCCTATTGAAACCAGTTTGATGTGCTGGGCAGGGTCAAAAATCTTACTCATTAGGGTTTGATCCTTGTTTTGATGAACTCCTCTGCAGCTGCTGATCTTTTGTTTATTTATTATTTTTAAATTGTATTCTTTTCTCCACTTTTATTATCATAACTGCATTTGAAATGCGTATTTCACTTAAGTCGCAGTTACATTAATGTGGTTTGGAATACAGCTTTGTTACAGTACTAATCTTCAGCACATGCAAAGAAAGACACACTGACACTGCGAGTCCAAGGTTCTCAGGGAAAGGGAGTGAATGTTGGCAAGAAATCATGCTAAATACCAAGACTTTTTATTTCCAGGCTTCATCACCTAAGTGTTCCTCTGCTTGTGCAATGTTCTAGATGTCAAAAATTAATTATTTCTCTACAAAAGTAGCATGAAAGAAAAAAAGGAGCTGCTTTTGTTGCTGTCAGTGGGGGACTGGCTTTGTTGACTCATACATAAAAGTAATTTTGCAGCATGCTTTTGTATAATGATATGCACAAGTGAAATTTTCCACTTCTCCATTCACCTCAATTAGAGCCACTATAGGAAAGAAAGCCTTGGCTTTATTCGCACCTATTCTGGTCAGTCTCTGTTTGTCCTCATATCGTCATAATTTGATGTTAGACTCAGGGGTGAATTCTTTCTTTCTCTGTGGAACATTTAACATTTCTTTCCTATCTACATGTTCTATATCTTCAGGCCGGCAAACAGACCTGACAGACCACATGCTCAGCTTATCTCCAGTGTTTGTTTGTGACCAGTTTGTTAGATCAGATACTGTTTAGTACTGATGCACATGACAATGATACTGACAGCAGGCATGAGAGAACAAAATGGTTTGCCTCTCTTTTTTACTCTCTCTCCCTCTCTCTGTGTGTCTGTGTTTCTATATCATCATCATCATCTCAGAAAATGTTTTTGTTTGGATGCTAAAGAAACTCTGGCAACACAACTGAGACCTCTTAAAAAAAAAAAAAAAAAAAAGCTTAAATATGAACTGAAAAATTACAGATGGTGGAAGACTGGGGGGCTTGTTGTTTTTGTAAAAAAGATGAGATGAGAACAGATATTTTCTCCTTCAAAAATATATAATGTACGAAGTGAGAAATATCACACAAGGTGTGTGTGTGTGTGTGTGTGTGTGTGTGTGTGTGTGTGTGTGTGTGTGTGTGTGTGTGTGTGTGTGTGTGTGTGTGTGTGTGTGTGTCTTATTTATTCATGCCCCAGTCATTTCTTGTTTTCTTTCATTTCAGGACGTCCCTACCTGCGCCCATGTTCTCCAGAAACAATGTCAGTATCTGGAGCATCCTGAAGAAATGCATCGGACTGGTAAGGACCTACAGATCTCCAGACTTAAATCAAATGCCACTTCACATACAATAAATTAATGACAGCATCCATATAATAATAATAATAATAATAATAACTATAATACTTTGTACAGACCAGGCTAATTAATTATTTTGGCCCATTATATCCCTGATTAATAAAAACATTTGCAATAGGTTTTCAGTGACTGCATGTCATTCTGGGGCAATGTAAACATTGATGAAGCAGTACATCACATATGTATAAAATTTAATTATTATTTTTTTTAACTGTTATATGTCAAAAATGATTGTGTAATGTATGTAATGATTGAGTAACATTAGGCAGCAATTGTTTCATTGTCAGTCTGTAGATATTAGTGGTTTTGTCTTGCATTGGTTGGATTCAATGGGACCAACAGGGAGAGCATGTAAGAAATGATCACACAACACATTCTGGTAAAACCAAGTGTGTATTTTACGTCTGATCTTGGCTGTGTGCTTTTCACAGGAACTGTCAAAGATCACGATGCCCATCGTCTTCAACGAGCCTCTAAGCTTCCTGCAGAGAATCACAGAATACATGGAACACACTTACCTCATCAACAAAGCCTGCTCGCTGCCCGACTCCATAGAACGCATGCAGGTCAGACACACACACACACACACACACACACACACACACACACACACACACACACACACACACACACACACACACACACACACACACACACACCAAAATCTGGCATCAGTAGAGTTCAATCAATCTACCTACCACACACAAACACACACACACTCATTTACCAAGCCCACCTCTAAAGAATTAATGTGAGAACATGCAACACACGTGCGAATAAAAACACATACATTTTCATGTCACACACACTCGCTAATGCGATCTATAATTGTTTGTCTTCAGGCAGTAGCTGCTTTTGCTGTGTCAGCAGTTGCTTCTCAATGGGACAGAACTGGAAAACCCTTCAACCCTCTGCTGGGAGAGACCTATGAACTCACCAGGTACACACACACACACACACACACACACACACACACACACACACACACACACACACACACACACTTAACACTGAGCAGTTTCTTTACCCTCTTTCTTCTCCACCGCCATCTACAGAGAGGAGCTGGGTTTCCGGCTGGTTTCAGAACAGGTATCACATCATCCCCCGGTCAGTGCCTTCCATGCAGAGAGCCTGGTCGGGGACTTTGTCTTCCACGGCTCCATCTACCCCAAACTCAAGTTCTGGGGCAAAAGCGTTGAGGCTGAGCCTAAAGGGACCATCACACTAGAGCTACTCAAGTGAGTCCAAAAGAGTAGAAACTGTGTGTGTGTTCATATCACAGCCGTTTGAATCAATATCAGTTCCTCTTTTATCCCCTCTATCATTTTTTTTCACGTTGTTTTCTTCTCCTTTCCTCCAGGCACAATGAGGCGTACACATGGAGTAACCCTTACTGCTGTGTACACAACATCATCCTGGGCAAACTATGGATAGAGCAGTATGGCACAGTGGAAATAGTCAACCACAGGTAATCTATACATGGGAGTTGTGGTCTTTGATTGTGCTTGATTTTTTTCTCTTTTACAGCCATCATTTGTAGCCGTAGGTGCAGTTTGTTTTTAACTTAACTGACATGGTGACGCAAACACAGTATTTTATAATTAGACAAATATGAATGAATGAAAAAACATCAGAGGGAACAATACACAGTAAAACCGGGCTGCAGCCAACAAGTCTTTTTATTGATTAACTTGATGTTTGTTTTTTAAATTAATCCATAAGTTAATAAAATGTCGGAAAGTAGTGCAAAATTACACAATTTCCCAAAGACTTGTTTTTACTGACAATTATATAAATATAATGATAGAAAAGTAAATGTTTGACTTTTTGTTTGACTTTTAAACAACGATTAATTATTACTTTTGTTGGGATTCTTTTCGTTCATTCTAATATACAACTACGGTAATAAGTCATCCATAGAGTTAATTGTCCTATATTGGTGCTCAAGAGGAAGTACAACATCAACACACACACACACACACACACACACACACACACACACACACACACACACACACACACACACACACACACACACCATGACTGTCCAGAGTTTTTGACTCAGTTTTGAAACAAATTCAAATAAAGCAAAGTAAAACTGACAGTATGATACCTGTGGCTCACAGAGCTGTTCAGCATTCCTGCCCGGCATCTTCATTTACCTTGTCACAGTGTGTACTCTGATACTTTAGACTGCAGCTTGTTTACTCTGTGTGTCTTGTCAGGCAAACAATCCCTGGATCACTTTTTGAAACAATAATTTATCCAGGGAACCTCTGCAAAGCTTGTATTGTTCTTTTTTCTCTCACGCTCTGTGTCACGTTCACACAGTTACACAGATTGTTATGAAACCATCAGATCTCCGTCTTGCACAGTTTGCAGGCACTGAGCTGAGCTGGTGCACTGATTGGATACAGTTTTTTTATATGATTTTCTTGGTCCGCGCCCATCGTAGAGTTGAGTACACCAGGTCTCTTGTTTGAACTGATTGGATAAGTGCCTTGCATGGAAAATGGGAAAAGTTGATTGAAAATAAATGCAGAAAAAAAGAAATGTCAGTCATTCTGGGTTCAGACTGGCAACCTTTTGCCAGACCACACTTCTAAATCCTTTTACCTTTAAATGTTCAGTGTGTAGCACTTAGGAGATCTTTTCATTAGTGTATAATCACCTTAAAATAAGAATCGTCACTGGTCCTTCACTGTTGGCAGTTGTCATCGTTTGAACTGAACCTAATAAAATGAAGTGATGTAAGTTGAATTCAATGAAACAGTTATCTAATGTTTTTTTTTGCGTAATCTTTATTAAAGCAAAAACAAAAAGTCCCAATATGCCAGTATGGAGGAATTATTTAATTTCACTTTTTATGGTCACCATTATTCTGAAATACAAAGCTAGTGAAGATCTGTTAACTGGTTCCTCTTTCCTCCTGCAGCACTGGAGACAAGTGTGTGTTGAATTTCAAGCCCTGTGGGATGTTTGGCAAAGAGCTGCACAAAGTGGAGGGATACATCCAGGATAAGAGGTTAGACTTCACTCTTTTATTGCTCCGACACATAAATATAGCATATATAGCATTGGAAGTTTAGAAGTTTAGAACTTTTAGTCTAATTTGGTTCTTCCCTTTCCTTCTCTAATTGGTCCTCTTCTTCCTCATTTCCTCTTTTTCTTCTCCATACTTCTTCTTCTTCTTCTTCTTTTTCTTGTCGATTCTTTTTCTTCTTCTTTCTATTCCACTTTCTGTCTTCTCGTGCCATTCTCCTCTCGTTTCCTTATCTTTCCCCATCTTCCTCCCATTATTTTACTTCCTCTTCCTCCTTCCTGTGTCCAGTAAAAAGAAGCACTGCGTTATCTATGGGAAGTGGACCGAGTGCATGTGGAGTGTGGACCCTCAGGCGTACGAGGCGCACAAGAAGTCAGAGAGGAAAGGAGACAACAAGAAGCACAAAAATGTGAGAACAAGTTAGAAAAAGTGTGTCGCCTGTCCCTTCCTTAATCCGAGACTGCTGCTTGTATTTATTTTCAGTATTGTATTCTTCTGTAGCATTGTGTGATAAAAGCGAGTTCAGAATTTCTGTGTTTGGTATTTTTATTGCAAATATAAAATGCTTAAAGACATTATTGTATTGCCTTTATTTTACCCAGATTCAGAATATTATTTAACTTCTTGTTTTCTACAATTATTGTCTCATGATTTTGGTGTTAGTCCGATTTGTTTGTTTTCTTTTTCCTCTTGATTTCCTGTTGGTGTCCACAGCTTTCTGTGTGGTCTTATAAAGGTAAACAGGCTTTTGTAGGTTGGTGTTATTCAGCTCTAGTCTGCTTGGTCATTTGTAGTGAAGCATCATAGCTGCAAAATGTTTGACTTTCCCTTCCTGCTGGGAAACGGCTCCATCAGATCGTGACAGAAAGTGTGATATAGATGGTAACTGTATGTAGATAGAGCATAAATAAAGTCATTTTATAATGTAATGCAAGATGTAATTTGCCCCGGAACATTTTGACTGCATCTTTTCAGAGTAAAGGCAGTTACAATAAATAGTTATTATTTCCAGGATGAGCTGGATGGAGCAGACAACGATGATGCAGACGACATGCCCGAAGTCCAGGAGACGGTTTCTGTCGTACCAGGAAGCACTCTGCTGTGGAGGATAGACTCCAGACCAGCACACTCTGCCTCGGTATTCAAATAAAAACACACGCACAGACATTTTTGGACACTTAAAAGGTCCGATGGACTGACAAACACACAAGCCACAAAACTAAAATTTAGTAAATGAGCTGTTTTAATCAACAGATTTTTAACAAACAGTGTTGTTACTGTTTGTCATATTATGAGCAAATATTAAGCAATACAACATAAGAGTGTTTCTAGTGACTGCATTTACAAAGACACTTTATATCCCTAATTCCTTCTCTTCCTTCCCCAGATGTACAATTTTACCAACTTTGCAATGTCTCTCAATGAGCTGGAGCCTGGCATGGAAGCCATCTTGGCCCCCACAGACTGTCGCTTCAGGCCTGATATCAGAGCCATGGAGAATGGCAACATGGGTAATTTAATTTAAAAGTTCCTTATCAGTTTATTGGAGCTCTGTTTGCCTGAACATAGTGACTTGTTTGGCAGCAGTGCCCTGCAGAAACCTCAGTCTTTTCAAAATAAAAGTATTATCAGAAGTTACAGCAGACATTTAGATTATTCTCTCAGTATAATTTCTGCAGGCGATTACTACATCTGAAAGTACGACGTCTTCTCATGGGATACAAAGAATAGACGATAAGACAATGCTGCCACCTGCTGGGTGTCTGTGTGTCCGTCTCAGGTCATCTTGTTGATCTGAGGGATTAAAGAACTGCATAAAGTAAACTTTGTTACCTTGAATATTCCAGCTCAAGTCTCGTCATACACTGTGTGTGTGTTTTTCTTGTGCAGACGAGGCCAGTAAGGAGAAGGAGAGATTGGAGGAGAAACAGAGAGCTTCTAGAAAGGAGAGAGCCAAGTACGAGGAGGAGTGGTCTACAAGGTGGGAAACTAACTTTTATTGCAATTAAACATACAGACGGTACAAACATAACAAATCTAAACTGTGAGATTGTCACAGCATTGTGTGATGCATTATGGTCAATTCTGCAGACATCTAATCTGTTTGTGTGTCCTCCAGGTGGTTCCAGATGGGCACCAACCCGTACACCGGCGCCCAGGGCTGGCTCTACACCGGTGGCTACTTCAATAGGAACTACCAAGACCTGCCCAATATCTACTGATCTACCTGCTAGCCTTCATCCTCATCCTCCTCTTCTTTAACCTGCAATGATCTGCCTGTCATGAAATGGAGAAAAATGTTAAGAATCCACATACCTGTCTTTATCTCACTGCCTCCATCATCGGACACAGCCAGCATAAATTGGAAAGACTTATAAAGAAGCCAAATGCCTGTCACTTCCCTCAAACAGCGGCCTGCTTGATGTCTGCTGAGTCTTCAGGTCTTTTTTTTTCTTCATGTAAAAGATTTTACATCGTCTTCACTTCCGTCGTATTCTTATCATCTTGTGTGATTTCGTCACGTTAGGACCAGCAAGCATTTCTCATCTCTCTGCCCCGGCATCGTTTAGAGCACAAGGTTATATTCCCAACCAGTCGCAGCGGCAGAGAGTTGGTACGTGTGAAACAACGGTTAACGGCCCACAAACTCACAGATACAATTTTGAATGTTTAACGCCTTTACAATCAAACTCTCACCTGCCAAACCTCCAGACGGCGTCACGTGTCATTAATGAGCAAATCTGAGTAACAACATGAAGTAAGACATAATCACAGCGATGGATTTACGGGCCGATACCTAGTCAACGGGGAAATCAGGGATGTGAATGCTCCTTTGACTGAAGACGGATCTCGAGGATGCCTTTTTTTGTTTTTGGAAACCACTCAGAAAATAAATATAGGTGACATTGTACTCTTTAAGGAGCGACATTATAAGCAAATACTGTTGGTTTGATTGGTCAAGATAAATCGAATGCAAACATGAGCTCATTACTGTCCATGTGTCATAACCATAAAACATTTAGTATGGACTGTTAGTCGCCCATTACCGTTCCACTTAAGGTTTATGCATCGAAATAAATCAAGACAACTACTAGAAAACGGTTCCTCGACAGCGGAGTGGAATGTGCAGCTCGAGCGGGACGAGACCTGGGATCAGTACAGAAACCACACGCAACCTGATGTTCTCCTGCATGGGAACAGATGAATGAATAGAGCGCGGGTTCGGTGGCACGCCTGAGCTGTTTGCACCCTCAAAATGTAACTCTGTTGTCTTAACACTTGGCCTGTACTTCTGTAAGAATAGTTGTTGGTTTTACTTGCAGACAGTTGAAATGTAAAGTATGATTAACAGTCCACTGTGCTCGCTCATTACGTGAATTCACTCTGTGTGGGTTGATAAAATACGACAGAGCAGCTGGAGTTCAGAGCCAGAGTTTAAGGAACACTGAACAGAATGTTAATCTTGGATAGCTGGCTAACTGTGCTGGCTGCTAAGTCATAGCTGAAGATTACCGGCATTCAAAACAGGCTTCACAGAAAATCTTTCCTTCTACATTTCTTTCAGAATCTGATGGTCAGTGCCTGCATGTGCATGTAAATCTAAACCTGGAAGAGAAATTCACTCCCTCAGAGTTAAATCTCACACTCTATAAAATGATATTGACATTCTAAGTGGATATTTAATTCCCAGATTAGACAGTGACAGTAATGAAATCTAATGTAATACTGAGTAAAGGAACAATAACAGTACATGCACATTCATTGTGTGAGTGAGTATATGAATATGTACAGACACCTAAAGCCATATTAACTACAAGAGAGAGTGGATTTGCTGTGTGAATGACGGGAATTTGACTATGTCAGCCCTTAAAATTTACATTATTATTAACCTCACTGTCATCATAGCATGATTAATAAAGAAAGCATTATTCATGTCAGTGTAATGTAATGTAACATGCACCGTTAGATATTCTGCTGTCACGCTGGATTGGATTCTAGAGAATGGATGGATTACTGAACAGGCCCAAAGGGTCACCACCAAAAGAAAGAAGTACTGTCAAAAAGACAAAGATGAAAAACCACAGACTGCAGACACACAATGACTATAGATACGTAAAACGACTACAAAGAGACTCATAACAACAACAGAGATGTAAAATCAACAGTTCTTTTGTGTCTCTTGCTGTTTTGGTGTCTTGCTCCTATATCAGAGGGACGAGGGGCCTTAACATATCTGCCCAGGGGCCTGTTCTGCCATCCGGTGATTTTTTTGTCTTCTGATATTGATTGTCGTTAAAAAAAAGAGGCTTGCAACGTCAAGAGTTTAATTCTCAAAATTGAAAAAAACAAACTAGTTTAATGAATGTTGGCACACACAAAAACAGTAGAGAGAGAGAGATGGCACTCCTGAGAAAGACTGTCGAGTCCAACACAGCAAGATGGCTATCAAGTATTTGAGAGCTTAATGTACAGAAACTCTTGACTCGAGACATCCTGTGCACGGTGCGTCTTTCTTCTGCACGTTTTGAATCACGTTAAGCCTAGCGACTCGACTCAGACACGAGATACCACATCATGTTGCACAGAGCAAATATTTTGGACTTCAGCTGCTCTGAAGCTTTTTTGTAATGTTACAGATTCCTATTGATATTTCGATAGCTCACTCAGTATTTTGCCTTCCATTCCAGCTGAGCAGAACTCACATTTCCATTCAGACTGGGCGCTGAAATCCAAATGCAGATGTAGGATCTGAATTCTGTTAATAGGACATCAGGAAAAATATCAGATGGGAATGGATTGGGCAGATTTTACTTTCAGTTTATATATTTTTAATATGTATGCTGAAATTATATTACAGATTAAAAAAACATGTTTATCAGAGCTCCATTCTCCTGAGCTTCAGATAAAATTAACATTAAATACAACTTAAATAGCCTTTATCTTGTTGTTTTGATCTTGTTGAAGAACAGTCAAAGGTTGTGTTTTAGATTTGAGTTGTATAATGAGGTTACAACCCTCAGCTCTCCAGGTTATCACCACACCATAATACTCTCCACATTACCTGCCGACCTGTTTGCACTGGTGAGAAAGAGTGTATAAGATAGAGTGAGATAACCTTCTGTACGTGATCTTCAGAAATCTTTATTTTGGATATGTTATTCACCAGGTTGCAGATGTATAAAAGTCATGTTTTCATCAGTGCATTCAGGAGCTATGACGTATTTCACGATACCAACTCTATGCAACTCCTCAACATAAACAGTACACGTCTGGTCTGTTATTGTACAGTAGCTTTACATTCCCCTCAACCCCAGCAGCACACATCTTCAGCTTGGACGGGCTGATGTGTCTCAAAATGAAGACTTCTTAGTTTAATATATAATAATTGGAAATGAATAGAACTTGTTGAACTACTTGGCACTACAACCAGCCTCGTACCGCATCTTGGACCAATTTAACTTTTCTGTTTTTAAAATGTATTTCCATGTCTTGCTTAGTTCCTGGATTTGTTTACCTTTTTTCCCATTACCATTTTTTTTTTAACTTATGTGTATTATTTATGATGTTTGATGTTTTATGAAAAGGATTCTGTTGTCAGTTGTTTTTTTCTGCTTATGTAGCTAATCCAAAACAGCTCTTAATTTCTCTTTCTTCACTTGAACACAAATCTGAGCTGTTTTATAGAGGAGCAGAGTGTCTAAATCGGGCTTGAAGTGAACATCATTCACTAGTTTAACATTTTGCTGTGACCGTTAATCTGTCAGATGTAGGTAGACAGTCACTCTTTCCTGTTCGAATGTCTTTTGGCTGCTAAAATTCACATGGAATAACCCAAACACGGTTATTTTCATGCCTAGAAGATCACTTTTTTTTTTTCAACTTGTCATTAAAAAGTCATTAAAACTCACAGAAACACTACTTGAGTCACAGAAAATGTGAACTGAGCACTGGTCAAATGCTGCAGTAGTAAATGAGTCCAAACAGGAACACCAGCCTCTGTTCATAAGTAGCTTTTGACTCTAATGTAAAAAGAGTGGGTAAAATAGTCCCAGCAGCCAGTAAACATATGGAACGGTCACATTCATGAGTGCTGATTCGGGCTCTACCAGTCACAAGACTAATGCTCTGTCACTGAACTAGATCTAGGTTGTTATTTTGCTTTGAGTGTTGGTTCTTTCTATAAAAATGTGTCCTTCTCTTGGACTGTATCACGGGGTTGTCTATGTTATATATGTGTACAAGTGCTGCACAGAGGTAATCACAAGCAAAATGGCATATTATTTTGTGCAATTGATTTATTTTTATAGTATTTAAACTGTTTTTGGTGAGAACATTGTACCAGATGTTTTATTTTGAGGTGGGGGATTGTAAGGGGTCGTATCCAATCTGTGGACAGCTTGGTAGATTAATGAACGGGGGAAAATGTCTACTAATAAAATCCTAATTTCAGTTTTTGATCGTGTCGCCTTATTTTTTAGAATATAATGAATATTAAGGAATACATTGGCATTAGTCTTGAAACAGTAAATATCAACCAGTATTCATCAGTCCTTCTGTACCTGCAGCCATTTATTGACTCAATGTGGCTATTAAACGCTATTAAAAAGAGGAAAATAAACAACGAAATATAGTTTCATAAAGAGAATGGCCTAAGCTCCTAGAGGGAGCTCAAATGTTCACATTTTAAAGCAGTTTGAAGCAAATCTGATTTCTGGGCAATATAAATAAAACTGGATCCACGTTACCCAGATGTACAGATGAATCAGACTTAAGCTGTGTGGATTCAGAAGAAGTAGGATGAATGTGCTGAGTATTCTGTGTAAATTAAAACGTATTTTTTTGCACAGACTGCCTAGACTAACAGCAGCAGGGTTAGCACAGACGAGCATGTGCAGTTCATGTGCAGTTGGTCATCCCAAACTGGGGAGAAAAAAAAGTCAAAATCAGTGGAGTTTTTCAGATTTTGAAGGGGGGTCGTGCCCGAAATCATTAGTGAACCAGTGGGATACCACTGGGGGTGTAGGAACAAACTTTTTGTTAATCCACAACAGTTTTTAAAAAATGACTTAAACCCAGGATGCAGTTAGAGAAACATCAAAAGCTAAAGTAAGAGCGCACACAACAGTTTATTGTTTTTATGTATTTGTCTTTTATTTATTTTTCCTGATTGAAATGTATTGTAAGGTCATAATTTGTCATTCATCACATTACATGGCATGATGCACCAGGTCTACTACACCCATTTACAGGAGGAATACACGGAAACATACACAAGGTTTTACAATGGGGAAACAGGAAGTTTAGCTCATTGCACTTACAACAGTGAATGGAACACTTTGTAGTCATTTTTAGGCTCTCGACCTTTTTCTGTATTTTATTTTCACCCTCTTTTCTTCATTCAATTGGGTTATTTTGTGATTTTTTTTTTCTTCACACATTTCCATTGTCCAATTCACTCTTTTCATCTCCATCTTTCCCAAATAATTATCTGTCCACCCCAAAAATTACATGGAAGCCAGAATATTTTTCCCTTTTTTTGTTTTTCATGTCATCTCATTTTACAAACACAACATGTATAGAAACTCTACACAGACCAATATGTTTTTATATTTTTTCTTTTATCCGAATACAACTTTTTAATGAGTTTTAAACAGTCCGCACGAGCCGGCCACATACGTACACTATGGATTTTTTGTCATTTGTTATTCAAATCAACAACTGCTCATGTTTGTTATGTAGGTTTTGTTGGTTTTATACACACAAAGCACAAGTTTGGGCAGGGAGGTTCAGGCTTGCATACGCTCCAGCTTGTGTTGCTGTGTGCAAAGGCCTCTCTCATGCCTGTGTGTGCATGTGTGTGTGTGTGTGTGTGTGTGTGTGTGTGTGTGTGTGTGTGTGTAGTGGTGTGTTAGCATGTTTGAGATTTACATGTTGTACAGGACATGTCCTTCATGGCATTTACATGTTGTTGTTTGTTCAAAGCGGACTGGTCGGTTCACGTCTGGTATGTACACTGGAAAAAATATGGCAGCCCGTGAGGTGGGAGGTCAAAGGTCGAAGAGGTTCATAAGGTCAAGGGACTGGTTGGGTGGGGGAGGTGTCCAGGTCATGCACTTGTAAGTTTTACTTCGATGATTCATTACAGGTGAAAGATGAATAAACGCTCCCTGATGGTTTTACAGTGAAAGATGGACGTTTTCCCTCATGGTTTAGTTTGTTTCAGCATTCTTGTTCTATTTTTACAACCTCTCACCTATGAAACGTTTACTTTTTATATATTTATATATATATTTTTGTGTGTTTTAAAGTCTTTCTCTGGTCCTGCTATACACCGACTGTATGTGCGACCGACTGCAGTGGTGACAGTTACTACATTACGAACTGTACAAGCACTGTATGCTACCTTTTTGGTTAAGAACACACACACACACACACACACACACAGTCCGGGTTTCCCAAAAGCATTCCAAACTTTAAATACATTTAAATACAGTCGACTCAAACTCTTTTCAGCTCTCTGTGGCGCTCAAAGTTTGTCATTTGTCTTTTTCATGGCTGTACAGTCAGGAAAATACCTAGTTCTGATACCAGATCGGTGCCACAAAGGGTCAAAAATCAGATTCTCTGACTGTCTGTGAATACAACCTTATTGCTGAGACTCAAGATTCAAAGACGAGTTGGACTTTTGAGATGTCTGTAAATCGGACCCTTTGTGTTCTTGCAAACTAATAAAAACAAGAGTTTTGTTCCAAAACATACTTTGAAAGAATATGTGTGAATCTCAGCTCCTAATAGTTAGAAAAAAATGACGATTTTGCGCTCATAAAAACTAGTTTTGCTGTTTGTTTGTTGTTGTTGGTTTTTTTTGGGGGGGCTTGAAGAAGCTATTCCACTGCAGATTTCAATTCAAATTACTTTGTCCTGATTTGGAACACAACTCAAAGATTGATCTTTTGTGCTTTAAACACCTCTGAAAAACCAGGCTGTGGCTTGGTGGTTTTGCCCACTGGGGATTGCTGTGGTCTGAACTGAAGTCTGCTGCCTTCCTGGATATAGACAGACACCATGCAGAGTATACACAGAGACCACGATTGGCTAGAGGGCAGTAACAAGATGGCTTTCTTCAGTGACCAGTATTGTAGTATAAAAGCCCTTGCTGCTATGCATATTTAAATTCACCTTCAGTGGTTGTATTCACACAGGAACAAAAAATGTGACATTTTTTACAAATTTTGACAAAGATGCCGTTATTTATGTCTTCATGGCTGTGTCATACTGTGTTCCTCTAGTTAACAGCAGCAATGGGAAGATCACATCTGTGTCATAAAGTGTTAAAAATCAGATTTATTGAGCCTGCATAAATCCATCAATTATTTTCTACTGTCTATTGAACATCTCGTTTGCGATGCTGCATTTAGTGTGTGCTTTCCTGAGGCAAAAGTGATTGAGGAACATTTTATTGAACATTTTATTTTTTTACAAACTTCCAAAAACATAAGACATACAATAGAGGAAGTTGGTAATAATTTGGGTAACTTTAAACTCTCTCTCATATTATTTGTTCTACTTTAACACGTGTTGTCTAATTTTAAGCTTCTGTGGTAAAGTCACTGATCTGGTGGCAGTGTACCTGTAAGGTGATCTCTCCGGGCTCGGTGCTGTTTGTCAGATGAACCTGATGTGAAGGACCAGATCCAAACAGAACCAGAATAATCAGACTCTTAATCCAGCAACTTAATTTAACTCTACAGATTAAATTTGAACAAGCATTACAACCTGTAACCTTGTACATAAAGTAGGCAAATAGGAAAATTATGGAAGTATGTTTGAAAACAACTAATCAATTGACAGCACACTGGCAAAGATTATCTGATTACTGTGGTTGTGCATAAATCCAGCTATAGATAACTTCTGCATAAACATAATCTCTCACTCTATAGATTTCAAACTTAAATCTCTTTTCTTTCTTCTTTCCCAGCCAGCTTTCTATCCCCTCTCAATATGATAAAATAAATTCTTACATAGATAAATCATCTCATAAAATGTTTCACAAAAAAATATATATACTAACTTCTTTTAATGATTTGTTAGGCCATGCTCAAATAAAGTGTAGGAGTAGTAAAGGAGTTGGGAGTTAAGGGATGTTTTCATACTGCATAAACCGTCTCTTTTCAAATCTGTATTTTAATAAATAGCTTCTATGTATAATTACCTCGTCACAGCAGACTGTGGTAGTAAATTTGCAGATAACTCTTTGTGTCTGAGGTACAGAAATGTCCGTTCCACAGTGTATTTATAGCTTATAGATCTAAGTGTGTCGTGGCAGTGCATCTTAAACACTCAAACACACACACACACACACACACACACACACACACACACACACACACACACACACACACACACACACACACACACACACACACACACACTCACTCTCACCACTTAATTTAATTTAGGAATGCCTTGAATAGTGTTTCATTTGTTGCCTACAGTCAAATATAATCTATAAACTGTATATTATTATCTGTAATATGTATATATATATTTGTATTTGAACTGGCTTTGTGTTTCATCTAAATATTCTTTAAATGCAACTTTCTCTGCAAAACAATAAGTGCACATTCAGGTAGCCTGAACCTAGTAGGAATTTTGGGCCATGGTCATAAAAAAAAAAAAAAAAAAAAAAAAGGAGCTTTTATTCTTCACCCCTGAGCAGACACAAACATATTAGGGAATATATTGAAATCTTTGTTTATATATATTATTTATATTTGTGTGTATTCTATATTTATATAAATCTTCATTTTTATCTATATAAATCTCTGGACAACTTCTCTGTAAACTAATAATGCTCTGTAGTTAACCTCTGCTTGAAGATAAACAAAACAGTTGTTCGGATTTGTTCATGTCAACTGGGATCATTTGGTGCGTCTGCTAACTGCCCAGTTCCTCTGTTAGCCCAAAACAAGCTGCTGTTGCGAAAGCAAACAGTTTCTCTATATTTGCATTTTGAAGAATTTCTACATCATGAAGTATTTGAACTGAAAACAGTAGTTTATCTCTGCCATTTCCTTACTCATCCCGTCAGTTCTAACTGCCATTTCCCAGCTGTCATGAACACATCTTTAGAGAGAGACCCTTTGGCAGAGACTCCCAGTTGGGGAGGAGAGGGGACCCTGACCATGCCAGGTCAACATAAGTAATACAAAGACCTTTCTTGTTATTTCCTAACTTACTGGTGACCTATAGTAATAGTAACAAATTCACAGAATATCCTTATTTTGATCTATGAGGAATGCAAAAACAATTGAATCTTGGCATTAGAAGAACTCAAATGTGATTAACAATGATTTTGTGACTTTTCACGTCCTTTTTCCTCTTCATGTGTCTGTTTTTTCCAAATATGATTCATTGCATAGAAGGACTGGAGATGAGAGGTCGCCTCTTCTGCCCACCATATTTGTTGTGGTTGAACTCGTGTTTGTCTTGTTTTCCTTTCTTTTCCACATTAGATGATGGTCGTTAAATACACGCATACAGACCCCCACACACATACATACAAACATTAGGAACAGAACAATATAGAAGTGACTTTGAGGTTTTCTGAGCCGGGCGGCATGCGAAGGTTCCCAGCAAGCGTTCACACAGACAATATACAGCAGAAGTTGGTTGGTTCGTTGGTTTTGCTAAAGGCCTCGCAATGTTTGGCCCGACAGAGTACATTTTGAGTACCAAACCGCAGATCCCACAATGCACTGCAGGAGCAACAGCAGGGAGAACACTGACCTGAGAAGTTTCCATGACAACTGACAGTCTGAGAGAGAGGTTTTCGGGGGTTGGGTTACAGGTCTGGACGCCACCACGATAGAAAATGAAAAGTAAAAAAAAGGCGAGTGACTTTGTGACACAACCAAGTGTGTTGTTTTTGGTTCCTCAGTCACATGAGTGCTGATTTTTTACTCTCTTTTTGACACCTTTTTTCAAGTGTGTGTTTTCATGTGCGCAGTGCACATCTGACAGAGTGAAGACACATGCTGATACACACTGATGTGTAAGGAAGTCGGCGGGGCTTTTTGCAAACTCCCAATAAACGTCCATCTTGGAGGGTCAGAAGAATCACATCGAAACCCAAACCCCCGCAGGTGACGATGTCAAGTCCAGTTCTGCCGCGATGTGTGACTGGTCTGCTTTTCAGTGCCTCTCTGCTGCCCTGCAGTGCTTTCAGATCAGACTCCAGCTGGCTAATACAAGCAGCGTATCACTCCGATCCACTGACTGGCTGATTGAAGACATGATGTCTCACTGTTGGTTGGAGGAGAAGATCTGGGTGGTATCAAACTCTTGTTTATATGTGAGCTCCTGCTCTCTGATGTATTAGTACAGCAGTAGTACAACATTGGAGTACATTTTGTGGTACGTTTAAGTCAGACTTGAGCGGTACATCAGTGGTAAGTTAAACAGACGGAGGCAACACGTTTCTGTTCCACCAACTTTTAAAATGACACAAGATTGTGCTCTTTACTTTCTTACCTCTTACTCTATTGCTTTTATAAGTATTGATAATAAATAAGAGTCAGAAAATTGACAAGGGGCTCGATGAAGGTAACAAACATTACAAAACATAAATAAAAGAAAAATAATATCACAAACAACTATCAAAAACAAAGTTAATTTAAAAAATATAAATTAATCTCACTGTGGCCAGTGTTCCAGCTGATATAACTACATAAAAAAGGGTGTGATGAAAATATGTGTTTACAGGGTGTAATAAAAAATATGTCACTTTTACATCAAAACAAAATATTTAAAAATGATTAAGGCGATATTGGTAACCTGCAACATAAAAACCAGGCAAATAAAACTAAATTAGAAAAAATGAAAACACAAGAAATGAACCACCTATAACAACATGAGAAATATCTGAAAGCCAAATGTTATGGAGCAGTTGGAGAAACCCCATCACCACAAGCACTGCAGGTAAATGTTGTCTTAATGGCTTTGTAATGGCTGAAAAACAACCCAACCACATACGGCTTTCACTCCGAACACCAACTGATTTTTTTTTCCCCTTATAAAACACAAAAGGCTCCCTTTCTTCCCGTGGCCCGATTCCTGTGTGTTGCTCCGGAAATCTCTCTTCTTTGTTATTATTTACGTCGTCTAGCAAAGATGTGTTTCCCAGTGTCTTTATGGCCTCTGTTAAGTAATGATGAACAGTGTAAGGTCTTGGATATAAAGTTCCATGCATTCCAAATTCCTACTTTTTTTTTTTTAATCCACTATACACTTCTTCTTCAAAGACATGGCAAGTTGAGGATCGTTGGGCGGGGATTAGAAAGAAAGAAGAATCAGCATTCAAGAAACGCAGAGAAGTGAGGAAGAGGGGAGCAAAAGGTTTTAACAGTTCCAATCTGGAATGTAGATAGAAACAGAGCAAATCGTGGAAAAAAAAAAAAAACACACACACCGACACACTCGTTCTCTGTGTGTCGGCTATGTTATTTTTATTGTCTTAATCATTCATTGTGACATTTCCATTAATTTCCCTCCCGAAGGGTGATGTAACTAGAGGTCTTTAGTACCAGAAAAGCCTGCAATGCTTCAGCAAGTTCTATTCCATTTTCCCCATTTTTTTTTTTACTTTGAGAAGAGATAGAAAAGAGGAGAGAGGCTGGTTTCTTGCTGTTACTCCTTGTTTGAGCACAGGACTGTGAAACCAAGGATCCTAGCATGCCACCATGCCATGGTAAAGCGACCATTTCCTGTTAGTAGGAAAAAGCCGCTCTCATATAAACGGTTAAGTCGTCAGTATATAGGAGTAGAATTACACCACTCTTTTATTTCCTTCCATTGAAGCTTCATTGTTAAATCCACATGGAGGGCTGAGGTGGTAGACGGCTTCCATTGGTTCAACTAGACTTCAACGGCTGTGTAGATCTCTGGCGATGTAAGTAGAGATCCCTCTACTGGCATGGAAGAGCAGCAAAAACAAAAACCTGTTTCTTTTAATTTTGCAGTAATTTTTGGCTGCCAGTTTCTCTTTTGTAAGGAAAGGACGGAGATGTGTTAAACTGCTACAGGTTTGTAGTTTGGTGGAGTCTAAATCTTTGGCTGGGGACACTGGATTGGGGATAGTCCTGAAGATGGATGTAGGCTTGGAATGATCTGTGAAAAATCACAAAAAGGTAATTTAGTCAAATTATTGAACACAACCCTATATCAATATGTTCATAAAGGTCTTTGGAGATTCAGATTCAGTTTACTGCTACATAGGACTAAAGAAACCACAAAATATTAACAGCTGAGAAGCTGAAATCAGAGAATTTGGATATTCAAAATGATTGCAGATTCATTTAATAGTTGATAACTAATTGTCTGGGACAGCAACTTATAGAATATATTATGTCTTCTGTGACACAAGCTCAATTTCTGGGTGCAAAAACTATGCATTAGATGCACAAGGAACCTCTTTACCCAAGTGAAGGTGATTGCTGTATAGAGTTGTAATGATGTAAAAATGAACTTAGCCACTAGATGGTGGGCAAGTATAGGAAATGCATTGCTGATCTACAGTATACTGTACATGGTTCTCGTCATCCAGCTAAAGAGATTAGTCAGTCAAAGGCAACTAACTTCTGCTCCCTATAATAAAGCTTGATCTTGATTTTTACCGTAAATAAAAATGTGAGACATATCCTGAGTTAAAAATGGCAATGAAAATGCCTTGTTTCTGCATTTATCTGTTTAACACTGGTACAATTTATATAAATTATTTATATTAATATTTTTATTTACCACTGCATTTACAGCATATTAGTACAGCGAAGGGTTCTCAAACAAAGCCAAAGTCATTTAGGATCCTTGTCAAATCAAAATGTTTCATGTTTAATAAAATCATAATTTTTGTGCTTAGAAATCCCCGAAACTTGCTGCTGGTATTTGTCTTCGTCAAACATGTCATACATTGGGGTGTCCTATAGCTCAGCGCTGGTGAGCTAGCCCCCCATGTACCAAAGGCTGAGTCTTTGCTGCAGCAGCCTTAGGTTCGAATCTGACCTGTGGCCATTTGCTGTGTGTCATCCCCTCTCTCTCCCCCCTTTCTTGTTAACCTTCAGCTGTCCTATGTAATAAAGGCAACCCCCCCCCCAAAAAAAAAGAATGTCATCCATCTTTGTACGTCAGCATCTGGTCAGTGTATTTTATTTATTAATTTCCTTAAAAGTCTACCCCCCAGATCTTTGTACATCTAGCTGCAAAGAAAAATAATGATAGCGAAAGTAGGAGGGGCAAGAGGGAAAAGTGTATGGATATCCTGTGGCAGCAAACAACAAAACTGAAAAATGAACAGTACTTCAGCAAAAGCCACATTTTATTTAACATTGTTCACAGTAAGTATTTCCAGCATGGACCAGCTGTACAAGGCAGAATGAGAAGAATGAGGCCAGAGATTTTTCTAACATCCCCAGACACCATGTCAGCCTGTGCTGACACAGCACCTGTCAACATAATGGGAAGGGCGCATGTTACGTTACTGCCTGAAATAACATAGGAGGGAAATCACTTGTGGCACTTCAAATTTGCTGCACGGCTCTGAGATAAAGCCCTTTCATTGTGCAAACTAATAATGTTTAGTGTGCTTTTTCTTATTATTTTTTGTAATGTATTTCTACCTTTGCAAACTGGGATCTTTTTTTAATTTGTTTTGCTCATAAACCGTCTCCCTGCTTCAGGCTAACAGGGCGAGAGCACTCTAGTGCATATGTAGACACTGCAGTAATTAGCCCCAATGCAAAACATCTGTGTACCCTAGCTTCACCTGTGGCCACTAGTGTCTCTACAGTGTATTTCAACCCTGTGTCCTACAAATTTACATTTAAATGCAAATGTTCTGCATTTAGGTTCAGTGTCCATTGCCAAAATTGCCATTGCAGGAAGTAGTTTTATTTGCCTGAACCTGTGAAACCTGCTGTTACAGAAATAGCATATGAGAATTATGCAACTAACATAACGTCAAGATGCACTATTTATTTATTCTTCTTCTCCAAATAGGGTATTAGACTGTAGAAGCTATGGGAGTTTATAATCACAATTACAGGTTGCCTTTACCCCATTCATGAACTCTTATTTTCTGGTAGGTCAAGTAGCAATATGTTTCCCCAAAGACTATATATGCATCCTTTTAGAATCACTTCCTTCTGGTTTTGCTTCCCACTGTGTCTGACCCAGATTAACTGCTCCAAACATGCTGTATATTTATATGTACCCAGCACCAGACTTAATCTGTTCCAGTGAACACAGGCCCCCAAAGGGCTGGTACACAACACACACACATACACACAAACACACAGGCAGAATGACGCACACAAAGATGTATGAATACAAGCACGGACACATGCACACACACTCTAGCTGACTCACTGGACAGAGGGAGGAAGGCAGTGAAAAAAGACAACATGCATACAGTATATGAACACAACTCACTAATGCTTTTGTTGCCGAATGGGAGATAATCCCTGCAACCGGGTTCAAAAATATTTTCTATGGCCTCCCAGAGGAGCGGAAGCTCTTCTAACAATATATTAATACCTTCTTGGCCATATAGTGTACCAAATCGCATGGGTGAGAGAGCAACGAGGGACAGCACAAGCAAGAAAGAGACAGAATGGAGTTGAAAGAGCAACATTTTTCTCTTCATGGGTGGGGGGATGAAAGAAAAAAAGGCAGAGACGGAGAACAAAAATGGGGAGATCCTTACAGAAATAGAAGGAACGAGACGAGACATGCAAAAAGAGAAAACGAAGGATAATGTGGGAATCTTGACAGAGAGAGCGAGGAACGACAGCAAAAAAGTGAGAAAGTGAGAAAGCGAGAGCAAAAGAAGAGAAAAAAGCAGTGATGTTTGACAACGGGAGTAGAGTGTGGGAGGAGAGACAGAGTTCTCTTTGCAGCAGTCACATGAGGCAGTTAGTCAGTGCACGGCTGCACAGCACACAAACACACAGTCCAGGCTCAGTACATTATCTTTTATGGCACAACAGCAACATCAATGCCTGCTCATCCCCCCATGGTGCATCAAAAGCTTCAAAACCCACTGCACCGAGGCAAAAGACTGTACTTGGAATGAAAAAAAAAGAAGCATGTAATAGATTTTCCTATTGCTGTTTCTATCTTTACTGCCCCAACATATATATATATATATATATATATATATATATATATACACTTTAGCAGAACTGCATGTCATAAAATGTCTCCTGAAAATTACAATCATAAATAACTAAATTGCATTGGCGTTTTGTATGACCTAATGCAGGTTTATGTTGAACCACAGACTGTATAATAAATTGCTCCTGGCTAATCCAAAAATGGACAAAACCGCGTAGAGCGTGGGTGGAGCCGAGGTGGACCGAACGAGGCGTGGTTGCTAAAATCAGCCACCATTGATGGCTCCCACCTGTCACTCAAAGGGGGCACATCCTTAATTATTCATAACCAAGCCTCAATATAATTTAAACCGAACCAAAAAAATCACCAATCGTACAGTTGTCATCAATAGGGAATTTGGCTACAGAGACCAAAACTGTTGTGTATATATAATAATAAAACATGTTTGTTTCTGTTTATTTCTGGCATTGTAATACGGAGGTTTATGGAGATTGACTCGCTTTTGGAGCCAGCCTTAAGTGGCCATTCGAGGAACTGCAGCTCTTCTTCCAGGTTGGCTTCATTAAACAGCCATGGAGGTTGCCACTTGTGTTGAACATATCTGCAAAATATTTACTGTCAAACTATTGTATTTACTTCCCTACAAACTACACTCGTGGCAAATAATGCGTGATCCATTTCTATAGTTATGTTTATATGTGAATATGTTGGACCAAACAATGTTGCAAAAGGAAGGCAGTGTAGTAATTTGAATGCAGTTCACACCATCAGAGGATTCTGTCAAGTCAAAGAGTTGATAGAAGAATAGATACTGTTGATACTGAGTGTTCTTTAGATTAGTTGACGTGGCACTATTTACCAAGTTTACTAATTTTGCTTGCAAAATGTGCTAGCTTCCGAGACTTGAACAGTTCACTGTAATCACACTAGGATATCACAACACATCTTTTTCTGGTGATGTACGAATTATATATATGTGATAAATGCTTAACCTGTACATACTGACTCCGGACCTTTATGTAACATACTGTATTTGTAACACACTATAAAGAGATGCAGTTAATTCATGTGCACAGCAAATTATAGCCCATATTCGGACACGGCAAGTTGGCATGGAATTGTAGAACCATTTCGGAAGAGTTTAATAGTGTCAAACACACCTCTCAGTCTGTATTTCCAGTTTTGTGTTTAATAATTACAAAAAGACTTTATTTGTATAGTACCTTTCATACAAACACAATGTAACATAAAGTGCTGTACTTTTGGACATTTTCACTTTGAATTGCACTGCACTAGTTTAAATTTAGGTTTTGAGGTCTTTAGGTGTTGTCACACCTCAGAAATAACTCTGACTTCTGAAGTTGTGAAGATAAATAAACCCCAAAATATACTTTTAATAATGTGCAATGACATCATTGTCAGTGACAAAAATCAGCTGCTCTGAGAGACGGCTCAGCGTCTCACATTTAATGGTGATTAAAGGAAAACAATGTTGCCAGTTTGTTTCACTTCTCAGCAGCATTTCACTTTGGTTCTTTGTTCAACAAGAGACTAAATGAGCTACAAGCCTGATTCTAATCCTATTTGGAGTTTGATGTTCTTATTGTCACTTTTCTCTAAAAGGTTAAAATCAGCTCTTGGAATAAGAAAGACTGATTTGTTTCTGGCCGAGCTGACTGCAGGCTTTTAGACTCACACAACCCAGATGCCAGTGATTTTCAGTTGCAGGCCACAATACAACAGCTGCAAAACTGGCTTCAGGCTGTGCTGGAGGAACGAGCAACACAGGCAGCTTGTATCCACATGACAAACATTGAGATATTGAGATGGAGAATTACAGATGTACAAATGACCTGAAGACAAACTGATAAGTAAATTGAAATGTACTTTTGTACTCAGATGTGTTTCTTTAGGGTTATATTAATGGTGCTTTGTTTTTAAAGAGGTCCTGTGGAGTTTTCTTGTAAATCAACAAAAGTTATGTTTACATTCAGTGTTACTCACCAAAGTGCATTGTGGGTATCCTTTAGCTCTAGCAAATATTTTAAAAGTATTTCCTTCCTCATAAAACATTTGCAAAGCCTATTTTAAATTTAGTAAATTAAATTTTGCATTGTTTATATCCATGTTTACTAGCTTGCAGTCTTCTTCTGTGCCTTTGCTGGTGCATTGCTGCAAATCTTGGCGTGTTACCACCAAAAAATGTGTACTATGTCAACCATGTGTACATGAACTGGCATATTCATCTTCATACGCTTCCACAGACTAACAAAACTAAGACCCACTCATAGAAAACAGCTCCATAGCGCTACTAGAGGTAAAAAACTCCACAGGGAAACTTTAGAGAAAATAGTTGGCCAAAATATTATACGTCAACCAACCATGTGGTAGACTTTTCTCTGTGATCCAAGCTATAAAAAAAGTGTGTAACAGTGTGGTATACAGCAATACGTGTGAAATAAAATCATTACTATTAAAACAGGTAACTACAGCTACTACAGTAGTAGTTCTCAGTGGGATCAGTTAGGAAAAGTTAAAGGTAACTTACTGTCTGGCCTGCCAGAGAGAGCAGCGTGTTCTCTCTGCCAGTGTGTGCTCAGGCCTGAGACATGAAGTATCCGGAGGATTCCAGTCCTAGTTGGCTGCAACAGGAAGCAGCAGCATTTTAGACAAGATATTTATAGAAAGAATAGAAACATTCACCCACTGATACATAGTCTAACATGACTGGATCACATTTGCAGACATTTAACACAAGTTAAACTTGGGCATTGTAAATCTTACCACAGTTCACCAATGTATTTATTGTACACATTGTTAAAAAATAATTTAAAAACCTCTTGTTGAAAAAGATGCTTTTTTTAACATGTTAATGAGGGTCAGCAGAATGCACCATTAGTTTTGGTCTCTGTAAGGTTATCCTATGTTCATTTTATATCAGTAACGGTAATTAACACTTTGTGATTTGTTTCATTTCAAGATCCAAGTTGTAATTACAACTGGGAAATAGGAAAATTGATTTTACTGAAAGCTCTGATACATCTGACTTGAAGCGTAATGATACAGAAGTGCCTGAAAACCAAACAAAAATGGATGCCTCATGTCAGCCAAAGCTGTCGTTTAAGGTTATTAAATCAAAATTAAACGCATATAGTGTTACACTGTCAATGCACTCATTTTTAAAACAAGCATATGGCATGATCGTGCTATTGAACTTGTTTTTTGAGCTTCCAAACCAAACACGCAGTTCAACCACTGCAGGTGATTTTAATAACCAGCTCCTCCTGGTTGATGGGGAGTTAATTAGTAAAAAAAACAGCTGGTGAATGAAGACCAGCCACAGTTTTTGTCCTGAAACTTTAGTGTGCTGGTTAAATTTAAATACTCACCAGTATGCTCAGCTCTCCTCTCTGTTCCCCTCTCTCTCTCCTTCCTCTCTCTCTCTCTCTTAGTAAAACAAAAGCAGGGGGAACTTCACAGGTTTTTCTGGTACGAGGCCTCGTAACTTCGTCATTTGACATTTACATAGTCCTGCAAAATACATGGATACATTTAGTCCGGTTATTTAATATTCTATTTTATCTCAGGTTAGACAAGACAGCATGTGAAGACTTCCTCAGCCAAAGCAGTGGACCTCAAAAGACACAGCAAGCAGGTTACCACAGCCCCACTGGAAGAAGTCTTAGGTAATTTTAGACAAAATGTTCAAACAAGCAAAATCCAAGTCAGGCTGCAAATCGACCCCTTTAATGCACAGGCCCAAAAATTCATTCTTTTTTTTATTTTATTATAAAATGTCAAAACTTGAGACTTGTTTTTGATTTCATGTCTTTGGGAAGTCCAGTCTCAAAGCAGTCCAAGTCCACAGCTCAAGTGGTGGTGTGTACAGTATATGTACATATATAATACAACATGATTTGATGCCACAACTTCACAGCGCTGTGACAACCTGCTCTGTAAACACGCATCCTGTTTGATCCAGACAATGCATCATGGTAGGAACAAGTTGTGATTGTCATTGTCAGTGTTAAATCTTCACCCTGCACATGTAGAGCAGCCAGAGGACCAAAAAATGATAAACACAGACAGAGAAGAAAACACAAACACTCAGACACACTGCTTTAGGAACACACTGTCTGTTCTGAGTAAACGACTTTAAGCCGCTCGCTGCCTACAAGAGTCAACACGCTGTAGCTATCTGTCGACATCCCAGCAGACTTTGAACCAGCGGCATCTCAGAGATTTATTTTTCCACCTAATGTTGAGATGCACTTGTTCACTGAAGAAAATACTAAATATTTCCAGTTCTTTGTACATGAATCATTGACCAAATCTACCAACCATTACCGTGTATTATTTGAGAAACAGAGAAGAGGGCCTTTTTCTCCCTCTTCAGATCTTCATGCTATTGGCTACATTTTATGAACCGTGTTATGACTTTTATTTAAGAGATCAATGCACTTGCTCTACATAAAAGACCTACGTGGAGTTCATAAATAATGAACATAATCTTCAGCTCAGGTAAAAACCGGACAATAAATTAAAATGAGTTGAACTGCAAACTGCTCTTTTCGAACTGCTTGAGGGAAGTTGTTTTTAATGTGAGAACCTCAGCTACGACCATTCCCAGAAAATAAGTCCCAGTGGAAAATAAATGACCTTCCAGGTTCCTATTCTGTTTTCAGTGATGCTTATTTTATGAATAATATGGCTTCTGCAGCTCTGACTTTGCACATTACTTACTGGAATACACAGGAGAAAGGCATTAAAAGTAAATACGTACCATAATCTTAGCACCTCAGAACAAAGAGGTGAACTTCTTGCCAAAACCAGAGATAGCTAGAGGAGAGTGAACAACAAAGAGAGGTTAAAAAGATGTTAACTGAGGGGAGAGAACTTGAAAAAAGATACAGTACATGCACTACATTGTAAGATGAGGCTTTTTTTTTTTGGTTTGGTTGATGTGTAACTCTAATGAGTTACTATAACTGACTTTGCAATGCACTGCACATGGTTATTGTCTCTTTGTTGCAATTTTGTGTCTCTCATGTTGCATCTCTTTGTAGTTGTTTGATTTCTTAAACAATTATTAGACTATTTACATGGTGATGATCAATAGTAGGTGTTTTCAACATGACTGATGTCTTTCATTATATCATGGCCAAATCACTTGTTTAAAGAGTGCTGCTATAGTGATTTGTTTGTTGTACCATCTCCCAGTTTGCCGGCCTGCTCTGCAGCTCCTCCAGGCAGGATCTTGGACAACATGCCTTCTCCATCCATGCCAGGCTGACCTGCGGCTGCACTTCCAATACCTCCTGGCCTAGGAGCTGCCTTGGAGCCTGGACACAGATAAGATGACAGGGTATAAGAGAGAGAAAAAGGAGATGGAAGGAAAAGACCGAGAAGGATTCAGAGGACAAAAGGAGTATCTGTGCAGGTCTAATATGAGGTACCAATGTACATATTTTTTATTTTGGTGAAGTGCTTATTGCTGTCTTCAGTGTCACTAGTTGCCCTTGTTGATTTTTTCTGTCCTGCCAGTCTACTCATATTTAATTTAGCAAATGAGCAACAAGGTATTCAGAATATTCAGAAGAATCCTGCAAATACTCATGTGAGTTGTTTGAACCAGTGATTTTGTTTGCATTTTTGCTTAAAAATTATTTAAACAATAACAATTTGTCAAAATTGTTAAATTTATTGTTTCAGTTATAGAAAGACCATTGTTATGGAGCCTTTACTGTAGTTGTGAGTTGTGTAACTGTATCTCATTCCATGTGTGTGTTCAGATTTATCCATATACACATTTACAGATTTGTCCACACATTTGCAAATCTGAATACAAATTTGTAGATTTTTTTTTACACATTTACAAATCTGATCACACACACAGGACTTCAGATACAGTTACACTCCACTCACATTTGTAAATAGTGTTGCTACAATAATGGCTCCATACATTGTCGTGGTATAATATACCAACAAGAAAAACAACCCATTAACAATTAGGCTACTCTTTGTAAAACAGGACGTAAGATCCATCCATTTACCTACCACACTGCATAAAAGACAAACTACATCAGCAATGAATTTTCCAAATATGAACGTATTTCATCTGGAAAATTAATAAGTACTTTCACACTTTCACACCTACCTACAGACTAAATGACTGCATACCTACTCAACAAATTAACTGAATTCCTAATATCAGCTAACTAACAAATTAACTAACTAATGCACTGTGTAGTAACTTGGCACAGTCAAGCTGATCTGCTGCCATGAAGTGAAACTCCCTCCTGTGGGTTTTCCACTGTGGGATTATCTGCAGATTAAGCTCAGATAAGATGAGACAGCACACATCGGTTACATAATACAGACACAGTAGGCAACAGCTGGTTGAGACATGGGAGTGGTGGGAGCCTGTGTGTGTGTGATCATTATACTGTACCTATGCCTGTAAGTGGGGGTTGGGCGGCTTTTGTGGCCATGACGGGCGCTGCCTTTGCTCCAATAGCTGTTGCTGGAGGTGTGTCTATCTTGGCCTGTGGAGAGAAGCACCATAGAGGGGAAGCACAAAGCTCGTCATTTAGTAACACAAACATCTCATCAGAGATCTCAGAGAAAATGGGATTCATCTCTATTTATTCAAACAAAACCTGAATGAGAGAGTGAGACAGAGAGATATATGGGGACACAGTACGAAAAGAGAGAAAAAAGAGATGGAGCGACTGACAGGGCATGATAGAGAAAGCTCCCCTATTGTGTTGTGTTGTGACAGCTCACTAAATGACATGAATGATGAGTTTCAACATCGTCAACACAGTCAACTGCCAATCTGAGGATCCTTGTTGAAAAAAGATCAGTTAGGTCCATTCCGATTTTATGATTAAAGAAAAACTAGCTTTTGTTGTTTCTTGTCAAGGCAAAGGACATTTTAGAGAAAAATCTCCTGTCAGGGGCCAAATATTTAATCACTGTATTTATATTGTCTTGACAGCTCCTAGACACAGTTAACATAGGCCATTAGACGTTGGCACTACACACTTTAAATATGAACTGGTCATGCAGAAACAGTTGTGACATTCCCAGTCAACTGATTTTGCAAATAAATGCCACAATTTATGTACAGATGAAGCCTGACCTGAGATAGACTGAAACTTTGAAACTCCAAACTATATAAATGTTCACTTGTATTATTCATTATTTCTTTGTATTGAGTTCTGCTGCTGCTGTCAGTCAATTTTTCTTTCAAGCACTTTAAAAATTGTACCAACCTGATGAAAGGTGTTATTTGAATAATGTAACTGATTGGTGTTTTTTTTTTACTTCCCTTTGTCAAAGTCCCACATTTTCCTCACCTCATCTCTTTGTCTGAGTGGACTAGTTTTGGAAATCCTGCTGAGTCATTGTGAGCTTTTTGATTGTGTTTGAAAGCTTTTGTGTTGTGGTGTTTCTCTCCAGCTCTGCCCTCAACATTAAAGGACTAAACTACAGCAGCTGCTGCACTATCACATAGTAGCTACATAGCTTCAAGATGCAGACCAGACCTTTTCTGATATCCATCAGTTGGTTTCTGAACACAGGAAATATGGCCCAGTGTTTGCTCGGGTTTGATCTCTCTCATTATGTTCTTACTTGGTGTCCTCTGTTTTCAGTAAAACTCTTCATCCCACTCTTGTTTAAAAACACTGCTTAAATTAACTTGACAGACATTGAACTGATGCCATATAATCACATAATATTCTGTATTTGTTTCCACCGACTCCAGTTTAGCTGCCGCAAAGCAGAGGTGATGCATTATGATGCACCATGCAGCATAATGCATTTCATTATTTACAGCCACTTAATCAATGCTTTTAATTACACAATGGACCAAACATAGGAGTATAAGTGAATGAGTTTGCAGACGGAATAATAATCATATGGCAAATTCTATTTACTGTTTATGGCTTCCTGTCAGAGCTATTCCACAGCCGAGCTTTCAGAATAATTTCGAAGACAAATTCATGCATAATGTGATATCAGACCAAATGAATTATTTCACTTTGCTTTCCTGCTGATAGTACCACAATGCAGCAATATGAAAATCATGAGCGCCTTTCAGGAGTGAAAGCACATCATGAATAATTTGAGGATATTTATAATCGACATGGTGACAGTGGGTTTGTGAACTTCATTGGCAACACATTCATATATTTATTAAAGAAAGATTGAATTCAGGAAGAGAATCATTACATTTATCTGAATTTTCATGTTAAAAGTCATAATCAGATTTTTAGACTCCAATAGCAAATAGATTTATATGGATTTATGATTATGGAGTAAATGCAGGGTATAATAGATTTTGCAGGGAGACATTTTGAGTGCCAATTTCTTGAGTGTCTAGCAGACAGTGAATCAGCTACATTCAGTTATCAGCTGCCTCTGTGTTAATCACAGTGTTAGATAAGGCCTGCCAACCGAGGCACAGCAGAATATAAATAAACCATCTGAACTGGGAGGAGATGGACCAGTTCTTATCTCTGGGAGCATGGAGGGACACATGAGGATTGTGTAAAATTTTAAATAAAGTTTATTAAAAAAAAAAAAAAAAAAAAAGGCTGAGGGTGAAGACTGGCTGAAAACTAGGAAAAGGTGAAAGTGGAGGTAAGAGAAAAGGTAGGAGGGGGTGCAAAAAATGAAAAGACTGGGAGGAAGAGGAGGATGGAGAGAGAGAAATAAAGGTGAATGAGTATAAGCTGAAGGTGGGAAAGATGCAGGAGGAAGAACTAGCTAGCTAGCTGGATGTTGTTATCATACCATCTCTTTATCATATCAACTGGAAACAACCACGGCAAATCTTGTTATAATTCTCATTTTCTCTCTACTAGTCTTCCCTACTCACCATGGTGGGTGGCGTGGTTCCTGTTGGACCTGTCTGCCTGGCCTGCCCCATGGGTCCACCTGCTGGTCCCATCTGCCCTGGCTTGGCCTGCCCCTGCCCCTGCCCCATGCCCATGCCCATCCCCATGCCCATGCCTTGGCCCTGGACTGGGGGCTGCTGCTGAGGGCCGGTGACCGCTGTGGCACCGGGCTGCCCAGGCCTGGCGGCTGATGTCTGGGCTTGTTGCTGGAGCTGGGTCCTCTGTCCTGGAGCCCCGTCTGTCTGGGCACCTGGACCACTCTGTCTCCCTGATCCTGTAGGCCCACCAGTGGGGCCCTGAGCACGGGCAGAGCTGCTGCCAGACCTAGAGGAGCCTGAATGGAGGAAGGGAGCATGACATTGTTGTTAAGGAACAGTATGCACTCATTGTTCCAAAATTGTCTCAACTTACGTCAAGAACTAGAAACAGGTAAAATAATTGACAACAATTCGGAGGTCAGCTTTTACAACAGAAACTATAAAACAAGATAAAAATGTACTCTGAACCTCACAGGCCTTCACCTGATGTTTAAATGCAAGGAAAGGTTTGACAGGTCACAGTAATAATGTCTGCCAATATGATTCAGGCGATACATCTGTGAACTTTGCATCATTTGTTCCTTGTCTTATGTGAACAGGTCCTAGTTAGAAAACTTCGACTAAAAAGATCCAGTCAGTCAGGTCAAATTAATCTGATCAGATTATTTCTGCCTCCAGGAAAGTTGCTTTTGTAGTGCTAAAAATCTAATCTGCAGATTAAGGAACTGCAGTGTTTATTTTACAGTGTGTTTTTCTATTATAATGGCATTCCATTTTTCCACAATTGCCAAGTGAAGCAGGAATGAAAGACAGGATGATGCAACAAATATTGTGACCAAAGATCAAACCAGCGATTTAATGAGTACACTGCTAAGAACATAGCCACGTGCTGCCTTAGGAGAAAACATTTCCTCAGAAAAATTAAGCTTGATATAGTTAATTAAAAACTGTTGATCCCTGAGGGGACAGTTGATTGTAAAAGAGCATCAAACTCAGTCTGAACAACAGGGTATATGAAATATTTTTGCCTCAGAACTAAATATGAAAGTCATAGGGGTCTATCCAAAATATGGATAATATTGTTCCAGTGATAATCTGAGGGTGTACCATAGGAAACTTAGTTTAGATCTAATAAAGATAAATTATCAATTCATTCAGTCAATATGGTTAATGGTCTTATTTATCCAGGGTGACTCAACGATATGATTTAGTACGATTTAGCTCACTTATAAGTAAAAATAAGAAACTTTTAAAAACCCTTTTTCCATTTGTTCCTCTAACTCTCAATGAATCTATTAAGCCTGGTACTTAATAGTCCATGTTTGTCCTGCTGACGATATTGTAAAACACTGTGCCCCATAAGCACAGCTGTGTGCCTCTCTCTTTCCCCTCTACCTATTTTCTCTAGTCCTTTTAATAACAGTACTTTTACTTGAGTAGGATATTGTAGTACGCTTTCCAACCCTGGGAACACAACTGTTACATTTTGGCACCACTCTTCATTCTGGACAGGCTGCAGAGTTCCTAGACTGGGCAAAATCTGAATGAGATTGCTCTAGACATAAAATGTAATGAGTTAATGCCTTTCTTCACTATCTTTTACTACTTCTTTAACAAATTCCAAATGCCCAAATAACCTTATAATGCAGGTCGATTCAACTGGTGGCACATCCGGCCCAGAAGCCACCTCCAAGACATAAGTCTAATATATGACAAAATAAGTAAACTACATACATACTGTATGCCTAATGTATAGAAGTAGCTAATGAATTCTGTTGAGAATGGGAATTGAGAATTGCATTTGTGGACTACTGATAGGGCAGAGTGTTTATGGATGTAGTGACACTGCCAATTCTTTCACAAATCAAAACAAAAGTTTTTTCATGTTATGACCATGCTTACTAAAAAATGTGTTTCTGTCAACCCTGAAATGTAAAACTGACAATATAAGCTATAAGTTTAACCCTGCTTGTACTGGCAAATGCTTGCTTGTACCACCTTGACACCACCTTGAGAAACACATAACTTTCTGGACAAGCAAAACAAAGGTTTTAAATAGGCTCCTGAATGTGAAAGATGACATTGGCCCATCTACATCTCCTGGTTTTAAAATCTGGCCCAATTGAATTTGTAATTTAAAAGGCCTGTTGTAATGTATAATATAATAAGTAGTTAAGATGCAAAGTCATGAAAGTGCAAATGTAAAGCTATGTCTGCTGCGGCTGACAAAGAATGCTATTCAATGTCAGGTGCCCTGTATGTACCTGGGGGTTGGCTCTGCATGTCCACTGGCTGCTGGGACTTGCTGCGTGAAGAACGGTGTGGGTCCCCCTGTCTGGAGGAGCGCTGGCCATGGTGGTGCCCAGACGGATCCCGGGAGTAGTCTGAAGAGTGGTATCCTCCAGACCTTGAATCGCCACGCCTTCCTGAGGATGAGGATCGTCCTGAAGGGTCATGGCGCATTGACGGGTCTTTGGGGTGCCCCTTAGATGACCTTGAGGCCCTTGGCTCATCTGAATGACGTGACGCGGATGAATGCCGGCTAGAGCTGCCATGATGCCGGTGGTCGCGGGATGAAGAGTGTCGCCCTCCTTGGCCGTACTCATCCTGGGGCCACAGGTCCTCCTCAGGAGGCTCATCATAATCATGGTAGGTGTGTTTAACGCCGTGCCGGCTCCTTCCAGTCGAGTGGCTGCCGTAGTGTCGAGAACTGGAACGGGGCTTCTCAAACCAGTCAGTTTCTTCTTGGCCCAGATGGTAGGCTTTGGAAACCGAGAGCAGATCACAGTCAATCTCCATGTCGTTTGGAGACAGCGGCATGCAGGCTGAGAGAAGGAAGGAGGCAGGAAGAAGAAGACCAACCGCATGCAAAAGAAAAGAATAGATGGGAGAAAGACACAGAAAGAAAAGCAGAAAATAAAAATAAAAGTTTTACATACATGCAGAAAATACACTTCACGTCGCCTTCACACATTACAAGACAATATAAACAGGATAAAACAAACACTGCAAAACTGTCCACTTTTGGCAGCTGTTTTAGTGCTTAAATGTTTCAGCTTCAAATTTAAGCCAATATGGAAGAAAATGTATGCTGCACAAACAGCTCTCTTCCTGTTAGATTCTTGCAGCACTAATACTGGCCATTTTTTGAAAGATAAGGTTGAAATACAGAACTGATTGTGAGGACTGTATTGCAGTGTAGACAAATAATTCATAAATCAAAACACATGTAAACAAAACATCAATGCCAAAGACATAATTAAAGATAAAACCCTGTAAAGAAAACACGATGCCTCTGTGTCGTGCAAAGAAGACCTTTCAAGTGAATCAGAGTGTAGCGAACGAGGAAAACGACCACGCCGAAGAACCATGCGAGAATTGGACAGACAGACGACTGGACGAACAGGCGGAAGGACGGACAGGCAGGCAGACAGACAGACAGCAGTCCACTGATAAGAGAGCTCCAAGTGACTCTCAGGAAGAAGAAAACATCAGCATGCAACGGCTATCTCTGTCTTTCTTTTTCTTTCTCTTTTTCTTTGCTAAGCCTAGCCTTTGGGTGGGTGGGGGACGTTTAGATAAACGGTGGGGGCAGTATTAGGTAGTGAGACTGTTTGGGCATTCAGCTCCCACAATTACCTTCGCTGTCTGACACAGCGCAATGATAATCGTCTATTATGTATGTATCATCCGATTTGTAGACATGTGTCCGGGGAAGGTCCCGTATGTGGTCTTGTACATCTGGCAGCGAGTGGCTGGAACCATATTGGCCATAATAGTACTGATATCTACTGCTGCGACTGTCGTATGGGTCTGGACCTAAGCTTGATGATCGCCCAGAACCCATGAATCTCCCCAGGGGGCTGAGTGGGCTCTCCTCTTCAGAGTACTGCCGGGTTGGGTGGCGCCCCCTGCTGTATCCAGATCGGTAGGAACGGTCGTCCCTCTCATAGGATCGGCTGCGATACCCAGGGTAGTCCCTGGCTGAGATCTTGTCCATGCCATAGCCGGTGGAACGGGAACGGCCGGTGGAGGTGTAATAGATCCGATCGTCCTCCCCTTCTGTAGAACCGTAGTATCGACTACCTTGAGTTGTGCCACTGCCGGCGTCATAAGCACTCCTCTTAAAGCCGTAATCCTCGATCAGCTGGCGCCCTCGAATGTGAGAGGAGGAGTAAGCCCCACCTGTCGCTGAGGAATAGGAGGCCAGGTCTGCCTCCACATCCCGAGCCTCCTCGATGGGGGAAAACTTGGAGATTTTTTGCTCCATACTCCCCAGTTTCCTGTGCTTGCTGCGCTTGGAGGACATGACAGCAGGAGCCAGAAGGCTTCTGGAGGACAACGAAGGTTTCTGTACCCCGGAGCGGATGCTGCCATGTTTGTAGTCGTAGTCATAGTAATAGGGGGATCCCCCACCCATGCTAGCGCTCACGCTGCTGCTGCTGCCCCCTAGAGGTCCGTGCCTGTAGCTGCTCTTACCCCTGCCGTGGTGGTCGTACAGCTCTTCCTGCATCGCTGCTTCCTCTTCAGGTGCCCTGCCGTACGAGGAGCTGCCAGTTCCCCCACGCGTCGTGCTGCCAATGGTGCTGCTGTGGCCGTGGAGGTCACCCGGGTAACGCCCACTGCCGCCATGATGCATCATGTCCCCTGTTGTCGTGCCCAGCCCGTCTTTTGCCGTCAGCTCACTTACATCGTCAATCATCATGTAGTTCCTTGGGATGTTTTGCTCTAAACCAGGAGCCCCATACATCCCATCTGCAGTGCTGTAGGTGGAGGGACTGTCTACAGAGTGCCCATAGGCATTGGAAACTGTAGAAGTGTACTGTCCATAAGAGCTGGCTGTGGTGGCGGTGTAGCCATAAGTATTAGCAGTGGTTGTGGTGTACTGGCCATATGAACTAGCTGAGGTTGAAGTATACTGGCCATAAGTGCTGGGTGGCATGGTAGAGTACCCACCATAGCTGCTGGACACTGGTGCTGAGCCATAAGGCCCATAGGAGCTGGCCATGGTTGTCGACCCAGTGTACTGACCATAAGAGGGGGCTGCACTGGAATAGGCAGCATCCTGGGCTGTGGTGGTGACCACAACTGTGGGGTTGCTGATCGTCTCATAGTTGGTGGGCATCTTGTGTTCCAGATCAGCTAGCGAAGTCTGCCTTGGTCTTCCTGGGTGGACTGTCAGGATATCTACTTGAGGCTGCCCAGGGTATGGGGTGGTCTGGCTGGGGTAGGAGGACACAGCGCTGGGATAGGGTGAGCTGTGGGTGGGGTATGGGGGCTGACCAGGCGGTGCAGGCCCGAATCCTGTATGCCCTGGCTGGGGCTGAGGCTGAGGTGCAGCTGGTAACCCCATGTCTGTCTGGGGGTATGGGGGCTGAGTTTGGGGGTAGGAGTGGGAAGGGTAGGAGGTTTGAGATTGATAAGAAGGTCCAGGAGGGGGGACATGGCTCTGGAGGGGTGTGGGCTGTGGCAGTGCCTGGGACTGAGACACTGTTGGATAGGGAGGCTGGTTGAATGTCGAAGACTGGTATGGCAGACTTGATTGCTGAGTTGGTGCTGCCGGTTGGCTCTGGGGGTACTGACAGGGGAGGAAGGATGAAGTGGGTGGGTACTGGGCTGCTGTGTTGAGATCACTGGTGAACTGGCTGAGAGGGGCGGTGCTTGGCCTTGTTGACAATAGCCCATTGGTCTCATGTGATGCAGCTGCAGCTGCTAATCGTAGGTTATTTAACTCACTATCAGACATGTAGTCCCTAGTGTCTCCCATACACCTCAGGTAGGCAATATCCCTCCTCTCTCTCTCCTTGACCAGTGTCTCTTTCCTTTGATGGATCCCCAACTCTAGGTATCTAAGTTTAGCATCAATCTCTTTCTCTTCCTCCTCCAGTTCAGCTTGCTGCTTTCTCAGCTTAGTCGACTCTTGCTCCACGGCCTTCAGCTCGTGGGTGAGGTCTTTGAGGAGGCTGGCTTTGGCAGCCAGGCCAGACCTGGAGCTGGGCTTGAGGCTGGGCACGGAGGGCAGGTAGACCTGTTGGAGGGCAGGTGTCATCATGGGCAGGTGAGCTGATGTGGTAGTCTCGTCCGGAGGAGGGCTAGGCAGGGTTCGCTTGACCTTACGGAGCAGTGAGCTCTGCTGTAGGGCTGCCAGCTGGAGAGAGAGAGAGAGGGATGGGAGAGCAGGAGAATATAGGGAGACAAAGACACATAGAAAGAAATGGATCGGAGAGGGAAAACAGAAGACAGGAGTGTAGAGAGAGATCAATGGGATAGGACAATGAGCAAGTTAAATGGAGAGGTATAGGAGATGGGACATATGTGGAAATGAAATGTGAAAATGAGATGGACAGGGACATGGGAGGGTAAGGGACAATGAAGGCAGATAAATAAAGAAGGGGACAGGATTAAAGAGAATAGAGAAACGAGAGAAGAAGGAAAAAGTGGAAGAAAAATAGGGAAGACAGAGAAGAAAGAGAGCCAACGTAGATTGAGCAGGGGGTAGGGAACAATGTAGGGAACAGGTTGAAGAGAAAAAAAGGAGAAAGGAGAAATGAGTAGAAAAAAGGAGAGGTTGTACAGGGAGATCCATACAGAGGGATCACAGGGGAGGAGAAAGTTGAAAGAGGTGGGAAGACAGGCGATGGGCACAAAAGATGAATAGAACAGGAGGAAGAGGAGGGAGGAAAACTCAAAAAGAGAAAAAGGTCAAGGAACAGAAGAAACAAGGGAGGACGCAACAACAGGGATATACAAGGGAGACAAAGGAGACACATAGAGACAAGGAGACAAGGACAACAGGAAACAAGAGTGGAGCTTGTGTTAGAGGACATACAAAAACATTAAAATTGATGTAAATTATGGTGCAGTATTCCATTAATTGATTTGATGCAAACCATTCATCATTTTGAGTAAGATATTGTTTTATAATTAGAAGGAATGCACTGGAATGACCCTCACTAAGATGGTCTGAAAATGTGGGTCCACTTCATATTGAACCCCATTGCAGTTACTTTGTAACTCTGTACTTTGGATGAATATAAAAGCTTAGCTAAATAATTTTTTGGAATCGCCTTGCAACTTTCAAGGAGCAAATGTCCCTTCAGTTATAGATTGGGAAATTGGCAGCATGAATTTATGGCCGATATACAGTAAATAGACCTAAACCCATAAGGGATGCTTCCAACACCTTGTTGAACAGTAATGGGGTTCTACTACTTAAGGTAAGTATACAGAATAAAGCAGCCACAGATGTTGTTTTGTACATTTTCCTGTTGTTTCTTCTCTTTGCAAATGACTTATGGATTGCTTCTGATAGCCTCATGCTTGTTTCCAAGGGCTATTGTGAGCTTTTAACTTCAAATCTTCAGACCAAGCCTACTGCACCATGTGTTCCACTGTAAACCCCAAGAAAAACACAAAGAACAAAAGACAAGAATTTTAGTGTATTTGATTTTCATTTTTGTTGTATATTGTGATTGCACAATATGGAACTAATAAAATACTAAATATGTGTGAGCTGCCTATTCTCCTGTCAAAATCCAGCCAAGCAAATGTATCTTGTTCAGATGAGTCAATGTTTTACTGTAGCTTATCAATATCATGAATGACAAGAATGTTAGAATGAATAGGTTCATCTTTGTTTTGTTTTTAAATGTGTGTAAATACTGTATCTTCCCTTATCCTACCAAAATGCAGTTATTTTGAATTTGTAAATAGATCACATCATGTGTCATGTGTTGTTTGGCATGTCAGTCTGTGTGGGGGTGACGAGATAAAAAAACAATATTAATCATCTAATCTTAGGTGGGCAGTAAATACATACTCCCAACATCTCAAATAATTAGGAGAGAAAATACTGTACACTGAAAAAATCTATACATAACAAAGGGGTTGTTCTAAAGAGATAAAGAAAATCTTTTCATATACTTCAGTCACTTTGGATTGTGAATAGCGGTGATTTGACAATGCAACAGCCAATAATGTGGAGGTGGATTACTTTTTAATAATTTGAGGACCTTTTTAAATCAACTGACTCGAATCAAATGCATGTTGCATCTTACACCAGCTGGAGGCTTGCACAGGCTGACAAGACGTAACAAGTATCATTGGACATAAACTACTACACTATAACACAGAGATGGTGTTTAACCTCTCCATCACTCAATATTAGGTAACACAGCACCTGACAAATCTAATTAATTCCTGAAAGTCTCTTTTGCAGTCAGGGCCCTTGATTTAAAAAAACAAACAAACTTTAACTTGTCACTTTATTCCTTTGGTTATGTAGACAGACTTTTTTATATAACTGGAATCGGTTTATATTTTTTGTCTCCTAAAAGTTTCCCATAGATTTTATTTTATTATTTGTTGATTTCAATTTTGGCACTTTTTTTTGGGGGGGGGGCTTTTTGTTGCCTTTACTTGATAGGGACAGCCGAAGATAGACAGGAAAGGGGGGCAGAGAGAGGGGATGACACGCAGCAAAGGGCCGCAGGTCGGATTCGAACCCTGGGCCACTGCAGCAAGGACGCAGCCTCAGTACATGGGTCGCCAGCTCTACCAACTGAGATAACCGGGCGCCCCACTTTGTTGCACTTTTTAACTTCAGTTTTGAAAATTGCTCCATAAATCAATATCATTCTTGTTATCATGTATTCATTTCTCTAGTTATTAATATAATGATTCTCATTAATTGGTCTTAAGAAATGAAGCCTTTCACTATTGTGAGAGCAGTTTAGCCCACCATGTATGCTGTAATAAGAGCCAACCATACAGGTTTTATTGCTCTGGTTTGTAAATATAATGATATTCAATAGTTAATTAATGCACAGAATTATGACAGTTTTTGTTTTCTTTAAGAATTGTATAGATGCCCAAATAATTTTTAAACAGAGATATTAAATAAACCCACAATAACTACCTTGTTTAGAAATCAAATTGAGTTATGCCTTCACCAGACGTTTCTATAATAAAGGCCTAAAATACCTCATGAATGCTCAACAGTGGATTTCACTGACATGGCAGCTATTGCTTCATAATAGTAGGTGTCACTTCAAATTGGTGATGGGGTACTCTATACGCCCTAAAGGACGTGGAAGACAAAACAATAGTAACATCTGAAAATCCACAACAAAGGGAATTAGTCATCATAGCATTCATATAAAACATTCATAACACTCACAAAATAAAAACAGGGGCAAAGTGGAGTTAAAGGAATGGTTTTGATCAAAAAATGACATAGAGGCCATTGAGATTTAATGCCCGATTCCACAGAATAACATTGAAGTGAGTCAAACTATTGACTAAAGCAAAGATAATGACTGTGAGAACTTGTGCTGGGGCCCTGTCCCTGGTTTTAAACAGTTTTGAATCATTTTCATCTTTTTATATTGGTTAATCAAATATACATTGCTGATTTTTACCAATATTTTGTCACAAGAGTTAATGCAGGAAGCCCTGAAGAGGAATTACCACGAACATATGGAATAACGGCAAACCCTCCAAACCGACTGGTAGGTCAAAACTCCGAGCCACACTACCAAAATGTGTTCAATATCTGCAGTGGTTGTGTAGAGTTGTGATGACAGTCTTTTTGACTTAATTTTCAGTTCATAAAGGTGTATCTGTTTAAATCATAGACAAGGTATTAACAGGTCTAACCACCTTAGGTATTATTGATGCTGTTTTAGCCTTTTGCTGCAGAATAATAACTAAATAATAATTGTTGTTGTAGGTTGACACTGGACCTCATCTATTGGTTACATACAGTAAGGTATCATCTATTGTATATTGACAGCTGGCCTACAACTGAATTAGCTTCCCAGGTAGTCAATAACATAAGAATGTAGTGTGTAAAACATGTTTTTGTACTATATGCTACTTGAGTAGAGTGCTTTTTAACATGAGGCAATACTTTATAAGAAACAGCAAATACAACAGAAATAGACTTAAGCTATTTTATCTAGATTGCATCCTGAATTGATTTTAATTGCTTCTTTGACATTTAACTTTTAATGTGCTAACTTTACCTGGCTCTGCAGTGCTTGTTGTTGATAGAGGGACAGCCTGGCCTTGGTATGCTCATCTGTTGTGGGGCTGAGGGGCTTGGGGTCTGACATGGATCTTTGCGTGCTCTTGATGGGTCGGGGCACAGAGGGGTGTCGCTGGGGGGACTCGGCTGTGTAGGACTTCTGCTGAGGTGTGACATGGGCCTTGTTCAGCCTTTCACTGGACAGAGAACTCTCCAGCAGGCGGTGAGGGGACACCGGGGACACAGGAGAGTAGAGGACTTGTGGGGATTTGGGGGCTGTCTGCTGCTGCCGGATAATGCTGGAGATGGACTCGTTGTGGAGGTGGTTGTGAGGCTGGTAGTTGATGTCGAGGGGGTCGGGGCGTCGTCGTTCAAACTTGGCTGCGTTTGCTGCAATATGCTGCTGCTGGCGCTGCTGGGTCAGAAGGTCGACAGAACCAGATTGTTGTGTTCCAGTACTGGTAGAAGAAGAATATGGACTGACTGTGGTTGGTACACTGAGCTGGGGAGCTACAACACCCTGTGACTGGGCTTCCGGGTCAGTCTGGCATGCTAGAGACTGTCCTTTTTGGGTCCGCTCAGGTCCAGAGATGTAATGCACAATCTCTACTTTATTTGGGTCTGGTACTGTCACGTGGATTGCTGGGGAGACTCTTCCTAGGTGCTCCACTTCTGTCTGGCAAGACATTTCCCTGATGGTCTGGATGGCAATGCTGGAGGATACCATCTTGGGAGTGTCGGTTTTGGTGTCAGTAGATGCGGTGGTCGTGGCTGCAGTGCCAGTGCCAGTGGAATTGGACTCAGAGTGCCGGGAAAAACGTGAACGTCTTCGTCGGACTGGCTGCTCCATCTCAGCCTTGTCCTCGTCATCGTCTGTCTGGACGGAGCAGTCAACACTGCGTCCACGCCTTCTGGTGCGATGACGCATCATGTACCTGGTGATGTCGAGACGATAACAATAAGGAAAGAAATAATAATGCAATATATTACAGCGTACAAGTTACATTAAAATGTGTACATACCAGTAAAGCACCTGCCAGTACAAGTTTGTACAACAATCACTAACATTGTTAATTGTCTATTTTTTAGATTATTGGGTAATTACGCGCTACAGTAATACTATTACTCTGTAACAAAACAAGGAGTGTTGGCAAAACAGGTTAAAGATACTGATATGCTAAGGAACATTGGTAGTTTTAGTATTAGCCCATTTGTAGGCTGTATTATAAAGTGCAAACATCGATACATATATATATAAGTTTCAACATTTACTAATACCGGATGTAGTTTCATCTTTTTGTGTTGCACAATGCTTCTTGCCTTTGAAACTCTCAGAGATGTGACATCTTTATTCTCTGTAAAATTGTTTATAAATTATTCATAATGCCTGCATCTACATCTCTGCTTGTGCCTTGTTTTTTAATTACAGAAAGATGTGAAGTAAATAGGAAGACTATCGAGGTAATCCTTGTCTAATAAACACACACACACACACACACACACATTCTTTCATCTACATCTGCACCCACATCCACCTACACCCACTAACGAAACATTTCTATGTATCTGTCCACACACTCATTCCACTCACCAACACACACACACACACACACACACACACACACACACACACACACACACACACACACACACACATCTCTACCTTTCCTCCCCATCTTCATCATCTGTCTGCACACAACTGTCCACGATCCTGCGGGGGGAGCCATAAAACACAACGCCATCTCCATCCAAGCTGTCCCTACTCAGCCTGGTCATGGAGCTGTGTTTCCTCATGTTGTTCCTGGTCTCCATGTGCTCCTCCTGGCTCCTCAGACACATTTCGGACGAGGAGTTGGGGAGGGAACGGGAGCCAATCTGAGAATCAGTATAGGGGTGCAGGGGTTGTCCGTTTACATCGAGCTGAAGAAAAAAGGATTGTTGTAGTTTTACCCCCTCACCCACCATTGATTCAGTGCAATAGCAAAGACTGAGTTGTAAGTTGTAGCTTGAGAAGTTAACAGTTGATGATTTTCAAATTTACAGATACAAAATTTTCTTTGCCAGCCCAGTTAATTTGTGTCAGATTATTTGATGGCTTAATGAACCCTGAGATCAATTATGCCTTCGAAAATATAACAAGAATAAAGAGAAGTGTCAAGGGTCAAGGGTCAAGGTTCAAGGGTATCTTTGCCTGGAAGGAAAATAATAGGAATAGGAAATAAAACATTCTGCACAGATAGGTAGGCATGTATATGGCAGGCCAAAAGTTATTTATAACTATAATTAGTGAGTGTTTCTCACGGCATGTTTTTTCTGTATTTTCACTCTCTATGTCAAAAATTTCTAAAAGTGCTTATGCCTTCAACATCAATGCTATGTATGCATGTCACAACTCTTATAAGCCAGCTGCCAGTGTTCCTCACTCCCCTCACCTGCACGCTATGAGATGCTGTTTTCTGTCTCTTCTGCTCTACAAGCTGCTGCTGGAGCTGGTGCTGTAAAGACTGGATCTGGTCTAGCTGGGACTTCTGTTGGGCTAGCTGCTCCCTCTGGAGAACAAGTTGTTTCTCACGTTCATGTTGCTGCTGCTGTAGAACCTAAAAAATGTTGGTGGAAAGGGGAACAGAAAGAAGTACACGTCGGCAAAAACAGAGAGAAAGGACAAGAAAGTATGGAGAAGCATGGCATAAGAAAGAAGTGAGAGTGAATGAGTTGGGAGAAGAAAAGAAATGATCAAAATAGAAAGATAAATGATGGATGATGGAAAAAAGACAAGATGAAAAGTGATAGAAATGGAGAGAGAGAGAGACAGTAAAGACAGAAGAGGACAAGGTTGTTGACTTATGGCACATCTGGTTGAATAAAAGATGATCAAATTTCAAAAATGCAAACCAAATCACAAGACTCCTGAAACTGAACGTGACATGGAGTTATTCTTGTGCTGATGGATTAGTTTTGAAAATGGTTCCAAGTTAGTCAAAATTCACATACATTGTAAAAACCAAGAATGGAAGCGCAAAATAAATGTGCAGCATGTGCTGGTAATTGCTGTTGCCAGTCATACAATGCTCATAAGAAAATATTTAATGCATTTTCTTTGTTGCATAAATGGCAGGCCGGTGCAAATAAGGAGACAGGGTTTTTGCTTATACTGTAGGTTATGAGATGCATATTAAACATTCCATCTCTAGCTCATTCTCATTAAGGAAGGCTTCCACACCTGTTTAACAGAGTTAACTTGAAAGATTTTCAACTGCTTGTTCTATCAAAAAAGAAGAAAATTGTCATGTTAGCCCTTCTGTTGCTGTAAAACATCTTAACAAGGCTATTAGAAGCTGGGAAAAGCAATATATTCAAATGTGTACTTGATATTGATTATTAAATGTTTACAACATAATGAGATCCATTTTTCTTTTACAAATCAGACCAGCAAATGGAATATGACACTGCTTTCCATTTTCTTCTGAATATGACTCAGACCAACAAATGGAACATGAAACCACTTTACAAACAAAATTGGAGCATCATCAGTTTCGATCACACATACATACTACAAGCATGTTCATGCACACTTCTAATACAGGAAATGTACAGTAAAGTGTACAACATTGCATGCATACTTTAGAACTGTTTTGTAACGCAGGCTGGATGCAAACATTCCTTTGAACAAAAAATGCCTTCATCATTACCAGCACGTTCTCACCCCAGGTGGTCAAATACCAACACTGCCTTGTCACGTCCCTCAGCGTTTTATAAGCACAAGGTACACTTCAGCATCTGTTTGAGATGCCTTTTTAATACGTGATTAATGTTGTTAAATGGCTGCAGTTTGGTTAGGTCTAGGCAACAAAACCACTTGGTTAGATTTAGGTTAAGATTGCGATTTGGATTCAAATCAAAGAAGCTCCATAACAAAAGATGACGCATTACAAACCGATGCTCCAATGGTATGAAATGGTCCACCTCCTGTCTCCTAAACACTACCTTGTTTGGAAGTATTGTGAACAAAAGAAACAATAAGAAACACAAGTTTTATTTCAGTTGTAACTTTTAATTCATGGTTTCACATATCAGTCCCTTTAAATTTGTATTTATCTGGTTGGAAACCAACAGAGAGAAGAGATATCTGTGTTGCCAGATCTCACAAGAGTGTGTTGCTGAGACACAGAGACATCTCGAACAAAATTAATTTTAACCTGATTTGTATGTCTGAATGTTTGGAAGATATGTGGCTTTTGAAAAATGGGTCCAATATTTACATTGGTGACTATGAAACAAATTAATTTGTCATAATCTGTGCACACATTAATTTCCCCATTGGACTTGCTGCTAGTCTCCTAAAGGGGTGGGACAGCGGTAAAAGCCACGTGACACAGATACAGGAAATAACTCTAATTGCGCCATCTCTTTCTAGTTAAAATAAGATGCAAGTCACATACATAACTTTATGTAACTTAAAACTTAAAACTCAAGATTGAATTTTGGTTTCATAATGGACACGAACCACAGCCTCCTAGGTGAAAGTTTCATGTTTGAACGATCAATCCACCACATTCCCATCCCTATTTGGACTTCACTCTTTACACTACATTTCCTGATGTGGATGGGTTACACTGGACTTAGTTGAATGCTGGTTGCGTCTCATACAGACACTGAAGGGTACCTGGTGGGTCTGTATGAGACACAGAGGGTCGTGACATACTGTTGACATTTGACAACCTGGGAATGAGAACTGGCTGTCATTACATGAAAAACCACATTCTGAATGGATATTTAATCGTCTCTCTGGCCAAAAATGTCAATGAAACTGTCACAGATTGTTACTACTACTACTTAATACCTTTTTGAGAAATTGATAGGAGAAATGCATTGAAAGACATGCATATACTATATAATGTAAATAGAATTTGTTTGTTTTTTGGCATGTTTTTGGAAATTATTCCACTTACTGGTTGCAAATCAATGATGTGACATTAAAAGAACAAAAGCAATTTAAATAATATAAACGGATAATAACTTAATAACACCACAAGTAGGACCACCACAAAACAAAAAACACAATATCCTAAGCAAAACCAACAACCACAACACATCAAACAAGACACCAAACATCTAACTCTCAATTCCACCTCCCGTTTCTCCCTCTACCTGTTCCTTGATGTTCTGCAGTTCCTGTAACTCTCTCTGCACCAGCATCTGCTCTTTCTCCCTGTGCAGCTTTAGCTCTATCCTTTCACGCTCCAGCTCCTCCTGCAGGCGTAGTTGCCGGAGTTTCTCTAACTCCACCCGCTCCCTCTCCATCTGCAGGAGCTGTTCTTGCTGCCGGTGCAGCCTCTCTGCCTCGGTTTCACCCTCTTTATGTATGGCACCTGGTGGAGGGAAGGGAGGAAGTCCCCCTGGAATGGGTAAGCCACTGGGGGGGGCAGAGGGGCCCACTGCAGGTTGGGTGTAGCCGTGAGTGTGTGAAGGAGCTGAGGGTGGGTAGGCATGGGCTGCTGGAGGAGGCTGTTGTGGTTGCTGAGCAGTTGTCACCTGTTGCTGCTGTTGCTGACTGTTTAGGTGTGCTTGGGACAGGTTTATTGGCTGCTGCTGTGGCTCCATTGGTATGGCAACTGTTCCTTGTACTGACGTGACCTCTACTGATGAGGCACCTTTACCCAGGTAAACCGGTTCATCTTGGACTGTAGAGATAGTAGTTGTCATGGAAACAGACACTGGGGCAACTGCTGGTGCTGAAGTTGTTAAAGCAGCAGCAGTAGTGGCAGTAGTTGAAGTTGTTTGGAGAAGACCTGGTGCTGTGTAACGGACTGGAGCTGGTCCAGATAGGGGCATTCTGGGACTCATTGGTAGTCTGGTAAGACTAGATAGGGGCACAGGTGTCATGTTGGCAGAAGGATATGGTCTGTAGACCCCCCTCAGTAGAGGGCGTAGAACAGAGGCAGGCTGTGTTGTGATGGGAAGTGTCGAAGCAATAGGGGTCTGAATGGTGGAGTAGATCATCCCATCAGCGGACCTTATAGCAGCAGGGTACATGGCTCTGAGACTGGCCTGTCTGGCATTGATAAGGTTGGTTAGCGCCTGACTGTGGGAAATTGGCTTCCCATCTAGTCCAAAGAGGAGGTTTTGTCTCAAGCCGAGACCTGCTGCAAGTCTGGAGGTCCCAGGCCCGGTTCCTCTCCCCAAACTGCTAAACTGCATCAAATCTGGGTTGCTGCTATAACGATCGATGGAATTGAGTGCTGCACACATTCGGCTGATTTCCCTGGCAGTTGTAGCACTGTACTGAGCCAAGTTAGCTTCTTGAAAGTTAGCAATGTCACGAGCAGAGTAGCCATAGTCTGAACTGATGTTAGACAATGAATTATATCTCCTTATAGGCAGTGTTTGGACTGTGATGTCTCCTCCATGCCGTAAATCTGTGTAGGAGCCATACTGCATCCCCATATATCCTCCATAGCCCTGTTTCATAGCCGTTAGATCTACAGCAAGTTCTCCCGAAGGTTGAAGCTGTGGTTCTAGTTTAGAATGATAGGACTGTAACCCAGCATCAGCTAGGTTTGTATCCGACATTGAAGGCTGAAGCCTACCAGGAAAAGGTAATGTGTAGGCCTTACGACCATCTATTGAATAATCCTGGTAACTTCCAGGTTGTCTTTCTTGGTCAGACTCGTAGGTGAGAGGTGGGGCAGATGGAGGTCTTATGCCCTCTTTCTCAGAACCACCAACACAGCTTCCGCCAAATGGAAGTCGGTAAACAACGTCGCAGCATGCAGGTTGGTTGTCAGGTTTAATTTGGCCTCCTGTTAGATCCATAGCATCCTGTCCTTCTTCTACCTTTACCAGCTGAGTCACTGCCCTGGCCTGCTCTAGCCCTCCATCCATCTGTACTACCATGCTATGTGGTGATTTACCGCCTGACATCAAACCAGGAGGACTTGGTTTTCCTTTCAGCTCAATGGGACCAGTGCCATACATCTCAGGGTTAATGACTGGTGATACAGCACTGACCACAGCTGAGGCAGTGCTAGTCTGGCTGACTAGCAAGTCTTTTTTCAGTAAAGGTGAGATTTGACCAGTAAGACTGTACCTGGCCAAAGCAGATGCCTGTTGCTGCTGGTGTTGCATCTGATGATGTTGGTGCAACTGCTGTTCAAGGAGCTCTTGTTGCTTCTGCAGCTTCTCTTGTTGTTTTTGTAGCTCTCTCTGTTGGACACTGAGATCTTCAAGTTTGGCATCAATTTTTGGTATTGATGGGTCAGTTGGAGGTGAAATTGGTTTGTTCTGGGAAAGACACACGGCTGAACCCATGCCCTGACCCAGATCCACTCGATTTTGATGGGGATCACCATAGACTGTTGGCTGTTTGGGCTGGGTCATGAACATGGAAGCAGCCACAGTGACACTCACAGTGGTTGGTGTGGTGGTCTCCTGGGTGTTTAGGTTCATAATCAGTGGCTGTACAATCGTTGAATGTCTGCTACCCTCTGATCCACCATGGTATTTCCTGCTTTCAGTGGCCAAGGAGGTGAGATCCATTCCCTGGTCAGTCATGATAATAGGAGCTGGTTTGGTGGCTGTTCTGAGGTCAACAACACTTCCACCTTGGATCATATGGCCCTGCTCTACTCTAGAAGTACCTGGGACTGTAGATATCCGACAAAGCGAGATGTTGTCCATTGACATGGACCCTCTGGTGTAAGTGCTGACTGTGGTGACCATACTTGTTCCCACATTTACCTTCTCCACTCTTTGTGTTCGGTAGAAGCTGTGTGTGGGAGACTGTTGGTAAGGTGGAGTGTCTGGAGGGCTGCCACATGGGGAGTAAGCATCAAAAGTTGATTGGCGACTAAATCGGGTAGGCGAAGACAGGGGAGAAGTAGCAGTATTGACTGTCGTTGGTCTAGCTGGGCTTGGGGGTGGGGAGTATGGGGCATCCTGGGAAGACTGCTGTCGATAGAGACGTGGGGAAACTGATCGCTGTGATGTTTGGGTTCCCTGAGCCATCACTGGAGATGAAGGCCCAGAGCCAGCTGACTCCATTCGTAATGCTGAACTGAAAGTCTGTGTAGAGAACTCAGCTGTAGCTCTTCTGGAAGGTGAACGAGTGGGACTCTGTGTTGGTGGCGATGGAGAAAGAGGAGGACTGGTGCTCCTGTAATAAGTAGTATACTTGGGAGAACGTGGCTCAATAATTCTCTCAGTAGAAGATGTTGAACTGTCTCTCACTTGGACACCCCTAGTCTCCCCTACCCTTCTGGTGATCACTTCCCTTTGACTGTAGGCCTGAGTAATCTCTGCAATCTTGCTGCATACACTTGAAACTGTAGCTGAGGATGTAGCAGGACTTCCTGTGTGTCGGCCATATATAACAGCCTGAGTAGACGTCACGGTATGGCTTGTACTAGTCTGAGAAATAGTCACTGCATCTCTGGCATAAACTCCATAAGCTGCAATAGTGGTGGCAGCCACTGCTGGAGTTATTCCATTCTTTCCTGCTTGGCTTTTGATCCTGTCTTTGTGTCCATCCTTTGCAGAAAAGTGCTGTGTTACTCGGACATCAGGAATCCGTCCTCCAGTCTCAGCAAAGGAGACAGGAGCTGAGATCTGGGTGGGGCTGGTCCCTGGAGTAAGGAGAGCATTGCTTTGCTCCAGTAGTTTAGCAAAGGCGGAGCCTGTGTCTAGGAGCTGTTTGTCTGGGTAGGAGCTCTCAATCTCAATCTCTACTTGCTCATCAGTGGCCTGCTGCATCTTAGTGATGTTCTGAGATGTTTGTCGGATCTCCTCATAAATATCAGTTTCTGTCTCTACTGCTTCATTGTCATATCCTGTTTGATCTTGTTCATATTCATATTCATCATCATAACCTTGTCCATTAACGTCCTCCTCGTAGTACTGGCCATGTCTTCCATGTTGTTGCTGCTGTTGCTGCTGTTGTTTCTGTTGTTTTTGAAGCATCTCTGCCTTCCTCATCATCTCCTCATAAACCTCCTCAGCACTCTTCAGTGGTTTGGAAGTTGAAGATGGAGCTGTTGTGGTTGTTGTAGTTGATGATTTCTCTACTGGTGAGTAGAGAGACATAAAGGTAGGCAGGTTGTACTCGCTGCCTGACTTGTAAAGTTTGGACTCGTATCCCTCTGCCTCTGAGTCAAGACTCTGAGGAGAATATTCAGAAGCAGAAGAACGATGGAGCTCTTCCATTTCTGCAGCTTGTCTCAGCTCTTCTGTTGGAGAAGCATCTTCAATAGGTGAGAGATTGCTAGGTGGTGTCTTGGACCGCTCTCTGCGCCTCTGAGCCCTCAGCTCCTCCTTATCCCTCTTAGTCTTCCGTGCTGTGCTCCTTATTCTCTGTTGTTCCACCTCCCTCATCTTCTCCTGTTCTCTCAGAAGTTCCTCTTCCTCTCTCAGCTCATCTTCTTCTGAAGAGTCTTCAATGGTGGGAAGGAGAGGGCCGTGGGAGCGGTGCCGTGCTTTCCTCTGCTGTTTGGCCTCTTCCAGCCTTTGTCTCCTGCTGGGGCTACTGTCACTGTCCTCCTCCATTGATGAGATGGATGTAGGAGATTGGCCTGAGCCATATGAGGATGAAGTGGCTGGCAGAGTGGAGGAGTAGTCACCCCGAGAACGCTCCTCAGGAGACCCTGTCAAGCTCTCCATCTCTAGCTCTGGTTCCCGGTCAAGGCTCAAGTCATTTTCATTGCTCAGTTCCATGTCTCGGCTATAGCTATTGGTGTTATTGAGTTCAATAGTTTTGAAGCGCCTCAGGCCTCCTTGTGAGGCCATCACATCTTCCTCACCCTCCTCCACTGAGCCTTTATAAACATCGGTTGAGCTCTTAGTTTCCTCCTCAAAACTGCTGGAGTGGTGCTGAAGACGTCGCTTCTCTTTCCCTGAGTCAGAGAGCTTATGGTGGCTTTTCTTGGGTTTCTGGTAGCCATATCCTTCATCTTCCTCATCTTCCTCTTCCTCCATCTCTTCCTCCTCCTCCTCCTCATTTTCTTCATCAGCGCTCATCTCCATTATTTGTCTTCTCATATACTCCTCATCTGTCATCTCTGTGGGCTCTGCATCTTTTTCCTTCTTTTTCTTCTCCTTCTTCTCTTCCTTCACTTCCTTCCGTTTACCCTCCCAGTCCCCTACATCCTCCTCTTCCTCCAGTATATCCTCTAGTTCCTCATCAGAGTCGTATGCATCTGGTGGGATTGACAGGGAGCGTGGGCGCTGCTTTCCTCTGTCATCCAAGTCTCTGTCTCTGTGCTTCCTTCCCCTTCTGTCCACCTTCTCTTCAGAAAGACTCTTCTCCAGCAAAGGCCTCATGGAGCTTTCTAACTTGGTGATTTCAGAAGGGCTTAGGGGGGAGCCCCTCCCACTGATCCCCCTTTCACTCAGCTTCATCTCCTCTTCTTGGATTAGACCTGTGATTTCACTGTGGGAGCTGGAGATGCCATCAGAGGAGTAGCCAGTGTCACTGAGGCTCTGAGGGCTGCGTGACAAGTCATGGGTGCTGTTGTTTTTTGTATCCTATAGAGAGAAAAGGAAAGAAAGAAAAATGCATTAAATCTGGGGAAACTAGGGTTTTTAATTGAAGTAATAATTTAGTGTTGATTCTGGATAAGCACATCAGTGCATACAATTTAAGCCCACATCTATTTAGATTCTGATTGTCTCAGGACTATGAAAACAGGACCTAGATGCATTGATTAATACAGCAACTAAAATCATTGATTACATTTGTCAGATAACAAGACAGTTCAAAAGTGTTTTTAAAATATGCCATCATTCTGCTAGAACAGCAATGCTAAAACTGATGTTCTCAGCTTTTAATAAAAAGGTAGTGGTTGTAAATATATAATTTGACAAGATTCTGGTCTAAGCATTTTTAGAAAGTGCTCTTAAACTTTAGATCTAAAAATATCTTCATAAATACAAACTACAGTGTCTGAACCCATTCAAGTAGCGTTTTAGGAGGTTAACAAGCATTTGGTGATTTTAATAGGTTTTTAATGGCATATGATTAATGAAAATGATTTGTTATTTTTGGAACATTAGCTACTAGTAATGAAGTACTATATATACTCCATTTTAAACAAGAATGCAATAAATGAAGGGGTTCTCTTCATTAGGTCTGAAAATTTGAAGGTCTATAAAAAATATTTCTTTCCACACTGTTATAAAATTATCTTTAGATCCACTGAGTAACAAAGTCTGTACCTTAAAACATTGACTTGACAGCACACAGCAATATTCAGTAAAAACATCACATCTAAAATGTGTGGGCCAAAATTGAGTGTTTACAATTTACCTCGTAAAAAGTTTGCTAAATTGAGAAAGAACAAAGAAAAAGTGATAAAACTGAATTCACAGAGTACATGTAAGAGAATAGGCTTGAGGTTGTTATTCTTTTACACCATGGATAGAGGAAAACACTGAAGACTTACATGTTACAGATTTACCCTTCCTACTTCCAAAACAGATATCAGCCCTATGAACAAACCTAAATAAATACCTTTTTCATTACAATGTAGTTACAATTCAGATATATAACAGAGATAAAGTATTACACTACAATACAATATTAAAAGCATGGTCTGATTTTATTAAGACGTAAATCTCAATAATATAATGAATGCCCACATTAAGAAAAATAAAATAATTATACTGTTATAGTTGTTAGGTCTGTTAACATTTTTGAGCCATTGGAAAGAGGTTAATCAAATTGTCTTTTTTAGGAATGAGAGGAATTCAGTAATTAAAGGAAGATTGTGCAGTTATCCTGACTGGAACATAAAATAAAAAAAAATTAAAACTCATTCATCAATGGCTCTGTCTCTGATGTCTGTTAATAACATGCCAAATAATAATCTCAAAGGGACTAACCTGGTAAATGAAAGGGGGATGGAGGAAAGAATACAAAATAGATACAAATTATGGAAATCTTTTCTAGAAAACCTCTTACAATGGTTACAATACTTCAGAGGGGACTTTACTTTGAGCTCTCTGCACTTTAAATTCCCAGCAGCTTCACAAATGAGGAAGGTCTGCTCAGCCTTTGAAAAGGCCTGAAGCAGCCAATCTTTATAAATATTTCAGCAGGAGTGATGGCTGCCGCTGAGTAAGAAGAGGCATTATTTCACTCCCTCTGTGTTTCTCTCTCTCTCTCTCTCTCTCTCTCTCTCTCTCTCTCTCTCTCTCCCTCCAAGGTAGTCCATGAATACCTTGCTGCCACTTGCAGCCTCAGCATTCTGTTAGGAGGGAATCAGTGACATGCAACAGCCATGGATGTCCAACAATAAAGGAGGAAGTAATTGGTTCAACTTATAATTTTAAATAACTAGACTTGATTAAAAGTCTTAGTGTCCTGTCATACCACAACTCTCTGTGACTGCGTTATTTTCGCAAAAAAAAATCATCATTTTCACTTTGTAGTATAATAAATAATAAACTGGTTGTTATCAGCAAACTTAATATAAATATAGTTCACATGACATATTTAGGGCATTTTTACACAAAGAGGCATTTTGTACAAGAAGTGAAAGAAAAAAACAATAAATTAGGAGGTAAGGAGTTCAAGAGTGAGAGGCCTGAGCAAAGTGATTATGGAAACAAGAAATGTTATGGAGAAAAAAATATAATGGAACTGACATTATCCTTTTTTCAGTGAAAAGATACACATAGCGGGACAAAATATGGACAGGTCTAATAAAATGCATCTAGACATTGTTTCCTAAATTTGGTTACACTGTATGTCATTAAACTCAAAACCATTCCATTGGAAATAAATGGGCGCTCCCAGTGCCACTATAAACCTTAAGGTATCTCACTTATCACTGTAATTCTGATTTTGTTCTTTTGATCTTAAAACAGTGTTAAATGTAACTGAAAATAAAACAGATAAACAAAGGCATAAGGGTGGCACATTGTATTCCATTTTTTGTTTTGTCTTAGCTGACAAAACTATCAGCTAAGAAACATGCAGGAAAAGATCTAAAATATTTATAAGAAAATAATGGGAGATTTGTGTTGTGTGTACAGTTAAAAAAATACTTTAATTTAAAATGTACTTTACCAGAAAAAAAGGGAGTCCAGCAAGAACTGTTTTAAAACATTGTCATAAAAATGGAATGGTTGTTGTATTTACTGACTGTGTTGTGAGAAACAGAGATATTTAGAAGATAGGTCAAACTAATCTGAACTCACCGATCTGCTCAAAGTGACCTTTATGAACTTTTACAAGTGTTTATATGTGAGCTCAAGTCAAATATGAAATATAGGCTGTATTCACAGTAGCACGGATGGCCTTTTTTTTGCCACTTTTATTCACTTACTTACATCTGGAGTCTAAACACAACCTTCAAAACCTTGAAGGAGACGTTGGAGGAAATCTAATGTGGCAACAGGCAGCTGGTCGATGGCAGGATGTCATACAGCGATTTAAAACATTTCTCTGGTGTCAATCAACACAATCTTTTCCAGTCACACAGTCACATGGTCCATGCATCACATGCATCACCTTTTCTAAAGCGTAGGTTTGATTCTGCTCGGGTCACTGATGTTTGCCATTTTTAAAATGTACAAGTGGGCTTCTGCCCCCTCTCCTATATAGATTTAGCATTATTCCAGACCTTTAGAATTTCCGCCCACATCTTCAATTTCAGCGATTCCAGTGGGTCTGGTGTTGTGCGTGTAATGGCTGTTGCCACCGGTTGGAGAAACAAATCCCCAGTCAGAATTTAGTAGGTGGGATTAAGATTAGGGACACAATCTTCCTACATTACATCCCCCAAACATATGTAAACGTATTCAATTGTGATGTTTCCATGGCTGGAAATGCAGTAACACAGTGAATGTTAATAATCTGGTCCCTGTCAATCAGTCAGGTTCCATATCCAACTACCTTCTGACTCTGTGGTGTTTATGTTTGTGTTGTGGAAGGTCTCAAATAATAACTTTTCTGCCAAGATTTCATATTATCAAATAATTTCTTAGTGCTAACTGAGACTTGGTTGAGGTGATTGTGTTGTATTCAATAAAACCTGTCCTTCAAGTTTTAATTATTTTCACCCGCCACAAAAAAAGGACCTGCATCCATAAACATCCAATGGTATACAAGTTCATGGATATGTATTTAGATCTGTATATCATATCATATCATGCCATATGATATGAAAATAAAATTAAAATCTGTCAAAAATCCAGTCTGTAATCTTCTGCATACTGTCTCCTTTACAAATACAAACATATCACAACCTTGGATAGTACTATGTTTTTGTGCATTTATTCCAGTGACAGTGTCTATGTTTCCTTACAGCTTTCATAAGGCCTTCACTAGTGCACCTACAAATAGCAATAACCCACAGTTGTACTTAATTTCAATCAGATATTGATCAGTCGATCAGATATGGAAAAAAGACAGTCTGGTGGTGTCTTATGAAATTCTGAAATAGCAAATGCCCACTTATCAAAAAGCAGTAAAAGGCTGCCCGGAGGGGTGCCCTTTATCCCCATTTTTATTTAATTTGGCTATTGAACCACTCGCAGAAGCCATACGGGCTAATGAAGAGATAGTTGGTATCAATATCGGAAAAACAAAGAACAAAATTTCACTATATGCTGATGATATAATCCTATACTTAACCAGCCCCGAGAGATTAATCCCAGCAGTATTAGACCTTATCACTAAATTTGGAACAATATCAGGCTATAAAATCAATCTGACAAAATCCAATGCTTTATTAATTAATTCATCAGTTTCTAATAGACTCAGGACCATCTCACCGTTCACCTGGGCTCAGAACAGCTTTAAATATCTTGGGGTGAATGTGGCTCTAAAACTTAAAGATCTTTACCTCATAAATTACATTCCATTGCTTAAAACGGTTAAGGAAGAATTAGAACATTGGAAAATGCTCCCCGTCTCATTTCTCGGACGAATTAATGTAATTAATTAGTTATTTATTTCAGTCACTGCCCTGTTATTCGGATAAAACATTATTTAAATCTATAAAGAAAATGTTAACCTCTTTTATGTCAAAAAATTCCTTACCAAGAATAGCTTTTAAAACTTTAACAAAATCTAGAGAGAAGGGGGACTGGCATTACCAGACATAGAAATAGAAGAAGAACTTTGTACGTATTTCTACAACCTTGCTACCATTCATTAACAATATAAATACACTACATCAAATAACAAAAACATATGTAGTTTACAACACTCTTCGGGCTTGGCAAGATATAAATAAGTTTTGTGGGAATTTTGGCAAAATCTCTAGGCTTTCCCTCTTATCATTAAACCAAGATCTGCCACCATCTATTGATAGTTCCTTGTTTGCAAAGTGGAGAGAAAATGGTATACATCAATTCCAACATTTGTTTGATGAGGATACACTCAAGTCCTTTGCAGACTTAATGTGAATGAATATGAAATTCCGAAACAGGACCTTTAGAAATACTTACAAGTTTGCCCTAAAAGGGGAAAAACGCCTGTCTTTGGGGCTGACAAATCTCGAGGAGATTTTGGTGAAATCCACATCATTAAAAGGAAAAATCTCTGTAATTTATAGTGCTTTGTTGGACCATTACAGCTCTTCCTTGACCCCACTTAGGAACATATGGCAGAAGGATATGGGACGTGCTTTTGATGAAGATCAGTGGGATACTATATGTCAGAATGTTTTTTCCTCACTGTCCTGTAATAAAATAATTGAACAAAATTATAAATTCATGCACAAGATGTACCTTACTCCGCTAGGCTTAAGTAAAATGTTTCCTAACTCATCCGCCAGATGTCATCGTTGTAAAACATATAAAGGGTCAATTATGCATGTTTTTTGGGAATGCAGGAAATTAAAACATTTCCGGAAGGCGCTACATCTAACTGTTAAGGTTGTGGAAACCCCGCTGGACATTACACCAACACTGTACCTCTTTGGTATGGAATTGGACAAGACACTGGACACCACATGCAGGAAGAGGATTATCATAATGTCCTATATAGCAAAGAAATGCATCTTGCTCAGTTGGAATCAACAAAGACCCCCATCATTTAATCTGTTCAAACAAATCTTAAATTAAACTTTAACACTGGAACGACACACATACGCCCTAAAGAATAATGCCTTCCAAAGGATATGGGAACCGCTTATGGACCTCTGACACTACCATATCATAATAGGGTTTGGCATGTTTACATAACATTCACAAAGGATGAACTGTGAACTGTGACCATGGACTGATTTGATTTAATTTGCTGTATTTTTGTTTTTGTTTTCGTTTGTTTCTTGTTGTTGTTTGTTTCTTGTTTTGTACTAGGTTTTTTTGTTTGTTTGTTTGTTTGTTTTTTCTTTGCTCATTTCCTTGATTGTCTGTTATGTTACTGAAATGTTAAAAATAAATAAAAAGATAATTGAAAAAAAAAAAAAAAAAGCAGTAAAAGAAGCCAGGTCCTCCTGTTTCCCAAATGTCGTTGTAACCACCATAACTTCAGAGTTCTTTTCAAAATCATCAAATCCATAAATAACCTTCCTTCTAGTCAACAAACTAAAGTCTTAGCCATTAACAATCAGTCATTTATCTACTTCTTCTTTTATAAAAAGAAAAATAAAGAAAATAACTAAAACTCCAGATTGGCACCCACAAACATAGCCTTGACCCATATCTAAATTGCCTTTTTTATCAATAGCTTTAGAGAAGATTGTTTACTTAGAGTCCATTTATTTTATGAATAAACATATATCTTGTATCTATCTCTAACAAATATCTTTGATGAAGTTCAGGTATAATAATAAATCAGGTTTGTGTTTACGTCACAGAACCCCATAGAACCTGTGATGTTCCTCAAGGCTCCATTCTTGGATCTCTGTTGTTCCGTATTTTCTTGCTGCCACTGGGACATATCACACATAAACACAAAATCAGATGCCACTGTTTTGCGGGTGACACACAAATTAATTTCCCATTAAAAACCAACGAAGAAGTACATTTTTACCAGTTATTATCTTGTCCGTCAGAAATAAAGTGCTGAATGTCCCAAAACATCTTGGCTCTGTGGCTACCTCCACATTCACACCACACCAATCCTCTGCTTTCAAGAAATACTAGAAGACAAGATCATATCAGTCCTGTTTAAGCCTCTCTTCACTGGTTACCTTTAAAGCACTTTATGGTTTAGCTCCCAGTTGTGTTACTAAATTGCTGCTCCCCTATGCTGTTTAAATAAAGTTATTATTATAATTACATAGCGAGCAAGCTACTTAGCTATCTTGATGAAAATAGCAACAGAAATATGGATGAGTATGCATCAAGTATGGATGAGATTAACACAGCTATATTATGTGTAAGCAAACTTACAGAAGTAACAACATTTAAATCAAAATTTTTCTTTGATCAAAGGTAAAACACATTAAGTAGAACAAGATGGCAGTTCACACATTATCAAGCTACACAACATTACAACACTAAACAACATTTAGAGGAGTTGTCTATGAGAAAGCCTGTTGAGTCAGAATAGCTTGGGAAAAAGATGCTAGCAAGGAAGGGGAGCAGAACCTTGGAACTCTAAAGGAAGCCATCACATTAGATCCTGCCTTTGACCAGCCACGTGCACAATGCCTGGTCAGATTATTGTTTAGGTTTAACAGCGAGTTACATATATATTGGGGCTGTTCACACAGTAAGTATACATTTGAACACAGGTACAAATGTGTGGGGCAGTCCCAAAGGACCAGATGCTGCACTCACTCCAATATCTGTTTGTGTAATAGTTTGCTTGCTTCACTATGTGCTTTCTCCCTGTCGTGTAGTTTACATATTGTGTGTAATCTGGATCACAGCCATATCGCGGCTGTAAAGACTGTGAGGTATTGTGAGGTGCAACATGGGAAAGATCTACACAGATCTGGTGCTGAACAAGAGCAAGAGTTTCCATTAAGCTCATCAAGCTTGATGGAAAAACTATATGAATGTGAAGCAGGACCACACTGAAACAGCCATGCATACTCACTTAACCTGCATACATATTCTAAAAATAGCCATTTTTGGTACATTGGCCTGTATGTTACTCTATGGTTTCCACAGAATATTCACTGAAAATCGGCCTAATTTTTTGTATTTTTATTTTTTCAATGCATCTCTGCTAGTGCATTATCTATTTGGTTCACTTTTGGTACTTTTCCATAGCTTAACATACAGAGTAGTACACTGGACTAAAGCAATATTACTAAAAAATCCAACTTACATCATAGTGCCTGGACTTCTTAATATCCTTGATCGGTGTGATCTGCTCTCCTTTCTTCTGGGAGGGTTTGGTCTCTTTGGCAGTTTGGTTCTCAGGCTCGGTCTTGGGTTTCTCCTCTGTGGGTTTCGGCTGTTTCTGGGTTTCTGTGGTTGGTACTGGAGCCGTAGCTGGTGTTGTGGTCTTGGTGTCGGTTGGCTGTTTGGCAGCAGTGGGCGCAAACGGTCCGGTACCGACAGTTCCAGCATGTGGTTTCTGCGTCTGGGACTGGACTGGCTTGGGACCCTGCTGAGTGGTGGGTTTGTGGAGGGGGCTTTGCTGACTGGTTGGTGCCTGGTGACGTGGCGAGCCCATTGGCTGGTGCTTGGGGGACGGATGAGGAACAGGAAGCGGAGGATCGTCGAGACCACCTCCTGACATCAGTCGCTGGGTCTGGCAATTGAGACATAACCACTCCTTTTTCTGAAACACAAACAGGACAAAAACAAAGACGGTTAATGATAACCAGCCTGTTTTCCACAATAGTACAGAAATGTTTTGTTTTAATATCATTGCTTTTATATGGTTGATAAAATGTATTTGAAGACGCACTCCTTGATTTAATTATAGCTTTCCAAATTCCTTCTAGCTCATTGTTAATGCTTTTAAGAGGCTGTTTTAAAGTTGCAACACTTTAACACTAACCTGGAGGAAAGGCAATGTAGAAAAATCAGGGCCTGTATACAGTAAAAAAAATCTAATAAAGTGATATTTTGAACGAAATGTTGCTGGCTTGAATTCAAGACAACAGGAAAAAGAAAAAGTCAACAAGAAGGTTATTACTGTTCAACAGCATCACTGGGTAGCTCCCAGGTAAATGTGTGTTTCTGTGTGTGTGTGTGTGTGTGTGTGTGTGTGTGTGTGTGTGTGTGTGTGTGTGACTTAAATGGCATTTAACTCTCCTTCCTCCCTGCTAAAATGATGTGATGTGCTCTCATTCAACTTCTCGGGTTAAATAAGATTGACGGTTAAACGGGATGATTAATATTCTTAACATTAAATGTGTCGATTCCACTTAAACAGCGGACTTCAGAGACAGCTGCACACACACACACGCACACACACACACACACACACACACACATATACTGTATATACTCCGTAAATCTTATTTCCAGACTGAGCTGTCAGAGTTGCAGCAGGCTAAGCTAAGCTGACGTACTTTCTAAAAGGCAGTCTCACTGACAGCTACACCCTACTTTCATCACATCAGCTCCACTTCACACACTGTGAGTCTGACTGATGAAAAATGTAACTGGGATGCACACATATATTGTACATAATCTATCTTTTGCCGTGACTCCAACTTTTTTCCATGTGCTGATGATGAACAGAGTTTCACCTAAGCCTTAAAACAAAAGGAGCTGAAGCAGACGACTGCATGAACATCGATAGCCACCATGACTGAAAAGACTAAGAAAAGAGCTCTGTATTTCAGAAATTTCACAAAATGTAGCAGTCCCGCCCACACTGTTTGATTGACAGGCGATCTCTGGGAAGTGAAAACCACAGGAGTGAGCTCAACAACATAGTGACAGAAAAAGAGAGTTATTGGTTTATTTAAAAACTAGAAAAACTCTCCAGTTATCCATCATTTTATATACGTAATATTGAAATTTACTTATCTCTCCACAGTATCTCGCCAGTATCTGTTCTCCGTCTCTCTCCCTCTCTATCCAGGAGAATAACTAATGTTGTTTTGGGATGAAATGTAATAAATAATTGACAGATACAGCCCTCTACTCATCTCTCATCTCCCACCTCTATTCTTTTAGATTCTCTCATCAAATCCACTCTCTTTCTCTCTCTGCACAAAACTCACCAAACCTCTCCTATCTCTCCTCCTTATTGAGCCTCCTTTATCTATCTCTTTCAGTGAGTCCCTTTGAGACTTTATCTGTTAATAGGTGTCATTCAAAAGACTCCATCCACAGTGACAAATGCTGCTTTGGGTTGATTGGTGCACACTCTAGTACTTATTCCTTATAGACAGTCACGTTAAAGACCATTAAAATCTTTGTAATGATACACAGAATTATTACAGCATTAACAAAAACTAAAGAAAAAGTTCCCTCTTGATTTTTTCTCTTGTGAAACTAGAAAATGTCACCAAGAAATGAATTGTTTAGGAATATTTCTGTATGCATATAAAGCTGTTAACCTTGCTCTGCATCACTCTGTGTTAAGGCCTCATTTCGAGACTGTCCAAATGTTTTAATGACCCATAGATGTTCTGCTTATTTATCGCCAGCAGAGTTTACATCCTGATGTGGTTTTTACATCTAACAACTTAATGTAAATTCTTACACATACAACATACATTTTTCTAGGGGTCTTTGGTCTGCGGTTTATTAATTAAGATTATAAAAGAGCCCTCTATAGTACAGAATGTACTGTAAGATGCTGACCCTTTATGTGTATGCGTGTGTAGCTATCTCCAAAGAAGTAGCACACTTTCATCTGTGTATGTATGAGCACATTTTGTGTGTGTATGTGTGACATCACTCAACCACTTAGCCTACACAGCACAATGAAGCCTCCACTCATCATACATCACACATTGAAGTGAAACAAGTCACAACTATTCCTTTACCTATCAAACAATACTTTGTGTGTGTGTGTGTGTGTGTGTGTGTGTGTGTGTGTGTGTGTGTGTGTGTGTGTGTGCATCCCCTAAAGCAGCACACTGTACAGTAGCTTGTGAGGCTGTTGAATCATTTTTAGACTAAAGTGAACTCATTCCCTCCTTTTGCCAGACCGAGTACATTCAGTCCTACAGATGACGTCATGAGTATGTGTGTGTGTGTGTGTGTGTGTGTGTGTCTGCTCTGTCCCGCAGAGTACCCCATCGCTGCACCACTTAACCTACATAGAGCACAAACAATCTGGTTCTTTCTCCTCCTGTCAATAACGTTCACTAAAATGCTCCATCAGTCCTAATTCTGCAGTCAGACTGTGTTGTCCACTCTCCTTTTAACATTTCTTTTCATGTCGTTTTTATATTTCATAATGGACCCGCATTTTGTTTATCCATTGTGCTCCATATCTCTTCCGTCCACTGGATTTGACTGATGACAAAACTGTGTAAATAACTGACCTCTGTGATCAACCCCCATGTTACCCTCAGCCAAAGAGAGGCTTTACAATTACTCATCAATGGATGAGACATATTTGTCATATCTGTCCCCGAGGGAATCTACATAATCTGTGAGGTGTGAGTCAGGAAAACAAAAAAATATGATTTAATGATCTACCCACTGGCACTAATAATGCCAGGATCTGTTCTCAGCTCAGGTTCATGCTCAGCTGCTAGAGAACTCAGTTGATACAGACATGACAGACACAGATGTCTACACTGATGCAGATGATCAGAAACCTGGATTTCCAACTGTCAGGGGAAATGTGTCGTCTCAGTTTCATCATATCATATTATACATACTGTTCGCAAAATTCTGAGGGGCACATCAATGTCTGTGCCAGATTTGTTGCTGATATATTTCACTCAAAGCCACAAACGCTCTCTGGTGGCACCAGAGGAAAGGTCAGTAGGATTCATCGCCTAGGAAGCATGAACGTCTGTACAAAAATGAGTGCCAATCCATCTGGTAGATGAGATATTTTAATGTATAAGTAAAAGCTGTGAACTGTTGTTGGGGCTAGGGTAAACATTTTAGAAGCTTGTAGGATTTATGTCTGTACAAAATGTCTTGGCAGTCCATCCAATAGTTGCTGAGATATCTCAGTCTGAACCAAAGAAATGGACTGATTGACTGACATTGCCATGTCCTCGAGTCATGCCACTAGTTCTGCTAATAAAATGTGTAAATAAGGTTTTGGTTTGACATGTTTATTGAATTGAATTTTTATCCAATACATATAGATTTATATTGGAAAAATGTTCATATTAATATAATGTTTGTAGTCAAGTCACCCAGTCCCAGTCAACATAAACATCATATCCCAAATATAATCTAATATTAAATATGATTAGACTCATAATGATGGCACTATTGTCACTCACTCCCTCCATTTAAAATACTCAGTAGAATACTTCTCTCTACTTCTCTCTACAGTTCACTTCTAGTCTGAGTCATTCTCATCCTCTTTGAGTTTTGCTTTTCACACATTTGCACCTGCAGTTTCTCTCTCTTCTCTCTCTTCACTACATGATCACTAAACTTCTATCTTTCCCCTTCCTCTCAGCTCTCACCCTCCCTCTCTTCTCTCCTCCCGTCACTCTCCGTCTCCTTTTCTCTCCCTCCAACAGAGCGAGGGCTATTTTTACCCAGAATGCCATTGTTCTGCTCGAGCGCACACTTCCCTAGCACTGGCTGCTGCTTTAGGCTGCACTCTACTGCACCATGCATACACTCGTACTTACACACACACACACACACACACACACACACACACACACACACACAGTCACACGGTTCACATCAATGCAAAATGGAGGAGGCGTGTGTAGCTGAAGGCTAACCACAAGGAGAGAGAGATGACAAGCAGAAGGAGGAAGAGGAGGAGGGAATGGGGAGAAGAGAAGCCCACTGGGTGGAGGAGAGGAGAAATGGGCAAAGTGAGTGACACCACACGTGCACATGAGTGCATGCGCACACACAGTCACTCAGCTCGGCCTCTAACATGCCTCCCTGCTGGGTCTGATGTAACTGGCTTGAAGTGGAAGCAGAGAAGAGAGGAGAAGGACAAAAAAGAGAGGAAGAACCAGGGGAGGTGGACAAGAGACAGGTGCCGCTGCTGATGATGGATTGCACTAAAAATGTTTTTGCCAAATATGTGTTGGTGGAAACGTAACATAGGTCCTGTATTCTTGTACGGCACAGAAGCCAGATTACCGGGAATTCAGATTCAGGCTGCGACAACACTTTGTCAGCGTTAGGAAAAGTTTGTGGTTTTGATTTGATGTATAAAAAGTCCTGTGTCATGTCATTAACTGTCATCTTTTTGGGTGTCAAGGACCCCCAGATACCCTACATATCAGGCCACAGACCTGTATTTGATAGGATGTAGTCTCAGGTCTCCCTGTCTGATAATATTTAACTGTTCCATAACTGTATAGACTTCAGATTGGCAGATTAACAGTGAACAGTGAAGAGTGGGCCCTTGGTCCCTAGGTTTAGAACTACTGGGCTAAACATAAGTATGAAAATAAATAATTCTTTATGGTGCTCATAGAAGGAAAGTTAATAGTGTAAGGAAAAGTTAATACCTCAAAACTAATGTGGTAATAGTTCATTGAGGTAAAGCAACACACAGGACCTTTAGTGTTCAGCCAATATTCCACGTATCACCACAATATGGGAGTTAGCCGAGACTGTGCTACACAAAAAGTGACACAAAGCCATGCATTTTCTGAATCATCATCACCACGACAACCTCACAGTAAATCATATGAAACTTTCCCG